GAGCTTTAGTAATTACAACATTTATTCGTTTGGTAGTGCATGCCCTTAATGGTCAGTGCTAGTGTAAAATCTAGCACGTTGTATGCGCTACATACTGTAAATCTCAAACCATTACCATTACACTAAACAATCATTCTGTTACACCGATTCATATGTTTTTGGTATTATATCATAATTTATTACATGGAAATCTCTTGGGTTAGCATGGTAAATTGCAAGGGTTGATAATGAATAAATAAATAAATACTTTTTTTTATGTTAATAAATCAATCAATCAATCACAGAAAAATACTTGCAGAACAACAACAAAGTGTTATTTTGTTTTTCTGTTCTATGTTTTTGGTATTATATCATAATTTATTACATGGAATTAACTGAGTTAGGATGGTAAATTGCAAGGGTTGAGAATGAAAATAAATAAATATAAAATAACTTTTTTTATATTAATAAATCAATCAATCAATCACAGAAAAATACTTGCAGAACAACAACAAAGTGTTATTTTGTTGTTCTGTTCTATACTGGCAGTGGCAAGTCAATTTGAACTAAATTTACGAATTTGAATTTGTACAGTAATTCTCAAACCGCTACAATAAGTGTGCTAATTTACTGTATGTATTTATCATGCCACAATCTTGCTCTGTATTAACATTAAATTGAACAGTTCAAATTTGCTAAAGCTTGTAGCATTCCTGTTAATACCATATTTGGTTAACTTTTAGGCTGCTGATATATTACCCAAATTATGTAAAATGATAATTATTATCATTTGACATTATTTTTGTAATATATTTATTTATTTTTTTTTTCTTTCACAGTGTACTATATATTAAATTCTTATATAATGATACAAGACCCACTGATAATAGATCTTACCATTCTTATTGTGATCAGGTGGTACTGTATGCTGTATTGTATCTCTGTATTGTATTCAAAACATTAAAGAGTAAAATTCTGAATTATCCCTCTAGAGTTTAAAACAAACTAACATTACTTCACGAGAAGTACAGTACAGTAATACAGTACTACATACATTTGATGAACCATTATTCTCAATATTTTACTATGAAGTGAAAAAGCTTATTTTTGAGATTTTAATTAGAATGTGTTTATTTTCTGATTTTATTTAATGTTTAATTTGGTAAATTAATATGAACTCACGTTTCTTGTCCAACTGTCACCCAGGGGTATTGTATGTAGGATAGTACTTCTTTTTATTTTCTTTGGAAACAATATGTACATTAGCAAGTCCTATTAATACTGCATAGTTAATCTCAAATCTCACAAGGATCTTTTGATATCACTTAGATTTTTTTGGTGGTCACATAAAATGTTACATTTTATAAAAACCCAAACAAAGAGGAATGGGGTGAAGAAAAATGATTCAATACAAACACAACTTATTGATTGTATTCATTGTGATTCTTTTTTGTTCCTGTAGACAGGGGTGGCCACAGGCTCTAGATGTCTTGTTCATTTCTGGTTGTACCTGAAAGGTGGGCCAGTGTCCTTGATGGGAACATTAGTGGGCTGGGCCAGGCACCAACCATAACGCCTATGAAGTGTCTAGGGGCAAGTCTCAATAAAAAAAAAAACTTATTTAAATTTTTTTATTTCTGAAGAAATTGTGGTCTACTTCGTGGACACTTACCTGGATAAACCTACTAATTGCCTATTTTTCTCACACGAGAAACACCCCTCGAAAAATAATAGAACAGTCGACTCCTGGCGCCAAGCACAAGCGGCCCCGCAACCATGCAACTCCCTCGTTCTTTTTCGATCTAACGAAATAGAAGCACCTTCCGATTACGCGAAATTTTTATAGTAGAGTTGTACAGTGAAGTATTTTGTCCTATCTGACAGTGGGGGGAAACTCTTTCTAATAGTTGGGCCCTTGCCCCTTCTCCTCACATGCACCTCCCCACACAGACCCTCTTTCCAATGGGTGGGCCCTTGCCCTTTCCCTTCACACACACACACCTTCCCTTCCCCCACTGGCACTACCACTGGTCTCCTTGATTGTTGAAATATTTTATTTGATTTCTTCCTTCATGAACCAACATGTTCTTTCCAGTGCCGGGTTTGTGATCTTGCGGGATTTTTTTTTTCTGTTTAAAGATTTTAGTGTCTATATCAATTTATTTTTGTTCCCCTCTGATTTCCCCTCATTCTCAAAAACATTTCCCTTCCATTTCTTTCTTTTATATCTAACAGGAAGTTGGTGTACTTGTGTCAATTAGTTTAGGAGGTGGATGTTAAGCTGCATAAACATAGCATTGACCACGCTATCATGTTTATTGGTGACCTGTATCAGTGGTTCGCCCATATTTGGGTATGGTGACGTCATCACTCTCATACTGTTATATGATATTGACAAATCAAACAAATACAGTATGTCATACTTGATAATTACTGTAGACTAATTTCAGGGAGTGAAGATTTAACAGTTTGTGTGAATAAAAACAGCCATATACTGTAGGTCTAATTATACTATTAAAAATAACATTTATTTCATTACTAAACAATTAATCCAGACTTAAATTTCATGTATTTTCTCAATTCTAATCTTGGTTTTGTTTTTTGTTGTGTTCTTTTCTATTGTCCTGTCTTGAGACTGGGTAAAATAGCACATTGAGACATTGCACTTTATTATGCGCTATAGAATGGAAGACATAATACCATTACCAATAAGAAAAGATAATCCAAAGGTGAGAAGGCGAAGCTAAAAGGGAAAACCTATAGTAACTAGAGCTTGTACTTTGTTGGAATGTGGTAAACATAATCAAGGGGAAACATGTTGACAGATACATGCAGGTGCCTGCACTTGTGTCCCTAGGAGTAATGACTTGCCGTATGGGGCTGATGGGGTAACAAGGGTTAAATTGGGATGTGAGGGTTTTAGTAAAGAGGCATTATTGGGGAAATGTTATACTAGTGATTTTTAACTACATGATGAGTGTAATATTTTTACTCAGCAAAATTTCCATTTGTTTTGAAATTTTTTATTTATTTAAGATAAATATATAGAAATCTTTCTTTATTCTGGATACTCAGTCAGTATTGTTACACTGTTCTTCCTCGAGATTCAGGGTATTATCTTTTAAACTACATTAAATTACAAAATAGGCAAATGCATTGTAATGTTCTTCCCCATTCTATACTGTAGTATCCTACTGGATAGATGGGATAACAGAAAAATTTATAACTTGAGAAAATAAAGTAGAATACAATAATTATCTGATAAGAACCAAGGAGCCTAGATTCTGGAAGGAAAGGTCATTATCATAGATTTTATTTTTTTAAACTCGGTTTGTTTTTTTACTATATCATTACAGGATGCTAGGTTGACTTGTACCAGAAGTAGGTCAGTCTTGAAAATTCTGTAGCTTCATATTAACATCCGATGCCAGAATATTTTATATAAATTGAATTCTCATTCACATAGTCATTTTATTTATTATTTAACTTGTGTTACATGCTTTTCCTAATCAAATACGAAGTCAATTTCAGGAATATTACTATACGCTGAAGCGTGAGGCGCATCAAATTGAATGGTCGATTTGAGTTAAAATTCAGAGGTAGAGTGTATATTTCGAGTTTTTTTTTGTTTTTTTGAAGACAATAATATTTATCCATTCTTCACCCTGTGGTGCAGTACATATGTAAGTGTCAACAGTGGATTTAGGGGGTAGGGGTGATGGAGGCTAGAGCCCCCCTCCCCCCTCCGAAAAAAGAGAGTGAATTCAGAAGTAGAGTGTATATTTTGAGTGGTTTTTTTGAAGGCAATAATATTTATCCATTCTTCACCCTGTGGTACAGTACATATGTAAGTGTCAACAGTGGATTTAGGGGATAGGGGTGATGGAGGCTAGAGCCCTCCCCCTGAAAAAGGAGAGTGAATTCAGAGGTAGAGTGTATATTTTGAGTGGTTTTTTGAAGGCAATAATATTTATCCATTCTTCACCCTGTGGTACAGTACATATGTAAGTGTCAACGGTAGATTTAGGGGGTAGGGGGGTGATGAAGGCTAGGGCCCTCCTCTGAAAAAAGAGAGTAAGAAGAAAAGAAATAGGGAGGAAGGAGAAATAAGGTATTGAAGTGCTGAATGGTGTCTATAAATTTGTAATTTGTGTACGTCTATTTTATTTCACAATCGAATAGACCTCATATTTTTCTCTGGATGCACCGCAGATTGTAGCGACTACTGTAGATAGGGTAATTTGAATAATATGCGAAACTATTCCAAAGAAATTAAAATTAATAATTAATAACAGTTTTATTTATTCACAGAGACTCATTTCAGTCTTCAGTCTTATTCCAAGAGAACATGTCCTTAAAACTACTATAGCAAACAAAAGGTTTAAAAGCAATAAGGAAAATAATAGAATGTGTATGAGTTTCCAACTGTTTACCAATGACTACATACCAGTATTTAAAATTTGCTGCCTATAATTTGAGGCTATCAAATACTAAAGAAATGGTAATAAATTTCAGTGAATTAGTGAGGAAATATTTTTCTCAGCTCTGATTTTCTGTTGAAAGTCGAAATTACGATTAAGCAATTCAAGTTATATTTGCAATTTATCTTAAAATACCACTTGTTGAAAGCTCAGTACCTTTGTGTGCACTATAGGAAGTCATATTCACTTAGAAGTAGTCCGGATATTATTTCATAATTCAAAAAACATAAGGAGGAAAAAAATATGTTTATTAGCTACCCTGAAAAATTCACATAGTAATAATAAATATACAGGTATAATTATTTACCATGTAACCGTACTGAAATGGATCAGGCCAGAGATATAATTTGATGATGTAGAATAATTAACTGATAGATATGCTCCATAATTTAATAGGCTTTTTTTCTAATTTTCTGCTGCTGAAAATTTAAGAAATATATCAAGAAAGGTATGACTATTACAGTAGGCTCAGATTACAGTACAGTGTTCTGTCTATTAAAATTGACACCCTTCTTGGGCTCTCATGCGTAATCAGTATGTGAAGCAATTCGGAAAAGGAAACAGAACATGCAAGTGAAGTGCAGAGCACACTGGTTGTGTTGCATGCAGTAGCTTGCTAGTTCATTCATGTATTAATTTGCCTTCTCATTTGGAAATTCTCGTCGCTCATTCATATCACCGTTCTAGCGTCGACTGCAACCTGTTTTTAGCATAGTGAACTGCAAGAGAGTGAGTTTGTATCTGCTTGTGGACATGTCGTCAAGACCTGTAAGATTGTGGTATGACATGTACTCATGTTGGCCATTTTCTGTGAACCAGATATACATGCGATATAGGTAAGATTCTGTATAGTTTAGTGTGGGTGGGTGTTAATGATTGTTGCTACTGTATATGCTAAAGCTAAGTGGTCATTAAATTATAATGCTAACTTCTATTGATGCTCACCTTACTGTAAAACAGCCCAAAATTTATGTCGGCAGCAAATCTTCATCTGCAACCTCTGCCATACAATCAAGTTTTTGTGTCATTTTTGGCCTTGGTAGTGTTATGTTTGGGGGAGGGGGAGATATGCCTATAAAACTTCAATTTATGGCCAAAATAAAGTTATTTGATCAGTTCTGAACATTGAATATGTCAGGAAGTTAATCAGATTTTCAAGATCTTCACAAAATTTGAATTGGAATAATTAAAAAGCTTGAATTATAATAATGTGAATTTTTGTCAGTTTGTCAGTTTGAAATTGACAAATCAAAATTATGAAACATATAAAACAATTTTAAAGCCAGATCGAGAATTAAAAAAAAAAAAAAAAACTAAAATTAAAGCTGATGTTCACATTCTCTAATCTGAGTTAATATCACAGAAAAGTTGAACAATGTTTTCCATAGATATTTCTATCCATAGTAGCCTACACTCGACCTTCTTTAAACTATTATTAATTATCCGTGCTTTTTGCTCATGTACAGTTAGTCTACATTTTAAATTTTCAATGGGTCATTTCAAGTTCAATTCCTGGTTATAATTTTTCCTGTTATGAAGGAATGGGAATTTCCTCAAGTAGGCGTAATGTCATATTGCAAACTTTCAACAAGTGTTTACTGAAAAATGTGATCTACAGTAGCTGAAAATAATTTAAAAAAAAAGAAAATATGCAGTAAATATTATGTTAGAAGACAGTTTATCTCAGGTTTACTGATTTGTTACCTCTATTTTTTTTTTTAATTTATTTGTGTTTGTTTCTAATAATGATAATTATGGTAATTTTGATTTTATTAACTGCTAAATTGTACTGGACTTCAAATTAGGATTTTAAAAATTTAAATCCATATAGTTAAGTTGCTTATGTTTTGTTATTGTTAATGTATTTAATGTTTCAATTTTGCATCTATATTTGATCAGTTTTCTGTTTGGGCTTATGCCTATTCTTTGCTTCTGGCAATAATAATAATAATAATAATAATTATTATTATTATTATTATTATTATTATTATTATTATTGTTATTATTATTATTATATTAGTTTGGAATAGACAAAAATTAGACCAGTATTAAAATAAAATAGAGAATGAATGCTTCAAGTACAAAGGAGTTCCACTGACTTCCTCAAAAGGTGCAGTTATAAGAGTGTTGCTTCAGCTACTAGGGTTCCGCCCTGACCCCTAAATGTGCTCTATTCTTTGACCCCCCCCCCACCAGTGCGTCTAGGCACCTACTGGTATTGTGGTTATCCCTCAGGAAACCTTCCAACGAAATCCTAAGAGGCCAAAAATCCACATGGCAACTGGAATTTGTTGTTATTACTATGTAATAGACCGAATTAGTCACCAAAGATGACGTCATCAAAATTTGGCCAATTATGTATTGAAAGTTGTTTACATCGTAAAGTCCTATGCTAATGCATTGAGCAGAGTCGAAAGTGGTATATATTATTAAATCGTCTAAAATGTAATGAGGTTAGTGTAGAAAATACTTTTTATAACAAATGTATACATTTTGAATGATTCATAAGATTCATGAGATTAAGGTTGATTTGATTTTAATTTCCATTCAGACTAAAAATATGAAGAATTTCGAGAGGTTTTCTAAGGGGCCTAGGCCCGTCGCTTGTGGGACTCGCCACACCCTGCACTGACTAAGGTGATCGCTGTTGATTAGAGGTACATATTTAGCTAATACTGTCACCAAGTCATTTGTTGCAATTTCTTTATGAAATATTTAAACTATTGGACAAACTTAATTTGCTGAATTACAGAATAAGATGTTTCTTTTGACTACAATGGCCAATGAGTCAGAAGACTCTAGTCTAGGGCTAGGTCCATGTTCATGCGAGGAGGCTATGCAAAAAAGTGTTGAAGTTTTCCATATTTCTTTTATACTCCACTTCAAATATAGCAGGTCAATACTGTGACGGTTATTAAAGAAATATTTACCAAGGCTTTTTGATAAGTTATTTTAAGATAAAATGTACAAATAAATAAGTTTGAGGAGTTGAAAGACTGTCAAAATTTACTCTAGCGGAGGCTCATTATTGTGTGAAAAATACCTGTTTGTTTTCATGTTATACCCACTACGGCTTTGGTTTGGTGACTAATTATTGACTATCTATTGTAAAAAATGAATTATGCTAGTGTTAAAGGATTTATCAAGCATATATCTTTCACAAGTTTGATATTGAAAAACGATGTTTACTGCGGTTGGCGCAACGATTGTGGCTTGGACTCTAAACGTTGAGGTTGGTGGTTTGAGAACTTAGGCAAGACACTCTTTTGTATCTCTGTACCCTGGAGTATAAATTGGTATCGGCATATGCTGGGAAGGGGAAGCAAACTACTATGCAGGAGAAGTGGCAAACCCTGTCGATTAAATACATATTAAAGCCCTGTCTCTTATACACATCTAGATGTGAGGAAAGAGAGAGACTGGCGCTTCAGCTTGTGAGCCAGCTAATAAAGTTTCAACCTTTTCTTTACCTTACTGTATGTTTACTTTAAGATGCATTCAGTACGGCTCATCAAAAATACATCATAATGTAAATTAATATAATCTACGAAATAATAAGTTAATATAATTATTGTAATTTCTTTTCTAAATAGTAAAAAATAATGACTAAGTAATGCAAATAGATAATTAAATATTTGAAATCACTTTTTGTGATTGATTATCATATTGTAAAATAATCCATAATGTCATGAACTTGGTTCAAGGACAAAAAAGATAAAGTGGACACATCAGCAATCTAAGAAATAGATATACTGTAGTTATTATAAATGTTAATAGGATGTTAGTTTCATTTATAATAGTAAGAAATAAATGAATAATGAGTGTGAATTTTAATTAAATATTTAAAATCACTTTTTTATGTATTATCATAATGTAAATAGTCCATAATATCATGAAACCTAAATGATAATAATTATAGTTATAATTATTTTATTTCTAATAGTAATTATTATAATAATTTCATTTATAAAACTGTATAGTAGTAAGAAATATATAAATAGTCAATGTAAATTTTAATTAAATATTTAAAATCACCTTTTATCATAATGTAAATAATCCATAATGTCATGAAACCTAAATTATAATGATTATAGTTATTGTTAAATTATTTTATTAACTAATAGTAATTATTGTCATTCATTTGGTTAGTAAGAAATAAATGACATATGTAAATTTTAAATAAATAATATTTAATATCACTTTTTCATAGATTATCATAATGTAAAATAATCCATAATGGCATGAAAAAAAAAATGTCAAAAAATATCACAGAGGTCAAGATAACGTGGAGATATCAGTCCTTATGTCTCACTAGGGATAAGTAGATAAGTCAGTAGCTTATATCAAGAATCGTTTGATTGATTATATATTCATGATGCTCAGTCGCAAGATTATGTCATTGAGAAAAACGACAGAAAAACTTGTTATTATCTGAAAGCTACTTATAAAATTAAATGTCTGAAATCCTCATTCATGTATTGTAGTGGCTCGCATTTAAATATTTAGCCTGCTTGTTTTAAAATGAGCTTTATGCTTTGATTTGTCAGAGGTACAGAAAAATGCAGTGCAAACACAAAAATCAGCTTACATTTCTAGTGACTCTGCCTTTTGGTGATTGGTCAGTAAACCAGAAGATAATCAGTCTTTTTTAAAATTTACATACATGTCGTAATTTTTTTTTTTCGTATAGAATTTATTACAGTAACACTAACATTATCATTAGCAAAAGAATGTACCATTCCCATGGCAATAATGTTTACAAATGTTTTTGGTTCTATTTTATACTACAACTTGATTCTTTCTGGTTGTTTATAACTATGCATCTGTCGCCATCCGCTAATATGTTGCATCTATAATCTTACCTTTCTATATTGATTTATGCATGTTTGGTACAACATACATGTTAATAATTGCAACAGTGATAGTTGCAATGAATCTTGTGCCATGCTGTCATTAGCATAGTAACATTAATGCTACTCATTCTGACATGCCACAGTGATTCATTTTTGTTTATAGTGAGTTCATTAAACCATCCATATCCATAATGTTTCGTTGCTCACGTGGAGCACATCTCGTTATTAAAGTGTTTAATAAAAGTGTTAGAATGTTAGATGAATATTGAAGAGTGGAAATGTAGTTCTGTATAAGTGCAGTACTAGTTTTTTTTTTTACTTTAGGCCGTGTTTCCGCAGGATTTACTATTTCTCCCATAATTTCTCAGATAAATTATCGTAAAATTCCCTCCAAATATTTTATCCCATCATGCAACATTATGGACAACAATGCAATGTGTTCAACATCAAAACATCTGTTTTGTTGACCAGCAGTTGACCTTTTTTTTTGGCGTGAGATGGATAGGCCTACAGTAGGCCAAGAACGAAAATGTTTGGTACTATTTCACTATTTCATTATTTCATTATTTCATTATTATTATATTATTTCATTATTTGGTTTTCTTTAATACGACAAGGTTGGGATAAACCTAAGCCCGGCCAGGTACCGTCGATGTCGACGATTATTTAAATTTTCTCACTTTTTATCATAAAGTGCTTAATACTAGACATAGGCCTACTAACGAATATTTGCCTAATAATCACCAAAAGAGTTCTTGCATGACCCTGATTTTACATCGGTCAAGGGTTAATTTTTTTTTCTGATAAATTAGCTGATTCTCGTGCGAAAATTTATTGGAAACTTTAGGCCCTGAAAAATAGCAAAAAAAAAATATAAAGCGAAAAATAACAAAATAAAAAATAAAAAATTCATCAAATAATATGTGCTGCTGGAGCACGGCGGTAGATAGATCGTCTCAGAAATTATATGCAAAACTAAAACATTTTAAAAAGATCAGTTTCAAAAGAGACACATTAAACATTTTGTTTTAGTAACTACATGCATACATCTGTTATTAGCAAGAAAACATATGTCGTAATAGTTGTCAACGACTGAAATAATACAAATTACAAGTTTTACTTTTCTGCTGCCGTAGTTAAGATTTTCCCTCCTTCACCCCTTGATTTTATTACTGACATGTTTGACTCGCCTTATATCGGGCACGTCCAAAATTTAGCAATTAAACTAATTTACTATAATAGTATAAAGGCCTGTTTATACAGTACTTGCAACGATAACGATAAAAAGCTATGAAGCAATTTTTCATATAGAAAATAAAAGAAACAAGAGAAGTTTTTACACTAGGGAGATTTGATAACTGTTCAATGGATTTGTTGATCAATACTGTAGCAGAGAAGAGTGGAAGAGGGAATAAGAGGCGAATGCCTGGATGGGAGACGAGAACTATCTCACGGGTAGAGACTGGAAAGGTGTACTGATAATACTGTTTACAACAGCTTTTGTGGTCATGTTTACATTACTCCGGGTTTTTATTTAAATTTATCTAGTTTCCTTTGCAATTGCATCATTCTTGTTTTCCCCAGCAAGTTTTTTTTTTTTTTAATCTGCATGTTTTTTACCTTTAATTAGATGTGATGAACAGTGACGTTGAATATCAACTGGTACACCATATTTTCCCAGTTACAGCTTCCCTGACATAATCATTGGGTCCCACTTAAACATTGAGCCCCCAGTCATCCCCCTCCCCACTTATACTTCTCCTCCATGTCACTGACAAAATAGATCTCAGTGAGACGTGGCATTACTAGGCAACCAATGACTGGATGAGTAACTGATTTACACTGACTTAGATTTGTTTAAATGGCAGCTTATCAAAATACATATTACCGCAAGTTGAAAGACAGCCATTTTCCTTAAGATGTTAAATTGCTTTCATTAAGAGGGAAACATTCAAATCCATTTCCGGATGCAAAGAAGACTGCTCGACATAAATCTAGATTGTTTGTTAACATTTCTATCGTTTGTCATTTAAATATCCAGATTGTAAGAGGACTATTAATCTAATTTTGTCAACCCTCTTTTCCATCATCTTCCACAACCTAGATTTGCTTCTTCCTTCAGTGCTACTGTACAACAATACATAGATATAGCAAATCTGCTGTGCTAGGTGCCATATCTTTATACTGTAGCATACAGAAGCAGTGCTATTTAGAAAATGTAATTTTAGACAAAATTTCTATTTTTATACTAAGCAGTTTTTCGCACTGTATACAGGCCAAAAGTAAACTCATAATAAAATTGTGCTCACAAGTTTTAAGATAGAATAATATTATTGTTAAATTATGTAATAAGAATGCCACCAAAGCAGAAATTGAAAGGCCAGCAGCAAAATTTTAATAAAAGATGTGAAGATAAACTTTCAACAAGGCAACATAAAATTTTTGGTTCCTTGGTGTATAAAGATCTAATAAACTGCAGGAAAAATTTATAAAAAAGTTGTTTAACTACGATTGAAAACTATCTACCGCCAGACACCATTCTGGTATTTTTAATTATAGGTTTTGGGCATGCATTAAGCACCGCGCCAATTTTTTTTTGTAAAGCGCCGCTATCGAAAAGCCTCCAAAGATGTTATAAGCTCCGCGGCACTTATTCAAGTTACATAAAAATATTTACATCAATATTAGAAATAACAAACAATGAAAGGCTAAAAAAAAATACTCTTCTATTGAACAATAATAATAAGATGATGATAATAATAATAATAATAATAATAATAATAATAATAATAACCTACACACAGTAATGCATCAATTCCAAAAAAGGGTGATTGAAGATGCAGTGTATGTTAAGGCAAGCTATTGTCAGTATTGCATTTAAGGAAATTTTATACAAATTTAATTTTCAAAGCTTAATGTTAAAACAGGAAGCTTTCACATTAGGTCGTGATGCTATGTACTCAATTTCCTTGACCTGAAACTACAATGCACACATTCTTTTATATTTTTTTTTTATCAAGATCTACCCTTCATTGATTCTAGCTAGAAGTACAGATGTTTTATAGGTTTTTTTTTACCCATAGTGCTTTGGTGACTTCATTCATATCACAGTGTTCTTCACTTACCTCAGCCAAGATTTGTTTTATGTGCAATCCATTGATTATCTATCTAGCTTCTCTAGATTAAATACATATTAAAGCCTGTGTAGTATTATCAAGGGAGGAAGCCTACAGCTTCCAAGCTGTATAATGCTTCGCAGTATTTTCTGGTGAGTATCACTGTAGAATATTCTCTTTTAAATCAATATGTATAAATTCTAGATGTTTTTCCGCCACAAAGGAAGGTACAAATAATATTTTAATTTTTATTTGATGTGTATCTGTGCACTTTACCAATTAATATATTAGTACACAAGCAAAATGTTTGCCAAAAATTGTATAATGTTTTGCAGTTTTTTCTGGTGAGTATCGCTATAGAATATTCTCTTTTAAATCGGTGGACGAATTTTGGATGTTTGGCGCCACGACGTAGGTATTATAAAATTTTGATTTTAATTTGATATGTACTGTATGTGTGCACTTAACAGTACTGGGACACAACCAAAATGTTTGCCAAAATTTTATATATTCTTCAGTATTGTACTTGTAAGGGGTCCCAAGTCTCGCTGGAATCTGTTGGAAATTGCTACAGCGTTCGGCACTCCCGCAAACAAGCAAGAATCTTCTGGAAATAACCGAATATCCCACAAATTCATAATACGGTATTTTCATGTTTTCACTGATTGTCTCATTGAAGTCATTGCCGATTGGGTATCACGATGTGCAGCAAAATATAATTAAATGTTAAGAAAGTTCATAACCAGATTAGTGGCAGATTCAATGGGAACACCCCTCCCCCCCCAAAAAAAATAAATAAATAAATAAAAATTAATAAATAAAATATTAAAAATTTCCATAAAAATGGAGAAAAATTTAAGAAAATCACATTCAAATTTAAGTCTGAAAGTGCCATTTTCCAGCCATCTAGAGATTCAGTAATCATAAATTTTGTAATCAGCCCCAACCACGTGGGGCTGAGGTGGTATAGATAATAGACTGTGAAATCCCCTCTCTGGTTCCCGTCCCCCACCCCCTTCTATTTCAAATTCTTGGATCCACCAACTGCAGATCTCCTGGAATTGACCTCTTCCAACTTCGGACCCCTGACTTGTGATCTGTCTACAATATCAAATATGGGCATCATAATATCAAACTCAAATATTGGCTTGATGATGTCATATCATTATCATGGGCACTTAACAGGTATTTGTCTTATAAATAAAACTTGATATACGGTTAGTGTGGATAGCGATAAGGGTCATATTTCTTTCACCACAAAACAGTCTTAAATGCTAAGTATATAGTTCCACGAATATGAAGGGAATTTGAAATAACTTACGAAATACCAGATCCTATAGTGCAGTAACTGTATGTAGGGGACCTCATGTCAAAGGTTATGTGTAGTCATGTCAAGTGGCAATCTGGTGACCTGGTTAAATATCAATGATTATAGGCAAGTTCATAATATTTGGAAATATGTTATGTGTGTTTACTTTTTAAAGTGCTTTGTTTGTTGCCTGTACTCATCATTATGCACTAGGGGTATTTTTCAAAGTATTTTTATAAATTACTTCTCATTAACATAAAAATTAAGTTATCACCAATGATGTAAAACTAAAATTAATTGTTAATTTTCAATAAAATATGTAATGTTATTGATATAATTATTCACAGTGCTTCTTGTTTGTTTTGTTGTTGCTTTAGGCGCCGTTTATACTTTGTTTACTATTTTTATTAATACCGGTAGTTATGCAAATCAGGATAAATATTAATCAATGATGTCATCCAAAATTATAATTCACTTGTAGTAATTGTATGCATAAGCCAACCTTAGCTTTATTATCTATTGGAATATCATGGTGTCAATTTGAAACGGTAGCCTAGGGGAACTTCAAATGCTTTACCTTTAAAAGAGATTAACAGTAAATTAGCTCAGAGTAGCCTTAACGATTGTAGCAAATGCAGAAATTGCTCAACAGAATCCCAGTCGCAGAATGGAGAAGAACAAGCTATCGTTTTTAAGATTCTGTTCGCAATATTCTTTCTTTGATAGGCGGCCAAGAAAGGAGAAGAAACCGACAACGACCGTCGAGGAGAAGAAGTTGTTTCTGGAGCCGCAATATACCAAATCACAGGTGATAGATCTTGATATACGAGAACTCGTCAGGCTGCCCAAAGGTCTTGAGCTAAATGAATGGCTGGTATCTAATTGTGAGTATGACAAAATGATTAAGGGGTTTTTTGGGGGGGTTGGGGGAGGGGTGGTTATGGGGTGTGAATCTGTTCTTAACTTTCATGTAGCAAAACACCCAGAAAATTCTATCAAAATATACAAACATCCTTTTAACTAAGATTTTCGGTGACTGTTTCTGTGTTGATCCCATGTTTAAGAAACATTGGTGGCCTCTTTTCAGCATGGACTCCAACAAGGCCAAATAGGGTCCCAACCAAAAAGACACTTGTGGCCTACTGTACAGTAAGGGTCTCCTAGTAAAACCCCTGGTGACAATCAAGAGCAGTGTCGGTGCAAGAATTCCCCTATTTAACCTGTTGTTAAAGTTAAGTTGCTAATGCCATAACAAACGGGAAAATTTAGGTTCACCCCCTCCCCCTTTTTGAAAGCAAAAAAAAAAAGAAAAAAAAAAAGTGCCTCAGAGGTTGTTTTCGGGCACCTAGAACACCAAAATTTTTTGGGGGAATTACCCCAGACCCCTAGAGTAGTGTTATCTCGATTGGCCTGACTTTCAGGGGCCCCCCCCCCCCTTTTCAGATATCTCTGGATCCGCCCCTGACAAATTCTTGTTATGAAAGAGCTTGGAGAGTGGAGTTGATGTTTGCAATTAAATAAAAAATCCTGACACTTTATAACTTCTCCAGATTTAAAACTATGTGTTGGTATGCAAGTCATCTTTCTTTCTTATCTTCAAACCACATCACCTTGAACCTTGAAATATTTTGGAAGCATGGCGTAGCAGTAAAGTTTCATTCTTATTTAAAGTTTTGTTTTCGAATAATTAAAGTAAATTTAAATGTAAATTAATGACTATAAGCTCATATTTCATTCAAATCCTCTTGTACGGTACCTTTTGGATAGTTTTCTGTAAAATTAATCTAGATACGAACTGTGAACTACCTCAGTTTTTAAATCCATTAAAAATATATTACTTTCAAAATTGATTGATTCCTATGAATATTTTACATTCCTACTAAAAGGAGATTCTGTATAAATATTACCACTGTTTACAGCATTACCTTTGAAAGTATACAGTGATTGATATGAGATTTTGTCTATTATGAGTTTCTATTTGATGTGATATTTAAAGTGATACTGCATATATAAGTAGAATTTATAACGTTATAGAATTATTAACAGACTTTCAAACACATTCTCTTTTTTTGTAATCTTCTCAATTACCAATTGTTGAATGTCCTTTCATCTCATTATAAGGTACAACTCCTTTGTTGTCATGACAATACTGGCAATGATGTAATGTATGTGCTTGAAGATGGATTTCCTGATTTTACTTGATTAGCATTACAGATGCCCTTATTTATTATTAGCTTCTTTATCACATCCTCATTGTCATCGTAGTCATCATCATCAGCATCATCACAATCATTATCATAATTATCACCAACATATCGTCATATCAATCTTAATCATCATCATCATAATTATTATTATCATCATTATTTATTTCATTTCATCTTTGGAACACAACAGAGAAAGATCCATGAATTATTAATCAAATTAACTAGTGATTCTCCAATACCTATTATTTGATTAATGATGATTAACATAATTATGATGTTGATGTTAATGATGATTAACATCATCATCATAATTAATGATTAAAATCGCCATCATCAACATAATATAATAATCATCAGCGGCCTTACAAACCAAAGCAAAACTGCAATGTCAACCACTCCCAAATATGATTCATTCTTTTTTTTCTACTAATCTATTTGTTTTCAAAATTGTCTTTTCCCGCTATATTTCTACAGTGTTTTTTTCATTTTCAGGTTTATCATTTTTCAATAACATTAATGTACTGTATGGTGTAGTGTCCGAATTCTGTACTAACGAATCATGTCCGATAATGATTGCTCCTTGCAATACGTAAGTTATAACTTGTTTTAAATTTTTTAATTATTGTACTTTATAATATTTCATTAAAATGAGTCGGATTCTGAGTGGTGCATGTAAAGTGTATTAACCCCTTTTGCCCCTTCTGAATGCTAAATAATTAGAATATAAACACATACACTTCAAACTATCATAAAAAAAAAATCGCTTTTGAAATTGTAATGCCTTTGAACTCAGAAGATAGCCTTTGGATATATTGATTTTATAATAGATTTTTAATTCATGGTTACTGTATGATAAAATTTAAAGTGTTATATTGTTAGAAGTAGCAGACATTTTATAGAATTTTCAACAATCTTTGCCAAATTGCTGATAAGCCATCATCATCATCATCATCATCATCATTTTCCACACAGCATCAGGCTTAAGGGTGTTAAATTGCACTGGGGTGGAGGGAGGGGGTGTGGGGCACTATATACTATCATGCTTATATTTCTCAGCATTTTTTTTTTTAGAGGATAATTACTGGACAAAGGGTAGCCTATAACAAGGCCCTGATGAAGGGAAAAAAATTTCTTTGTAATAAAAATGAAAGTGTTCCATTTCCTAATATCTTTCTGGTCTCATCAGTAAACCAAATAATCAAATAGAACCTCAACGGCGATAAAAATGCTGGGCTTTTATTTTCATTTATTTTCACATATTTGCCTCAAACTGCCCATTAGCTACAGTGAGTCATAACACCACAAGTGTAGCCTGTAGCCCCTACAATACAATGGATGAAAATATGGAGCCTTGCCATTTCAAAATCAGCGTACTATTGCTAAACCGAGTAATTAGCATAAGAACATGGCATTATTGACTGTATTTAATACTTTTACCCAAAACTTTGGCAATAGTACTGTCGATCCTAGTAAATCACCCATCATTTTAAAACTTAATAATTTAGAGAATATAAGAATATATTAAAAAGTCAATTTTCATTTGATGGTCACTGATCCTGGTGGTTTTGTGAATTCAAGCCACATATAATGTATTCCTATACACAATTTATACGATACAGTGTCATTAGGCTATTCATAAAAATTCCATTGTAATTTATTTAATTTGAATGCATTTGAATTGTGTGCACAGTAAAATAATGATTTTCTGAATTAACTCAAATAAAATCAAATTAACCATTATACCTAGGAGATTGGCAGATTATGGAACAAAAATATTATTAATATTTTTATGATTATTTTTGTATATTTTCAGTCAGTACTTTTGGTATGATGATAAAGGGCGAAAAATGAAATGCACAGGTCCACAGTACACAGACTATGTGATGAGTTATATACAAATGAACATACAAGATGAAACAGTCTTTCCTGTTAAATATGGTAAGGATATTCATGTGAAGGGTCCATTAAATTTGCTGTAAAACTTTTGATTTGTACCCGCTCCACTTGAGATCCCCCGCTCTAATATTAACCCATCTTAGGGTTAATCTATATAATGGTAAGGATATCTACATGAAGAATTCCATTGAATGTACTGTAAAACATCTTATTCATACCCAATACTCTATTTGTTACCCATGCTCTAATCTAATACTGACTTACCCATCTTTAAGGATATAATGACCCAGTACTGTGGTAAAGATATTCACATGAAGGATTCCATTTTTAAACTTTCAATTGATACCCAATACTATATTTGTGACCCATGCTCTAATGCTATCCTATCTTAGAGTTAATCAACAGTATAATAATGACCCACTACTCTAATGTTACCCCAGTGGGGTTGTTAAGCCCAAGAGGAAGGAAAAACTTCTAGCATATTTGCTTATCAATTTATCGATGATGCTGTAGGTGCCTTAATGTTTTGAATGGTGAAGTTAATGAATGTGATGATAATTTGTATCAAGAAGAGAATGAGGCTGAGAATTTTTGGGATGAGATCCATAATAGATCTTGTCATCTGATCATCTCTTCTAAAGGATGTAGACATGACGAGATCCAGGATCTTGTCATCTGATTATCTTTTCTATAAGGTGTCGACAAAGACGATGATTATCTAGACATAATGGGTGGCACTTTTAGGCTTCCATACGATTAGTATGCGTTTGGTTTTAATGAGGAGGATGATGATGAGGATAGATTTGGTAAATGATAAATATGACACTGGTAATATATGGATTGGATTGGGTGGGATTTATTCGGTGTAAACACCAAGGATAGCCCACGAAAGTCTAGAAGAAGACTTTTTTCCAGTGTGGTCCTTCTGGTGGTGATTGGGCAGTACACCAGGAGACAATCCCCTACTCTTTTCCAAAGAGTGTACTGCGTTCTTTAACGTGCACATGGGCCATCAATGCACACAGGACCAACGGCTTAAACGCCTCATCCAAAAGACGGTGCGGTATTGTAACTTTGTATTTCAACCCTTCAGCTGAAATACAAGGAGAGGCAGCGATCGGAATTGAACCGGGGACCTAGAGATATCTACGGTTCAGCGCACACACAGTGGCTACCACCAGATTAGCCGGTTGAGCTAAGCTGCTCTCTCATGATGCTAACCTGCTCTTACCATGATGTTGATAAATATTATATCTTTGTGTAAGGTTTACAGAACCAATTGTTATTGTTAATGTTATTATTGTTTTAGTATTTATATAGCGCCTTTTCCTGTAGGTTACAAAGCGCTTTGTTGTCCCTGGTCATTGGGTCCACATGCTACAGTTGTTTTTTATTGGCGCAGTAGCAGGCTACCCCACCAGGTACCCATTTATACTGTACTCCTGGGTGGAGAGTAAGCAATGCAGATAAGGTGCCTTGCTCAAGGACACAAGCAAAATGTACAGCAAGTGATTGAAACCCCGACCTCAAGGTTGGGAAAACAAACCCAAACCGTTTCCCGCTGTGCAAAACCGCTTCCAACCTAAAGCCTATGTTATTAGTAGTGTTATTATTACCATATCTCTAGTTTTTTTGTTTTTTTTTTGTCTTTAAAAGTGAAATGTCTTTTTCACCTACTTTCAACCAGATATGTCTTTTGGTAATCGGATCTTAATGTTTATAGCAAGTTTAAACTGCTGTGAGAAGTCCTTTTTTCATTTGAATTGATTATCACCTAAATATTTATTATTGTGATTGATTGCAACATTGGAAACACATCACTTACTGTAGTATGTAACTGTCTCTACCTAATGAAACCTACAAAGCCTGTACGTCATCTCACTGATAATTGATCAGTAGACCGTTCCACTATGAATAGATAACATATCTGATTACCAGTGAATTTTGTGAATACTTACCTGGATAAACCGATAAATGCCTAAATTTCCTTTGAAACTTACCTCTCGAGCATAAAAGAAAATAATGGACTCTCCCTATCTCGCCTATATACGCCCTGCGTAAAATGAACCATATCCTCGTTTCCTTCTCGATTTTGTATGAAAGCTTGCTATCGTTCTTTACAAAGAGTTGTAAAGTGCAGTGTTTCATGTCGCCATGTCCGCGCGGAAGCCTACTTGTTCGATGTGTGGAGGCCTAGCCCACGCGATGATAAGCACCCTGCTTGCCCGGCGTGTCGCTCATGCGGGCAGGGCGCGCCGTGTGATATTCGAATAGATAGCATATCTGATTACCAGACTTTTTTATATTACTAAGATATTAATAAACATTTTTGTTAGTGCACATAAATTATGTAATATTTAAAGTCCATGTTTCGCAGGTAACAAAAATGTTGGTATTTCGCAAAAACTCTGGGTGGTTACACCCCTTTTTTCCCCAGATTTTAAAATTCAAAAATTTGTATCACATGTTTGCAAGTTTTTCATCAAACACCCTTTTTATGTCTTTCAAAAGGAAACAAAAACAAAAATAAATATCGGTTTTTGACTCTTGACTTCTCCAGCGACCTTTGCCAGCCCTAAGCAAATGGCAGGGGATCACCCTGTCTCACAGATTTCAAATATTTAAAGGTGGCAATAAAATAAAATTGCAACACATAGTAACTATGAATAACCGTCTCTCCATGGCCTTTAGAAAAATATGATATCTCATCTATTGTTTTTTATTTCGTTTGTAATTTATTTAGTTTGTCCTATTTATCAGTCTGCAGATGTGTTACCATTCATCAGAATAGGAAATTAGATGTCTGTACAAGAAGATTTTAATTATTAGCCCGTAGGCCATGTGACTCAAATTGCTTAATAATGGAGCGTGACGCATTTTAATCTTGGATAGAAAATATTATGATTTCGCTGCTTCAATTCTGTCTTATATTAATCTCCTTTCTTCACACATTTAGGCTGTGGAATAATGCGCGATAACAATTCATTTATTATTTCATTAAAATTAACTTACGATGCACTAAGTACTGTGCTTAAGTACAAAGGAACCTTATTAGGAAAATCGGTGATGCAAGATAAATGGTTTGAGATTAACATGTCCAACGTCTAGCAGACATTGCTACCATATGGATTTGTACATACAGCACAGGTGGGCAAATTGTGGCCGGTGGACCACATGCGGCAGAACAACAACTTTATTACGGCCCACGACAACCATACAGTGTGCGGTCGCCCTACCACCTTTGGCTAGAACACCTCTTGTTTTTATGTTGTTAACACCGATAATCTGTAAAAAGTATATTTAAAACTTAGCATATAGCGGTATAAACTCAATGCATAAATGGTTTCCTGGAAAGGCCAACGTTTGGGTGCTGCTCCCAGTGCTAACTCTTTCTGAATTTTAATTTCTTCCTAAAACTCACCTTTTCCCATAGTTCATACTTTTAAGCGCTGTGAGACTCCGGTAAAGAGCACTATATAAATGCTTGAATATTATTATTATTATTATTATTATTATTATTATTATTATTAAATCAATTGACTTTGGCCCTCCGACCCATTTTATGCCCACCCCAGACCTACAGTATACCTACTGACCGTATGCCAATAGAAATTCAATACCTAGAATTAAGGATCTTATATGAATCTGTTGATGAGATTTGTGTTTTGTGGGAATATGTTTTATGTTCTTAAAAGATTGTTCCATCAATGAAAAGATAAAATATGAAAAGCTACTGGATGTAAAAAATAAATCACTGTAGAAATTGTAACAATGAATGTAAGCACTGGAAAATTTGTTTGCTTTTTGTGAGAATATGTTTTATGTTGCTGAAAGATTATGTTCCATCAATTGGAAGATAAAATATGGAAAGTAAAAAATAAATCATCAAATAAATCAGTGAAATTGTAGAAAATTAAAACAAAGCTAGCAAAAGACATGAATAACCATGAATATTGCAAAGTACTGGAAAATTCTAAAAATTACCCTAATGTTATTAATGAGGATGATAGTGATGATGATAACTGTGACAGTTGTGATAATGGTGGTGATGATGGTGGAAATGATGATGGTAATGAGGTAATGGTAGAAGCAGTTTTGTAGAAGCGGTTTGGTGCTCCTTCAGCAAGGCACTTTAATCTGCATTGCTTCTCCCTACCCAGGAGTATAAATGGGTACCTGGTGGGGTTGCTTGCTCCTGCGCTGATTACAGCAGCAACACTTAAGCATGTGGATCAAATGACCAGGGACAGAAGCTCTTCGTATCTGCAAAGAAAGGCTATATAAATAAACCAAATATAATATAATAATAAAAATAATAATAATAATAAAAATATAATGTGGTGGTGAAGATGAGGGTGCTAATGATGTGATAATGGTGGAGATGATGGTGGTAATCATGCTGGTATGAAAGTATGATTGTGGTAATGATAGTGGATAGGATAGGAGTATTTTTTGTGCGAATCACAGGAAGGAAAAACCTCTTAAGTTCAAAGACTTATTTCCAGTGGGGTCCTTCTGGTGGTGATTGGTCAGTACACCGGCAGAAAATCCTTAACTCTTTTCAGAAGAGTGTACTGCATTCTTTAACATGCACATGGGCCATAGTATGCACACAGGACCAATACCTCAAACATAACATCTGAAAGAGAGTGCACTATTGTAACTTCCATCATTTGATAATAGTAATTATAATAATAATAACTTATAGAGGGGTTAATACAAAACAATGCTTAGCGCTTTACACAAAACTCTAGCTGACATACAATGTAATGATCATGATAATGGTGACGATAGTAATCTGTAATGGTGACAGCGATGGTGTTGAAGGTAATTGTTATGATGGTGATGAGGTGGTAATGATGATGCCAATAACTATAGTGACAATAAAGATGATGATAATGATGATGATGATGATGATGATGTATACCTGTGCATTAAAAATATAAGTTCAGACATCTTAAAATTGATGGGTGTGCTTGCAGTAGGATGTGAAAGTTAATATAAAATATTTAGATTTTTGCCAAATATTACTCCCATGACTTGAATATTTCTCCAACGCTCATTATGTATTCAGCCATCTAAATGTCAGGACTGTTAATATGTAACCATCCTTTTATAAATCTGCATGTTAAATGCACAAACTAAGTAAATATCAAACCTCTTTGGAAACCCGCATTACAATTTACATACACCTTTTTTGTATAAGAAAAACTTGTCTTTCTCTTGTATATCTTGGATTCATTGAATACTTCAGCAAAATATCTTCATTTTACATGTCAGTTCCCTAGTATTCTATTAGTGTGTTATCATTTAACCTCATTGGTTTATCTATGTAATATATGGAGCTATGGTAATATTGTAGCTTTTTATCTTCATGCTGTATTCCCTATGTTAACTATCACCCACAGAATATCAAACACATTTTCTCTTGTACGTATTTCCCAGCGTGTCCTTCATCTGATGTCTGGGGTATTAATATAATATTTATGGTATTATTATTATTTGATTATCATTCTATTTGGTATGTCATCATCATTATCATTATTATTATTTTCTTGTTATATTACCATTTTCATTATATATAATTATTTTTATTAATTGTTATTGCTATCATTATTTGTGTTATTATTACTATTACTATTATTGTTGTTGTTGTTGTTATTATCATTATTATTACTGTATTATTGTTATTATTGTTATTATTATTGTTGTTATTCTAGTTATTATTATTAATTTTATTACTGTTATTATTGGTATTATTATTATTATTAATATTATTACTGTTATTATTGGTATTATTATTATTATTATTATTATTATTATTATTATTATTATTACCGGTACTATTGTTATTACCGAGTCAAATGGCCGAGCAGTTAAGCCAGGGGCACCACAACCTGCAGCCATAATATAGGCGCTTGATCGAACAGCACGCTCACCTATGGTTCTGATGGTAGAACAAGTCTTCTCGGATAAGGACTATAAACTGTAGGCCCAGTGTACACAATGTCTCGTGTGTGCTGTAAAGAACCCAGTACTGTACATCATTTGAGGCGAGTATGTGGATACCCCTGATGTAGTGGTACAGACAGCCCCTGTGGTGGACGACGCGAGAGTTGCTAATACCGGGTTCTGGGTAGCACAGACAAGAAGGGACCCAAACGGACGAAGAAAGTCATTGATCAAGCTACTAGTCCGCATACCAAGCTCCATGAGCATCTTTGATGGATACCGGCGCTATGCAAATCTACACTATTATTATTATTATTATTATTATTATTATTATTATTATTATTATTATTATTATTATTATTATTACCTTACTGTAGTGCTAGTGGTATGTTCATCAACAATAAACCATTATTTTATGAATACTTGCGTGTCTCTGTTTAGGTAATAACCTCCTTGTTTTGACCATTTGTAATACGCTAAATGCGCCAAAATTTTATGACAGGTGGAACTCTTTTACATTGATGATGAAGAATTTTTATTGTTGCTATGTTATTCGAAGAGTGATGTTTTGCCCTACCTGACATATTATCGTACTGAATACTCAGTACATTCCCAAATACTTGCGAAAAATATTTACAAGTGATTCGGCGGGAATCGAACCCACAACATCCAGATAACCAGCCTGGCACTGTTATGTTATTGTTATCAATAATAATATTACATACAGTACTATAAATTCTTTTTCTTGTTGCAGGTCAAGTCTTCCCTAGCAATATTGAGAGTATTATGCATAAGATTCTACGATATTTATTTCACGTGCTAGCTCACATCTACCACTCGCACTTTGAGCAGCTCGTCTTCTTCCAACTCCATGCCCACCTCAACTGTATCCTTGTTCAGCTTGTCCTATTCTCGTACGAGTTCAACATACTAGATTCCAAAGAGTTCACTGTACTAGAAGATTTAATTTCGGAATTAAACATCATGCCATCTTCGGATTCTCACAAGGCAGCAGAGGCGTCATAAAGGAGAGATTTTGATTGACTGCTATAAATTATATATTTTTCATAACATTTTTTTTGACAATATTTATCTTTTTTTTGCTTTTTCTAAAATGCAATTTATCCTTTTTTGCAACATAAACTACTCTTGATAAATATTCAACATGATATAAAATTGTAAAGTAATAATTTTTGAAGCTATGTATTTTGCATTACTGTATTATTCTAAAGGGCTGTTCACACTATTGTGTTTTATGTAATAAACATGTGTTTTTGCCTATTATGGGTGTGATATAACATTTTCATAATCATCATCATCATCATTATCGTCACTATCATCATCATTATTATCATTATCGTCCTGATCATTATCATTATCATCGTCATCAATACCATCATTATCGTCATTGTGATCATCATTGTGATCATTATCGTCCTTGTCATCATTATTGTCATTGTCATCATTATTGTCATTGTCATTATTGTCATTGTCATCATTATTGCCATTGTCATCATTATTGTCATTGTCATTATTGTCATTGTCATCATTATTGTCATTGTCATCGTTATTGTCATTGTCATCATTATTGTCATTAAAACTTACAGTGTGGACAGAGCATTAATTCTTTATTATTTATTTATTATTTACTGCCATTTATTTTGGTTTCACAGATATTTTTGTGCTTGATATTCATAATTTTTTAAACTATTAATGAATGTTTGAATTCTTATTCTTGCTGAACATTGACAGAATGATAATGATAAAAATAATAATAAAAATAATTAATAAATTGATAAAATTGATAACTTCATTTAGTTTATTTTTTAATACATGTGTTTTAAATTTAATCAATGACAATACAAAATAATACAACGTTGCTGTACACTACCCTGGGGTATGTCAAGAGTGCTAGGTACTATAATTAATATGTTTCAGATAGTATCCAAGAGTGCTAGGTACTATCCAAGAGTGCTAAGTACTATCCAAGAGTGCTAGGCACTATGCAAATGTTGCATGCTTACCTGTTTGAAAGAAAATTTAAGCCTAACATGAAGCTAAAACTAAACTAGTAAACTAGTGATGTCACTTGCTCATCGACATACAGTAGTGATGTTACATGCTCAAGCATAGAGTAAGAACGTCACATGTTTATCAAATTTAGAACACATGCTCAATCAGCTGGTGTCACATGATTACCAACGTAAAGTAATAATCTCACATGCTTAACAACGTAAAGTAGTGATGTCACCTGGTCATCAACATAAGTAATGATGTCATGTCATGTCAACATAAATTAGTGATGTCATTTGCTGATCTATGATGGCACATACTCAAAATGTTGTGATTTTATTTAAAAGTAGCAAATCTTTGTAATATTTAAAAGTCCTACATTGCATTCTAATAATTAAATAATTATTAATTATGGTAATGATAAAATAATTGTAATTATATTTAGATAAAAATTGTATAGTATCTCTTGTGTGACCTGATAGATGTGGTCTGGTCATTATTGGCAGATTGATCTTGTAATAAATAGCTTTTAATATGGTTTATTAATTTTAATAATATTTTTTAATATTATATTGTAATTATTTATATGTTATCTTTATTTTTTATGTTAATATTATAATGTGTATCATTAATACAGTATATTTCTATTATTAATTTATTGGCATCATACTTATGTTTATTTCTGTAATTTCTGTCATTAAAAAAAAATAATAATAGTTACAGTAATACTTTTGTTAGATTTTTTTAAATGTTTTAAAATATAAAAATAAGTGGTTGACTGGTTGTTATTTAAATTACTATAAGGTTGAGTTTGCCTGTTTTATTTGACAAAGCTTAAAGTTTAAGAAATTGCTTAATATTCTACTTAATACTTTTTTGCATGAATGAAAAGTACAATAATAAATAATACAAGTCACCTTCCTGCCTTATAATAATTTTTTCCCACCTTGTAAAATCCCCATCGCTGTCAAAAGCTCCCTTCCTCACCAGTGGCGTATCTAGGGGTCTTGAAGTGGGGTGGGGGTGATTAGGGACAAGGCGGAAGTGGGGTTCTTGGTGATATAAGGGGGAGGGGGAAGCTCTAAAAATATGGTGATTTGAGGTGATTTTTGACTACTTGACCATGATTTTTTTGGTTGGTAATTTGGGGGGGAGGGGCAAGTATTTTTTGGGAGTTTAAGAGTCATGAGCACCCCCTAGATATGCCATTGGCAATATTTCATGAGGAAATTCCACACCTTTATTTGAACTGTCACATTATATAATTCACAGCCACTTGCAGGAATTTGAATCTGAGGATGTTATGATTTAGAATATGCATAACAGGATGAATGCATGAATAGGTCATATTGGCACTTTTGAATCACACACAATTTGTATTTGCAAGTTTTGTTTTGTTTTTTCTCTAGTTTTAGAATTAATATTTGAATTAATATAAGTTTTATAGTTGTAGGAAAGTTTGAAGTTGAATCATCTGTTAGTCTACGGCATACATTGACCGATTCGGTGATGGGCGTCATGTGACCTAACTTGGGTGTTGGATATAAACAATGGACTGGCTCAGCAGAGAGTGCTATGTTGGCTGTCCCTTGCTATTGCTGTAAAGATCATCATAATTGCTATATTTGTTCTTTTGAACGTGATTTAAGTTACTTTAAGTCGATTGTTGATGTCCCGAAATTCACCACACAAACTTTGTGTTACTTCTTGTCCAATGGAATTTGAGATTTTTAGACAAATGTTAGGCCTAGGCCCCTACAATCGTATTGCCTTTCCTTGCCATTTATTTTTCACATTAAACAGTGGGTAGTTGTTTTCGCAACCATAACATTATATTTTCCTATACTTTCACACTGATCGCACTGTAATGTTTCCCGTGGTATACCCACCGTAGGTCACGTGACCGGCTGTAAACAAACATCGCCGAATCGGTCTATTATTGTTTGTATTTAATTTAAACACAAAACTGTTTTTAGTAAGCTAAGGAAACAAGATAAAGTTAACATTATGGACTATTCCATTTAGTCATTGGTGATGTGCACATTTTTTTTTATGTTCGTTTTCATTATGCATTTGGTGTTATACCTGACTCCTCTGGTGTTTAATTTCACTACACTTGTAAAAAGTGTTTTATAGTATGTGAATGTTGCTTATTTAATATGAATTACGGTATTGTATGTTTGATATAAATTCTTATTACTTTCTATAGAAAAATAATGACATCTTCATTCCATGATGGGGTCATTTTCAGTTCATTGAGGTACTCTGGGTGCAATTGCATTTTTGGGTTACAGTTCATAAGCAAGTTGTATCATGTGTACCTCATTAATTGACCTTGAAAGTGACCCCATGATGGAGTCAAAATGTCATTCCTTTTTTAAGCATTATTTTGCTTTTAAGTATGGTTTCGTCAAGTCATGGAAAAAAGTTGACTGATTGATCGATTGATTGATTAATTTAATCAACCTGTTCCATTGGTAGATATTGATTCTATACTTGAATTTCCCTCATGAATGTATAATAGCTTTAGAATATCTGTTTCCTGCCCATAAGTTATCTTATATACCAAAAAATATCGGACACTTAAAGTGTGCCCTCTGGTGTTCATATTTATCAAACATAATATTTATTCGTAGTTAATTATATTACCATGTCAACTATTATGGTTCACTGTAGTAATGTTGCTATATAAGGACATATACAAAGCAATTTGGGATACAATAGTATACAATTACACCACATCTATCATACCTGTTGATTATTTTTCTCATCATTTAAAATATAAAATTAAATTCATAATAGCTATGAGTATGTTAACAAGTTTAATGATTATTTTCTGGGTAACAACATTTACAATTCAGAAAATGGTATAGTATAAAAATATAATTATTTATGATGTTAAAACATTTTATTTTTAATTATTATTTAATCATCCTAAAAATAACAGCGTATCTTAGGGTAAACATAAGAATGAATGATCCTGCTTGTAGATGGAATATGTAATGTTTGGTTGTATTATAACAGCCTGCCTGTAGTGATGATATAAGGCCAAATAAAAAAAAAAACAAGTTTCTCGTCCCATCGCGCATCCATTTCCTCTCAGGGTGGCACCTCTGACAAGTGCGAAGATTTCCCCGACAAGAGCAAAGTGGGCATGTTTCGAGCATTCCCCAGCCCTGCTGGTCCCACCCATGTTTTCTCTGCTTCACCTAATTTTTTTTCCCTTTATTTTATGAAATGTACAAAAATCTGGCTAACTCATGTAAAATTCGACTCTCGATCTTTTGTGGTTGGGGATACATATGGTATGAATTATGTCTAGTGCTTCTTTTATTTGCTTTCAATGTGTCTACTTTGTAAAAGTGAGAAAGTAGTAGCTGTTTTCCATTGACCATCTTTGATTTGCCACCTCGGAGTAAAAAAATACTTTTTTTTCTCCTCAAAATATTTGGACGAGAAACGACTCGTTTGTTTTACTTGGCCTAAACTGTGTTCACGGACAGTTTTGAAGTGCAATAAACCAGTAGAAATCATATTATAATGCATTAGTGTACAGATGACAGTTGAAACAATATATAGCCTCTTTGTAGTTTTAGGTATAGATGTAAATAAGAAATGTATATACAAGTTTACAGACACTATTGTTTGAATTTTAATTTAATCCTAGCTACTTTTCATTTGCACTTCTAACCAGAGCATCATAAATTAATATTAATTAATAATTCAACAATTAATCTTCTAATATTATCATTAATTAAAAATTCGCTGCTTATTATATTGAATGATGGAATATATTTAGCCCTGCCTTATCTTGTCGATGATTTTGAGCTGCAGGGAAACAGATGTTGGCAACATATGTCAGTTGTCTTAAATTGTAAGAATTCAATATGTTATTAATTACAAACAGTTGTGAAGAAGTGAAGAAATGAAGGTATTTGCATGGGGAGAGGTAAGGCAATTCAGGAATAAGGTTACAGAATTGGATAGATGTGATGCCTACCGGCACAAAAAAAATGTGCATACTGTAACTCCTAGGATGCTGTCCAAACTTCCTGTGGTTAGACAAAAGTGATATAATAATTTTTTTAAAATTGCATGATGTCATAAATTTATTATTGCAGTTTCATGAATTCATCACCCTCCCTCTTTTTTCATTGAAAACAGTAAATTCTTTCCATGCACCAAATAAAAAAAAACTTGACTCCTTAATTTGTTTGTCAGATTTTCCGCAGACATTTTTCTATCCAAGTTTGTCTCCTGGTAGGCCTAGTAAAAATATATGTTTTTCAGTGTGTTGTTGGGTTGAACCATAGACAGGGTTGAATGTTGGACAATGCTTTACCACATCCGACATAGTCTCATCAAACATTGCGGAGTCTGACAAACTAATTTTGATAGTGTATGCCTAGCTCTCCACTATATTCACAAAACATTATTTGCAACTCAGTAGTGTTATTTTTATCCAGTTCTTGTTACGTAGTTTTCATTGACGTTTGATGGATTTTTTTTTTTGAATGATGTGATGTCTTATCTTCATTAAGTTACAACTTCTAATAATTTATTAAATATGTTTATTTCTAGATTTTGCCACTTATAATGGTTAATTATAAGATTTTGCCTTTGTTTAGAAGCTTTCTAATTATGTTATGTCCTTGGCTGTGATTGAAGGAAGATAATAAATGAATGCAATTAACAGATTAAAATATTTGATTGCCTTTCTTGATTTTTAACTTGTGTTGATAGATTATAGAACAGCTATAGATCCGAAAGGGGGGGGGGGAGGATGGCAAATCGGGCTACAACACAACCTGAGACGTCCGTAAATAATATCTGAGGCATTTTGGGCAATCATAATTTCCTCTTCTTTCTTTCTTCTTTTCTCTTTTTTTTTTTTAACTTTCCAAAAGTGCTGGATCGCCTTCCCCCGCCCCCTAAATTCGCCGCTGGTTATAAACAGCCAAAACAGTTTTTTAGTTCAACAGACATATCAGGCTGTACCTTGCCTAGTAGTACTGGAATAAGAGGAAAGGTGTGTGTTCTGTTTTTTCTATTCAGTTCAATTTTATTCAGTGCTACGAGTGCTATCAATGGCCAATATCCGCTAAAATTACATTACAAAATACAAAATACACATACATGAGAACAACAAAAAAGAAAATGAGAGACACACTTCATCTCTTGTCATTTGCTGGTAAACTTAATGCCAAGCTAACTTATTCTAGTCTACTTTTACTGTTTATTTATTTATTCATCCTTTCATTTATTTATTTTTATTTATTTATTCATTATTCATTTATTTAAAATACCTCCATAGTGATGATAGAGATGAATTAACTTTAAAAAAATAGGTACATTGAGGTAGATGTGTATAAGAGACAGCCAACGCCCATCAAGGGAAAGTGTATCATCTAGGCCTAGAGTCAATTTGTTGAGGCTTGATAGTCAAGGAGCTGTCTCTTATACACATCTAGATGTGTATAAGAGACAGGTGCTACGAGTGCTATCAATGGCCAATATCCGCTAAAATTACATTACAAAATACAAAATACACATACATGAGAACAACAAAAAAGAAAATGAGAGACACACTTCATCTCTTGTCATTTGCTGGTAAACTTAATGCCAAGCTAACTTATTCTAGTCTACTTTTACTGTTTATTTATTTATTCATCCTTTCATTTATTTATTTTTATTTATTTATTCATTATTCATTTATTTAAAATACCTCCATAGTGATGATAGAGATGAATTAACTTTAAAAAAATAGGTACATTGAGGTTATAAAATTTGAATATTTGAAGGGGTGTTTCTCGTAAATCTGCATGAAGATAAAAACAGATAAAATAGTGTGTTGATTTTTAAGTAATGGAAGAAAATGCTTTGGGAATTGAATTTTATGACGCATTGTCACATTACGTGTCGTTTGCCGCGTTTGCGCCGAAACCAAAACTTAACTCGTAGGATTACTCTTGGGATAAAAATAGCCCGCATTCATGACGTAACTAGAAATTTCCGTGAATGCGGATTGATATGGCATAACTTCCCATTGAAGAAATTTACTCAAACCTTTAAAAAAAAAAACCCATAATATACGTTGTAGTAAATTATATAATAGAATATATAACCCCAAAGAGGTTGATATGCATTTAAAAATACGTACCTTTACTGAAACTTAAACATTTACAGCAAGAATTAATGAAATTTCCGTCTGCTCTAGTAACCGCAGTTACACAGAGCCTAGCCTGTTTTTAGAAGATGATGCAATAGATTGATTGAACCAGCGAGCGTATGGGTCAAAAGACTAGGATTAGAGCGAAGCGATTCATTTACCAGCAACAGAAACAGAAAATATACATCGTGAAGAAATCTGCTATCGTAAAAATGGATTATTTCGAGTTTACAGAAAGGAAATCGTCTACTGATGAATGTGTTTATGAATTTCAACAATATTGTGATGAGAACTCAGTTTGTAATATAGGAAATCAAGACAATTTTTTGAGTTTACCAAATGACTTTTGCCTTGACGCGGATCCACCGGCAACGAAGCACGTTCGGGTCATCCATTTTGACAGTATGTATTGGCAAGCTAAAATCTATTAAAAACGTGCTAACTATACAGGTACACAATGGTATAATAAGCTAAAGTTAAAGCACAGGACTATTTAGTAAAGGCAATTTATTTTACTATGTGTCTGTGAACCAAGTAAATTAGAACAATGGATCCAAACTCGATCCGAAATCAACACGAGACTTCCGTATGGCAAGCTCTATTCAGGGCGCAACACCTACGTGTGACCAGAAACCTGGCGAGAAAACAAGGGCTTTCCAACCTGCAGCACCAACGCCCATCAAGGGAAAGTGTATCATCTAGGCCTAGAGTCAATTTGTTGAGGCTTGATAGTCAAGGAGAGGATAGGCCTAGCAAGAGTCCACCTATTTTACCTTCTTCTAAAAGTAATATTTATCATCACTCTGAAGTTAATTACTACAAGGAAATACCAACAATGATTAAATCAAAAAACTCTTATTACTCACCACTGCCAGTTAATCAAAGACTACAAAATATTTTGCAAACAAGAACTAATGAGCTAAATGCTGTTATGTTACAAAGATGTTCTATTACGCATTCAGATAAAAATTCAAGTGAATTTATAAAACTTGCACAGATTTCATCATTTCCAGCAAATGAAAATAAGATGCAAAAAGAGAAAATCTTTGCGCCCTCTGTTCCGTTAACGCGACGTTTGCCGTATTTTAGACCAATGATTCCGGTAGTAGGAATGAGTGCTGCTGCTATTCTGTTTGGCAGATTTAAACAAGGAGCTAGAACTAACATGTTTATGCAAGCCCATGCCTCAGAAGAACCACCCGAGTCCAAGGTGTTTGACATCCATCAGTCATTATCTTTAGCAAAATTCGAACTTAGAGAATTGCAAAAATTGACAATGAATCAACATCTACCTCAAAGTAACCAGGTTGCAAGGCCTGCTGTTACAGACAATAAAAATGAATGTATTCCAGATATTGATATCAAGGGTGAAAAAATGAACCCAAAAGATGTAGGCCTAGAGGAAGTTGACCCTCTTCTTTCCACATTGTCTGTGGAACAAGATATAAAAAGCAATGAATGCAATAACCAAAGCGATGTCAATCTTCAGGCATCTCCAACAGATCATCATTCTAGTAATGAACATTTAAGTGAAGACAGCTCATGTTATTTCAGTTCCGAATGTAATGACGGAGATGATGACAGTGATGGTAATCGTAGAAGCAATGCTTCCGAAGATGAGAATGATGAAGACGATGAAGATTATAGTGATCAAGATAGCGATTGTGATTCATCAGGATCTCTATCTGATTTTGAAAGCGACACTGAGTCGTACGATGCATCCAGTGAATATGAATCTGATTCTGATATTGAAAGTGATTCTGAGTCTTGGTCAAGCGATGTCAAAAATGATGAGGTTCCTGTATGCGCCAATTCCATCGTCTCTTTCATCTTAGGCCAAGATAGCGAAGCTGCAGGCAGCAAGGACAGTGGCTTTGATGAAGGGGATGAACAAACACAAAATGATGCTGACAATACAGACCAGGTTGATGAGGATCGTCTATGGCGCTCTTTCATGGCATCTGGAGATCCTTACAACCCTATTAATGGATGGAAGTGTTCTTCAGATAGTCCATTCCGAGGAAGTGCCTCGGTGAATCAAAGTGGCCTTGGTCCACAAGAAGTGCAATCCCCATCAAACCTTAAGTCAGACAATGCAGAGCCACATTACTCGATATCTGATGACGATATCTCAACAGATGTCAAACATGCTGATTCATCTGGTCAAACTAAAGATGACCAGCAGACACAAAATGGTAAAGTGGATGGAGTGTCTTGCCCAGTTATTAAATGCCTTCTATCTTGTGCTATGCCATCCAATAAAACTAATCTGAACAATAAGTCTAATGAAATTAATTGTGATGCTGCTGTTAATACTGTAGTGAACATTGTTAAAAGCTGTTTCAAGAACAAGTTGTCAGGACAACAAGAAAAACAAACTAAGAAAGTAAGTTAAAATTACACAATAATTTGGCATTGTTCTTTATGCCCTACAGTAGGCCTACTGTATACTGTGTAATCTGTAATTTAGTCTTCAAATATAATAATAATACATTGTCTCACTTAAATTCAAGACCCCTCTAAATATAGTCCACCTCCAATTTAAGACCACAAATTCTGTAGCCCTGGATGAGTACTTTTCCTTTATTTTCATAATAATTATTTTACTAATTAGTATCAAAGATGATATAGACAAGGAAATCAGTGGTCTAAAACGTGTCTATAATTTGAAAAATATGTATAGTTTCAATGGAGAAGTAATTCTGATTTAATTCATTTCAAATTCTGTCAGGAAAATGTAACAAAATATAATCATCATGATGCTGGCTTCCAAGGGTTGCTAAAATGTTTAAGACTATTAAAGTGGCTCTCTTGATAGCAAAATAATGAATATTCATGATGATATACAAATTGTTGACTACATCCAATTTAATGAAAATTCATCTTTTATTTAAATGTAAAGCTTTGTCCGCACTATCAAATTTCCTTGGACAACAAAAAACTGTTGTATGCCCATATATAGACATGATGTGCCTATATATGGTCATGATGTGATGTCATCATGACCATATTAAGGCATGTCACATGTCTTTGTCAAATACAATTTAATAGTCTGGACAGGTCATTAAGAATGTTATAATTGAGTAGCTAACTACAGGTAGTTATTATAGACTGCAAAGTTGTCTGCTATCTGACTGGACTGTATAGTCACTGTTTAAACTGTGCATTGCTCAATGACATCGTAGCATTGCACCAGCCACTTAAGACTGTTTGAAGTTGGCAGCGTAAACGATGCATTTCGTGGACATGTGCCATAAAACAACATTGTTAACAGCCCTTGACTGGAATACAGTATATTAATTACCTTTTAGCATGTACGGTGCCAGATTCAAGGGGCCATTCCCCTTCCCCCGCCCCCAACTCATAAATTTTTCAAGAATATTTTAAGTCTAAGAGTGCCATTTCCGGCCATCTTTAGAGGCCATAATAATTATATTTTTTCTGTAGAAGGAGTCCCTTTCTCAGGCCCCTCATCTATTTAGAATTCCTGTATCTTCCACTGATGATGATGTACAATACTGCACATATTCAGTTTTAAAAAGTTGATCATTGTCATGATGGAAAATAGATTAGGTTACATCTGGCTGAATAAAGTAGGCCTATCTCAGATTCTAAAATACTATAATACTGTGTATTAATTAATATACTATATAATAATACTGTATATTAATAATAATAATTTTGTTCCTTCTTTGTCACTCTGCTGTTTCCCAATACCCTTCTATAGTATATGCTGGTAGTTCAATTTCAGATGTAATCGAATTGACTGATAACCTATTTGATTATACAATTGTGAATAGAAGCTTGAATTAGAATGGACTTATCTTTGGCATTGTTGTTTTTCCTAGTATTAAATAAATTATCTAAAGTAAACTTCCTAATGCATGATATGACTAAATCCAACTGATTTCATTATAAATACTGTACCTAAAAAATATTGTATTCAGTCTGCTGAAACTGAAAATTATTTCGAAATATGAGGGTTGCCTATCCAAAGCCAACATCAGCGAAAACTAAAAATTGACTTTTTAATATATTCTTATTCTCCACATTATTGCTTTGAAATAATGGGTCATACTGTAATACTGGAATCTACTTTACTGTTACTATTGCCAAAGTTTTGAGCAAAGGTATTTACAGTACCATGCTTCTCTGTACTAAAGTATACTATACTGCCCAGCCACATTGTTTTGCTATTGTTCAGAGCATTTAACAACATTAGAGTATGCTGGTAATTGGGATGTCAAGCCTTATACTTACAGTATGTGACAACTGCTGTCTCCTAGTAATGCAATTTCAATATTTTATAGTGTTATTTATCGTAATATATTACCTGTATTAAAAAAATACTTTAAACTTGTACATTTTAATATAGCAAATTATGACAAATTTCATGGCAAAATAAAACACTGTATTCCATTTACTACTGTACTACTGTATTTATTCTGATCTCATTCTTATTCTTAGTTACTGTAAATCACAGTATTCTGTTTACTCAAATTCTGATCTCAATCTCATTCTTAGTAGTACAATTGTATAAGGCCAGTGTTGTATCTGGTTTTTACACTGTTATCCCTAGAATAGTGTCCACACTTCCCCAATTCAATTTACAGTTTAATTATTTATAGAATGATAGCTATAGCAAGTCTGTTCCTTGAACTCCGTGCGTGATACTGTTTGTTACCTGATCTATTCATATGACTAAACTTGTGGTCAAAATTGTTTTGATTTCACCTAGGTTGCTGTGATTATAGTAAATAATGTATAGCATTGACCTAACAAGTACTGTACGTTATTAAGAGGTCATATCGATCAATAGTATTGTAATGTACTGTACAGTCAATTAAATTGATTGTTGTTGAAAGACAATGGCAAATAATGACCTTAGTAATGGTAATTTTTTGGTTAGTAGAAACTGTAGAAATGTGGCAGCCACATAATAATAATAATAATACTAATAATAATTTATAATAATAATAATAATAATAAAATGTATAATATAGCGCCTAATGGATCACACATCCCTCTAGGCACTTTACATAAATCTTAAACTACTGTACTGTATAGTGGAAAACTGTCCCCCACCACAGAAAACCAACCCAGTTTTTCAGAGTCTACAGTAGGTTTAAACATAAACATTTAATAAGTAAACCCTGATAGATATTGGCCTTCTTTCCTTAGAATAATAAGAATGATTCATATTGTTTTAAATGATGGCCATGTTATCTATATGATTTATTCATACAATAATATTTGTCATTACGAAATACCTTGGCTTGTTATGTTGAGAACTGAAATATATTATTTAATGTTTGTTGGATAAAAGCCAACAACAAAAATCATTATCGGTAAACACTCATACAATAGGTTTCTGTATATTGAAGCACGGTTGACATGCTTTTACTATTCATATTCAAATGTTGTCATTGAACCGGCCGGTAGTATCCTATTCATTTGTGTATTAGGGAAAGTACCATGTCGGTGTTATATTGCTCTGTACAATGGTAATAGGTGGCCCCTGGTGGATCAAGAGAATAATAAACAGAATGGAGTCATGTACATTTTTAGACATACATACAGTATACTGTACTTGAGTATTGTCTGATGAACGGATAATATGGAAGATTTTTGCCATTATCATAGTGTTGTTACGGAGTAGCCTATTGTATTGCAGTGTTTATGCCAGCTACTGGTACTGGTATAGGTTGTAATGCGCCTCTTTCTTTGAGGTTATAATGCACAGTTCTTTTCCCTGGTCATTGGGTCAACATGCTTTAAGTGTTACTGCTGGCAATCAGCGCAGGAGCAGGCAACCCCACCAGGTACCCATTTAATGCAGATAAAGTGCCTTGCTCAAGAACAGCAAAATGCACAGCAAGGGATTGAATGCCCGACCTTAAAGGTTGGGAAACTAAACCGTTCCTGCTGCGCCGAACCGCCTCTGTGACTAGGTCCTTTGGGGTGGAGGAACAAGGCACTGTGAGAGTTCTCTAAAATGTAATTTATAAAAAAAAAATATTGGTGTTTCCCGGCCAGATGTAATTTTCTATAATTATAATGCATGACTTATTAAAATTTTCATGATCATTGTATTTTTTTTCAGGTCTCTTTCAGTGACAAGGATGTTAGCTCCGTTGCTTACGAAAACCCTGCTTGGTACGACGACTACCGTGAAGTGCGCAAACCATATTGGGAAAGCTTTGCCCGTGACCGATTTCGGTTCCACCGAAGAGTGAACGAAATCAGCGATGCTATTAGCTACTGTTTTGAACCGAACCACCGAAGAAAGATAATGAAAACGCTCAAAATAGACGAATAATTTTAATGAAATCTTTTATGCAAATATGCTGCATTGATATTTACACAATTTTTCATACATGAATTATTAAAAAAATTATTTAATAGTTGGTGGTACTGGTACAATTCTTATATTAGTTGTGGTGGGCATGTCTCGCATTAGTCCTGCTGGCTGAGGTGGTGTATGATACCAAGAAGTGCAGTTAAACAGTACTTCATACCACAACATACAGTACATTAACTATAGAGGTCTCATTTAGATGCCAGAAACCAGTAGTCACTGTATGGGATACAATTTAATTATTATATGGGTGTGGTTATTTACCTAATTCTACCTGTGGATGATAATATATGGACCTTTGAAAGGGGAGTGTTATCATCCAAGATAGTAACAATGCATTAGATAATAGTTTAATTAAACAAGCTGGGTTAGTGAACAGTAACTGTATGATAGTGTACAGTATATAAATTATATTGGAAGACAGCACTTTTTAACTATTTAGAAATAGTACATAGACTTTCAGAGAGATATAAAGCCCTGCCCAAACCATCAAATTTTGTCTGACAAAAACATGTGATATGCCTAAATATGGTCATGATGACATCACATCATGACCATATACAGGTATAGGCACATCATCACTAACTATGGGCATAGAACATTACTTTGTTAAAGAAAATCTGATAATTTGGACGATTGGTGTGTGTTCTGTACTCTAGGTAGTCGGAGAATGATTCTCGTACATGTTTTCTCTGACAAAGTCAAAATAATTAGAGATATTGTCTGTTTAAAGGTTGGCAGACAAACAGACATGCTGTTGCCTTACATTTTAATATTATACATACTGTAGTACTGTATAAAGTTTAGAAGTGGTTGGGATTTTAATTGTAAATAGATTCCATAGATTTTTTTTATATACAGAATTTAGGAGAATCAAAGATGTTTATTAACCTACACCATGTTTGAATAATTTGTTCTAATATTGTGATAATATTGTTGTGTTAATTTAGTGAAATGTAGTGCAGATTAGTCTACAAACCAATGAGAAGACATTGGGCTTGTCCTATTCCCACTGTGCAAGAAAAACATGCTTTAAAAATACTGTACCAATCAAAACATAATTTAAGAAAGCCAAACATCTCATCTTTGTTATTCTAATTTCCTCAATACCTCGCTTTACTTAACCTTGAGTGGGCTGTGTCTGGCATGGAAGATCTTAGTACCTCAGTTTTTACTATATATCACAGTACATAGGGACCATTTTATGCTTGCTACACAATTTCACAACCATTAAACATTAACCAGCAGTTTTTAGCTCCGATGAGGAGCTCTAGAAACACTTGGCTGATTGATTAATAGATCTTTTTGTATGGGCAGCCATTAGGTCCAATATACTCTACTGCCTCTGTTATACTACCATCATCAGGCCTTTTGAGATTACAAGAACTTGTTTAACGGTTAATACTATAAACATTACGCATTTTGTTCTACATTTCCCAGTGTAACTGTTTTGAGATCCACAACCCCAAATTGTGTTTTAAGGTATATTTATATTGCATATCATCCTACAGTATATTAAATAGTTTGCCTAGCCAGTTTATTTTAAATAACCTCAATCTTTTGCTATTATTGGTAGCTTATGTGTGAATGTCACACAGGTAAATGTTCAAAAAGAAGTTCTTTATTTCCTCCATGGTTAGCCTAGGAAGTGTTGTTCACCTCATCTTTAATCCTATTTGTTAGGCACTTTTAAAGATCCTATGTGGATAAAATCTTGATTCTTTAGTCTGTAAAATGTTGTCTTTCATCATTTATAATTGACAATTTATTTTATGGTTTCTAAAATATAAAAATGTATTAAATAATTAGAAAGATGGTATACAGTACAGTATTAGATTTTCCCTTCAGACACAAGACATTGTTTAATCAGATTTAATCTCATAGTGTATTGCATCAGAAATTGCATGCGTCACCATGTTTGTTGCAAGTCTGATATGTATCATTAACATATTGACAGATAATTGATAGTACTATGTAATATTGTAGATAAAAATTCTCTGAATGTATTAAATACTGTAGTTGATTTATTTAATAATAAAAACTCAGCTGATAGTAGTTAAACAGAGTAATAGTCTATTATGGTGTGGTTGCACTTCTTAATTATTGAGTACTCATTAATCAGTGTGTCATTTATAAGATCTGATTAACTTTAAATTATACTATTTCCTAAATTTACTCCGATTTATGTCCATTATTATGAAATTAATATGGCTGTTTACTAATGTAGTTTTAAGTTCCCTAACTCAATTACAAAGTGAACTGTATTTGCATTTTGATGCATCTTTTATTGCCCATTTAAGACATTGTCATTATATACATATTATACTAATTTTAAGTCAATCGTGATATCATCACTGCAACTCCCATTGTTATCTTCTAATTCCCAACCATGCACTTATTTTTGATTAGTGCATGGCTTGCTTGATCTTTTTTTTAAATTCAATAGAATAAGAAACATTCTTTGGAAATGGTGGGTGTACCGTAAACTAGATGTACTCATTGTGTTTTAGCCACAAACTCTTCAATTTAGTACATTTGGTTATTATAAATAACCTTGATGGTACATAATTTACATGTTACAGGAAAAGCCCTTTGTTTTCTTGTTGAATTTTATCAATAAAATATAACGACTAAATAATGATGTGCTGTGCATGTTTGTTCCCATTTTTATATTCCATTATATACAACATACTTTCAATACATAAACATTATGTGTAGATATGAGTATTTTTTGGTGTTAAACAAAAGGATAACGCAGTCCAGACTTCAGTGCAATCATTCTCGTGAATTGGGAATTACCTACAGCTTTCTTCAACATGCACATGATCCATAAATTTTCACACAGCACACAGCTTAAGCAGACATGCTGCACTCAACGCGATTCTAATAAGAACGCAGAGCCACATGCACACACAACGGGTCGTTTTTAATGAAGATCCGTTTAAACTGCAACCCACAATCAGCAGACGGAATTACATCGCTTAGCGCCCTCTATGTTCTGCAATACTTTGTTTAGTGAACCCACCACTTGCCAATAACGACTTTGAATAAAAATAAAATTACTGCATAGTTTAGGCCAATTAGCGATATTTTCATTAGCTAACTAATATTTTACATTCTGTCATTTTATTCCATTACATGTGTACTCATCCTGGTATATACAGTAGATTGCTTGGACTGTTAACAACTGGTGTATTGAACAGCACATTTCTATTTACACATGAATTTTTTTTTTACAGTCAAAGCAAAGACAAAACCAGAAGACATTAGGCATTTTTATTTATTGTTCTTGAGAGCACTGTCAGCATTTATTACAGTAGATGTAGTAAAGAGGCAAAATATTATGAGGGTAACAAAAAAAATTACATAACATACTAATGAAAGAATCTGGCCTAAATGACCCTACATGAACAGTAAACTTAGAAAAAAATAATACAGATTCACTTGAGATAAAACATCGTATGTCAAAAATATCAACTTAGATTACAAAGATTACACGGCATGCCCTACAAACACACGTTTGCGCATGTTTTTAATACTGTCGTGTTTTGCGAAACCTTAACAATAATATCCAAGAAGCCGGGATTAGCGAAAAGGTCCATTGCTAAAGCACTCGCAATGTTTCTGGTTCAAATCTCTATGGGGATGCAATACATTCTTACAACTGTGTCAAATAAAATTGGTTTATATTTTTAAGTTATACAGTACACTTAGTATTACTGTACACAAGGCAAGACCTTTTTTATACCTTGTTTAGTGAACCCACCATCCGCCAATAACGATTTCAAATAAAAATAAAATTATATTTTTGGCCAATTAGCACACCCACCGCCACAAAAAATAAGTTTTTCTTTATTTTTTATTACGCCCGCTGCTCCCTTGAAATCTCCAAAAATAAGATTTAAATAATTCTTCCAAATTATATAAATTTAAAGCATTTAAAATTCCCATTATACTCTTTACATTCACCAATAAAATTTAATATTTTTCTCCATCTGGCTAATTAAGAAAACAAAATTTTACTATTATTTTTTTTTCCGCTTTCCTCTTGCGAGGTAAAAAAGAAAAGTCTTGCGTACTATAGAAAATCATTAATGCAATTATAATAGTAAGCGGAAAGTTTTGTACTCAAGGTTTGTGACATATTTGGGATATTCCCATTATAGTAATGATGACATGTTAGGATTACATAGCACTTCATGCCAATAAGGCAGGGGTGGGCATAAAAATCGGAGGGCCAAAGAGAATTTTTTAATTAAAACACCGAAGGCCGCACCCAAACTTTGATCTTTCCAGTGTGCTCCTAAAAACCTCCAAGCACTGCTTTTACACCACTTTATTTTACATATGATCGGTGTCAGGCCGTAAAAAAACAAGGTGTTTTCTAGCCAATGTTGTTTGGCGGGCCACACACATAGGGTTTTTATTTCATATTCACGGGCTGCACTTTGCCCACCTGTGCAATAAGGCTTGATGATGATGTACAACCAGTGGCGCATCCCCCTTCCAAATACACCATAAGCTTGCGCCACCTGTCTCCCCTATCGTAAACGTTCGAAGCAAAAAAAAAATCATGATCAAGTAGTTAAAAATCACCTCATGTCATATTTTGCGAGGTAGCTCCCCCTTCACTTAATCTTCCTGCCCCCACCCCATCATCCCTCCTATTTCAAGACTCCAAGATATGCCACCGTGTACAACACTCAGATATGGGCTACCCACATATTGCTGAATAAATAAATAATAAATTTATCACATATGCAATAATTTGATACCAGTACATATATATAATTAATATTAATTATGTCTTAATTCTGCTATATGCAGGCACTGTATGTTAACAGCTGTGGGGCATATTATACTATTTGGAAAGCACTATAAATATTACTGATATTATTATATACATTATTATTCTTCACTTATTTCTACATGAAAAGCTTCACTTATATGGAGGGTCAACATGATGCTCAGTAATGCTGGGTGAAAAACTCAAAAAGCCAAACCAGTCACTCATTGCAAAATCGATTTTAGTTATTAATACAGGGTTAAACAGTAAAATGAGAGCTATGAAATAGTAAAAGAATAATTTAAATCCGACATTTCTTTATGAAGTTACAGGAGATATACAGCTGTTTAAAGAACAATATTTGAGAAATCAGCCTTCAAAGTTTCAGGCATTTCTCATGGAAAAATCACCACCAAATTGTTAAAAATTGCTGTTTTAAAATTGAAAATAGGGAAAATAATAGCATAGCATGATCTACAAATATAGAGGTAACAGTTTAGTGCAAATAAACTAGATTTTAATAATGTTGACATTCCAGCATGTTTTGGCCATTATCTCTGTAACAGGATTTGACTGGTTTGGCTTGTCTTTGTCACATATAGTTTTATTATTTAAAAAAAAAAAATAATAATTTAAAAACATTATTTCCTACAATTAAAGTTAAAATAAAAAACCTGTATAGTTTTACTATTTAAAAAAGTCATCATATTTCACCAGTTAATTATGTAGCAAAGGATGGGGCTAGGTAAATAGCGAGTTGCTGCAAGTTTTACTATTTAAAAAAGTCATTACATTTCACCAGTTAATTATGTAGCAAAGGATGGGGCTAGGTAATTAGCGAGCTGCTGCGAGTTTTACTATTTAAAAAAGTCATTATATTTCACCAGTTAATTATGTAGCAAAGGATGGGGCTAGGTAATTAGCGAGCTGCTCGTGGTGGCGCTCTTGTTGTAGGAGTGTCAATCGCATCGAGTCGACTACAGCTAAACCATCAACCATATCACAAGTGATATCAATATTTCGAGAATTTGCCTGAAAAAAAAGGAAACAGGTTTGTAACTTGCTAATCTAGAATCGGCTTCAATTATGGCTGTGATTTTTTTGTGAAGATTGCTAGATTGTTTCAGATAGGTAAAAAGGTAAAGCTAAAGCCTAAAGCTTTGGGTTCACAGGCCAAAGTGCTCATCGTCCTTTGGCAATTGGGCAAGACTATGCAAAGCTGCGGAGTGGGGGGAGGGGTTTGCCACTACTTCCGTACAAGTCTGTTTTGCCTTACCCGCATAATTATGCCGGTGGAAAGTTATTTAGTAATAATTTTTGAGATTTTTTAGACTGCCAACCATCTTTCATATGAATAAAACACACAGAGAATGCAGGAAGTTTAGTCAGTCTGGAAAGCCAAATTGTTCATCTTTTCCCCATCTGGATCCACCGTTGAAAACAGTAAAGTCAATAAAGCACAAAGGGGGCATATAATCAATACTGTAGTTAACTATAGTCAATCACTGCCTACACAGCAGACCAGGTAAATACTGTACGTACGTGAAGGCCTTCGCATTGATCAGTCTTTCAACATTATTATTATTTAATCTAACATGCATTATTATTCACCTTTACAAAAGTATCAAAGAGCTTTTCATTACAACCACAATTTTTCAAGGATAATAAAATCTTAAATATAATAACAAGCAAAAACATGTTGAAAGCAATTTAGAAAATAATGGTATGTAATATAACATACCATTTGATTATTTCCTACATATTTTTTATATTTTGATACTAAAACTGGAACAATACAATGTAATAGAAGGGTTGAAAAGGTATGATCATCAAGAAGTTCAGATTAAATAAAATTATTAAAACTAATCTGCAATAATAATATGCATTTTACAGAATAATTTATGAAAAATGACACATTTTCAACTTGAAGCTAAATGTTATATCTGTCTGGGATCTGCCACTTTGTATAATCATGAGGTAGGGCTTAACAATTTAAATATTTTAATAGTTATCTAGGTTAAAATATATCAAATCAAATGGTTATTTTTTTTTTAAAGCCTCTCTGATAATATAGAAATAAAGGGTTACAGGTACGTCCGGCAGAGAAAATTGTAAAATGTTAAAGTATTTTGATTGGCACATGCTCAGTAAATCACTTACCAACTGTAATGATGATAAAAATAACCGGCACACATCATAACTCCTGGTGTCTGAAACGACCTCCTTGAACTTGACCTCTTTTGTGTCTTTTGCCTCAGCAAGTTTCTTTAGCACTTTTGTTCCGTATTCATGTATATCAAAAAATCCAAATTTTTCCTAAAAAAAGAAAAAAAAAAAAAATCTATTAGTGTTAATATATAATGTGCTATCTTGCCTGTCATATATCTGTCTTTATCAAAATATGGGGGGATTAGATCCCAACCCCAGACTGCTATCTATCTATCTACCGATAAGTACAGGCCTCTCTGATGTGAGGATCATCGTACTTGTAGAAGCGTGGACAAGCTCGTACAGCAACTTTCTCCTCCCCTAAGTGTCCCTTAGTTTCTGGGCTACAGTACCTGGTAAACTGGTACCAGTTACTCGTCTGTCCACAACAACGGTAACCGGTCCTCCTACTCGTCTCGAAAGATGTACTGGGTTCTTTAATAGCGCACATGAGCTAATTGTACACTGGGCCTATGGTTTTTAGTCCTTTTCCGAGAAGACTTGTGCCACCTGCAGAACCATAGGCGAGTGTGCCATTCAAACCAGCGCTGACATTATGGCTGTACGCTGCAGCACGCCTCCCTTAACCACTCGGCCATCCAACTCACCATTCAACTACATATATCATATGATATCAGACATATAATATAATCTATGATATGTATCTAAATGATAGTTTGTTAGGCTCTGCCCACACTATCAAATTTTATGAGTCAAATAAATGAGATATGCCCATATTTGGGTATAAGATGAAATCATCATGCCCATATATGGGCACATCATGCAAATTTGTTACATAAAATTTGATAGTGTGGACACAGCATTAGATATTTTTGGTTGCTCTAACTTTTCAGGATGTTACGAATTAGCATAATGTGATGTAATCAAATTTGAATAATATTTAAACACACTTGTATACAGATAAAGAACATCCCTGAAAATATTGGAACAGTCCAAACTGGAAGGAAAATATTAAGTAGGTGAAATGTAACAAAAGCAAAGAGAACTGTACATAGAATAAGACTTTTTCAGATATATAAATTAAGTTATGCACAGAGTAATATATAATTAGGTGCTTCACTCAATAAGTATAAAAATAACCACAGATATTTTCTAAAATCAAACAGTATTAAGGAACTAAACATCTTATGCAAAGTATAATCCAACCTAATCCCCCTACTCTTATTTTTATTTTATTGTATCTTCTGGATTATAGTTTGACTTGAGTGCCTTACATAACATCAACATAATCCAAGGTGTGTCATCCTCAAACAAGGATAGGGACCAGCACTAACTCCCAATCATTTGTGAAAGGTCACTGTCCATATGATGTAATTCTTTTATCAATGGTGGATTAAAATGCTGAAGGTTAAAGGTTAAGTTGAAATTTTATAGTGAATAAATTTTCTGTTTCTGTCTAGAGCAGTTCACAGAGTGCATACCTGTCCTGTGCCTGAAAACCGTACCAACAATACGCAGGCCATGCATAATGAGCAAAACTGCAGCATACCCTCAATGAAATAATGGAATCGCTGGTTGTATTCAGGCATACCATTTTCATTCCAGTGCTTTTCTTTATATACCCTCAAGAAAATAATGGAATCACCCACTGTATTCAGGTACATATTTTATGGTGAGGTTCTCTATGTGGGTGATCATTTGGACCTTAGTAGTAAAAATGTCAGAAAATTTACCAAAAAGGAAAAGGATGAAAAAAGCTTATTGTTACTACAATAATAATGCATCCTGGATAGGAATGTAACTCCACTAATAATTACCCACATACTCTCACCCCAATCAACTACTGAAAATTAAGTGTTATAAAAAGTAGACTTACCTCTCTTATTAGCAGAGGAGCCATCTTGTCTTCCCACTCAGAGACTCTTTTAGACAGCTCTGTCAACTGGGCAAACCTTTGGGCACTATCGAGATACGATTCCTAACAAAGTAAAATAACTCATTAATTTTCAATATCAACCAACAATAGTATTCACTAGTGACCATATAGACCGATCCATTTACAGTGATTAATTTCCCTCAGCAGACACCATAGCTGGGGGCTTCTGGTGGGGAATTCTTGTTTCAAATGTAAATATTGGAATTTTAAGTATACTGTACGTACAATATGTTGTTTCAATCATAATTTAATATAAATACTTTGTACATGGACACGACAAGCATGCAGGGGACCCCAAGGAGGTCTTCTTATAAATCGCAGTGCCTATTGAGTGCCCCTTTTCTGATTGGATTTGTCAACTTCATTAAATCATTACGTGATTAAAATAAATAAAAAATAATGTCCTTACCACATGATGTCGAACTAAGTCTTCATAACTAGATACATGCGGCTCTTCAGTTTCTATAGGTGGAAAAAATATTAAAAATAAGAATTATTAAAAATAGGAATAATTAATTCCAATTACAACAACCACCACTTGATATTGTCAGCATTGGAATAGCATCAAATATTTTTGACAAGAATAACAAGAAGAATAACAATCTTCTAATCGATTTCATAATTATAGCCGGAGTTAGTGTCAACCTAGGCAAACCTTGCTGAAAAGGTACACTTTCTCCATTAAAAGGCTTCTTCTAAGAGTGGAATGACATGTTTGAACTCCTTTAGACCAAACCCAGTACTGTTAGATTTTCTAATCGTGCGGGAAATCTACTCATGGGGGCTGATGTAGGGGGGGGGGGCTGCAAAGGTAAAGTGGTGGTTCAATGACTAGGTGAAGGGCACTAGCTCACAAAAAAAGGTGATTTGATGTCGTTTTAACTACTTGAGCATGATTTTTTTTTGGGGGGTGGGGAAAGTATTTTGGGTGCCGCCCTCCCCCTCCCAAATAAAATAAAAGAAGACTGGCAACAGAAAGAGTACCTGGTGCATATTACTATAGAACGGATTTCAAATAAATAATTCAAAAAAGCTATAAAGCTCCATGGTTTTAAGATCCTAAGCTACTGTAATCTTACCACTAGGTTTGACATGGTCACCCCCAGCCTGTTGATCAATATCATCATCGTCGTCATCAATGTCATCGTTTGCAAATCCAAAATCATCGGGCCCATTGTCATCGGCCAAGGGTAGTGGATTTTCTTCTCTTTCCCCTTCAGCTTGGTTTTCTTCATCTTCTCGTTCCCTTTCTACCAGTTCTTGGTATCTACCTTGTCTGGCCTGATTTAAAATAAAAATAACATAGAACTTACATCTTTCAATTATTGATTTGTATTGATATATCTATTTAGAATTGATTTTATTGATTAAATCAAGAATATCTTATTGATTTGAAGTGATTACAGTTAAACTAAGCTCTTTCCACACTATCAAATTTTCTTTGACAAAATACAGTTTGTATGCCCATATATAGTCATGATGTGCCTATACATAGTCATGATATGATGACATTGTGACCATATTCAGGCCACATGTGTTTGTCAAATAAGGGCTAGACAGGATGATGATTATAAAAAATGAATACTGCACCAATGATTTCTTCTCATTTCTGAACACTTGCTGTTGCCTCCTAAACTCTTGCCAGTACAAATATTCAAGCTCCCTGAATGCCGGCCTCTTGAGGGCGCTAGTTGGCAGCTTGTTGCTATAGGTGTTATCTTAAATGAATAAAAAGAAGAAAAATTCATGTCATCACGAAACCTTTAAAACTACAGTACCATAAAACAAATTGTTTATTATTGAGAAGACATTACTCGATGACCTCTTTTTTAGAACTTTTTAAAAAATCTTATCAAGTCACATATCATCAAAATGGTGTGTCTAATAAATTGGCGTGAAAATATTAGAGACGAGTAAACTCGTCGGTGGCAATAGGACAGTACTTTAAACAGCCTCTGCCGAGTACAAGCTTTTTGCAAGGGTTGGTATATGTTCAGAGGGCGCTCCACAATGTGCAATCTTTTTACTGCAGGCTACGTAACACAACAAACATACATACATACGTTTATTTTCCCCGAACTACCAGCCATTAAGTCTGTGGTTCTATAACAATGAAGTAATAAACTTTAGAATATTACTCCTGTTTTTCACTATATACTGGTATCTGGCATCACCAGCGCACCCTGTATGACCAGCACTAAATATTCTGGTTCCAAAAGTGGTTAACTCAAACATAAGAAACAAATAATTCATTGGCTTACAAGCTTTACTGATGAAATCTGTCAAAGTCTGTAATGGCGCTTTATCTTGTGTGTTCCTTCGTTTCCGTTTTTTACTTGTTTCCAACGGAGGAGGCAACTTGGCAGGGTTACCTATAATAGATTGTTAGATATAAAGATTTATAAACAGTCAGTGTTGAAACTCCCATACAAAAGTGAAACACACGTAATTATAAATGATACGATCAATGAGGAGAAAAAAAATTATTTTAATTTTAATATAATAACAAAAATTGAATTACATTTTTATACTTTATTAGCACAATACAGACAGTATGTTACTAACTATATGAACAATAATATTAAAACGTATAGAGTACTAGTCGTGTCGTCACGACGCCAGGTGGCGCTCTTTGTTGTCAACAGACGTTGGTTACCAATCATTACACCTGAATGACTTCATAGGCATTCTGGAATAGGCATTTTAGTCTAATATTTTACCATCAAAATGTACTAACAACACAAAAGCTTGCATTATATTATTATCGAACACAAATTTAATCATCAATTAAAATTTACAAAGAAAAAGTAAGATACAACATCTAAATAATTACGTTAGAAATTGGGATCAATGGTTTGTCAGTGATGAAAATGGCACCCGGTTGAATTCTTTTTGCAACGACAGCAATGGAGTAGTACCACACGGTATCGTGACGTAACACTGTAGTACTCTGTACAGTCTGTCTGTTTACTGTATTAGTCTTTTAATTGTTATTATTTATTATCATCATTACTATTTCAAGCATTACTGAATTAGGATTAAAAAATTTAAAGGCCTGTACAGACTATCAAAATTTATTTGACAAAAACATGCAACATGCCTTAATATGGTCATGATGACATCACATTATGACCATATATAGGCACATCATGACTATATAAGGGCATAGAACAGTTTTTTTGTTAAAGAAAATTTGAGTCTGGACACTGCCTAAGTTTATTAGCTCAAAATAGACAGAATATTATTTAACTGTAATAAACAATAATAAAAATAAATGTAGATAGGGCCTAATTTGCATACTGTATTAGCCTTATAATTGTAATTATTATTTTTAATTATTATCATTAATATTTTTAGCATCATTAGGATTATAAAATTTAAGAATGTATATGTGACCTGATCTGACAAAACCATCCGTATTTTGCAAATTCTAATTTCGCACAAGCACCCAAAACATTCAAGAATCAGAATTTAAAAAATTTTCTGGTTTTCGCATTTTTTAAAAAAAGATGTTGAAAAACATTTCCGCAAAATACCAATCGCTAAATCCAACTGAAAAGTATATTAAAATTATTTTAAAAATACAAATCTTAATAATAAACTATTGATTTTGGATTCTTTGGAAGCTGTTTTTTTCAAAATCTACAAGGCTGATATCCAATTTATTTAACAATCATAACTTTGCTATTAATCAACCAATTTCTCTCAAATAAACACTGCTTTAAAGAAGAGTTTATGCAGAATCTAACAATACCAGAAGCTCAATTTTGAAGTTTTCCAACAAACTGCTGGTTTTGCCAGAGCCGGTCACATATATATTTTTTTTGTATTGACCTTTTTTGAAAGGTTTATGTAACATAGCATCGCCCTCATGAGGGTCCTGTGCTTGCCATGGGTCAACGACTTTAGCAGGAGTAATTTTGATTGGCTCTCGCTCCCTTGACCTTAGTTCCATTCGATGAGCAACCTTAAAATGAAAAAAAAAAACACTTGGTTAAATATATATCACAAATGCAACATTACATTCACAATATGAGGGTATGGTTTCAGGCCTGAAAAAATTGAGCAATCTTCAAATAGAAAAAAAACTATGGGTTCAATATATATCTGAAATGGGATATTCCATTCACAATATAAATATCCTTTCAGGCATCGAAAAAATGTTGTTATATCTCAAATCAAGTAAAAATTATGCAGGGGTCCCGAGTTGAAAGTAGTCCCTTCCGGGAGATCTGGTTAAATGAGTTTTTTTAACACATCAAATTTAATTTTGCTGTGTATGATGATATCTATCAGCACTGGCTGCTGTGAGATTATTGATAATATAGTTGTAAAAACATGCAAAAAGTTATGATTTTGCAGCAGATAGGTAATTTTCATTTATTTGTGTTTCGTTTCGATTTTCATTACGGTGGCGCCTTTTATGCTTGGCGTGTGGGATGAAACAGCTTAGCAGTCAATGTGCTAAATTGTATCATTTACCTGCTGTTCCTGTTCCTCAAATGAATGCTCCATTGGATCTCCCATCTCTACATCATCCACTGGCATTAATAGAACAAAAACGATTCAGTCAATATAATGTTTTTTTTTAATTAAGAAGGGTTCAAGATTATACAGCTCTCCCTCTAATTAAAGACCACCTCCAATTAAAGACCACTTTTCTGTAGTCCCAGGTTAGCAAATGTCTTTTATCTTTTATTATTCTAATTAGAGACCAAAGCTGCTAAAGACATGGAAACCCCCATCCCAAAAGTGGTCTTTATTCAGAGGGAGACATATTTCCATTTCCATATACATTTGATTGCTACTTACAACTGACATCATGTGGTTCGGGGATACCATTTTCTGCTTCAGGAATGTCAGGGACTTTAGGCATAGCATCATGCATCGGCAGCTCGACTGTAAAATCTAACAAACATAATTTATTCTGATTATTTACCATTTTTATTAACATACATTATTACATTTTTTTATTATTCAGCTTTAGGCACTAGGGCAAAGGATTTGTCCAAACTTCGAACTTAATCCCTCTTATAAGTGGCATATCCCTTCACAAGACAAACATACACACAAGTAAATCCTTGCCAAGCCACAGAGCTCATGCTGGCTGGACTATCCCCAGTTATGCTCCCCCTGGGTGGGATGCTGGTCAACCGCATGTTACTCACTGCAATTTGCTGGTACTCATTGATACAGCCAGGTAGATGGAAGAAAGGTAGATAACGTGCCTTGCTCAAGGACACAAGCAGAATGCAAAGTGAAGGGTTGAAACCCTGACCTTGAGATTGGCGAACCAAACCGCCTCCAGATATCCTCCACATACACACAAGATGCTCTACCTAACAGAAATTAAACTCAGAACCCTGGGATTGCAAAACATTCTAAATCTGCTTTGTGAATTCGTCAAAATATAACAGAGGGCGCTATACCATGAAAATTGCCCAACAGAGAGATGTCAAAATGTAGCTTACAGAACCCTTTTTTTATTTTGAGCCAGGTGTCAAAACTATCAAATTTTATTTGACAAAAACATGTGACATATGCAAATATGGTCATGACATCACACCATGACCATATATAGGCACATCATGACTACATATGTGCATACAGAAGTATTTTTGTCAAAGAAAATTTGATAATCTGGACAGAGATTCAGAATAATATATAAACACTGTTTACATATTTAATGCAGAGAATCTATAAATAGGCCTACATGAACTAATTATGGGTACAGTAGGTGTAAAATCTATAGAGGGCAGTATATCATCACAACCCATCTAGCAAAATTAATAGTAAAACCATCCACAAGGATTTAAAGATATACAATTTGGTTTACCATTATCAAGGACCACTGGTGTTGATTGAGGTACGCCACCAAGCGAGGCTTCTATATTTAACAGTTGAGCTGTGTCCATTAACAGAAGACCGGATGGTAGAATACTTCCCGTGTTAAAACGGAAATCACTTCGGTTCCCAAGCATCTCTCCTTTCTGACTGTGGTGGAAAAATTATTGTAAAAATTCAAAGAAGTAGATAAATTTATTCCAAATTAATGATGCTACAATTTTACATAACATAAGCTGAAATATAAACGAGAATTTTTCTATTGTATTATCATTCCTACTCAAACAAAAAAATGTTTGTCATTTTTCATTGAAAAAACAAAAGCCAAAAAAACAAAAACAAGTTTCTCCACGTCAATGAAAACGTAAGAAAGTATAGATATTGAAATTATCAATTACAAGTAAATTAGGCAAAAACAATATAAACTATATAATAACTGCTTTTAATTTTCGCAGAATATTTATATCATACCTAATCATTCAACATTCTAGGAGGAAACGTCCAAGGTATATTTTTCATGGATCTAAGCAAGTATACACAAGCTCTGTGACTGGTGCATGACCTTGTTGTTGTAGAGGCCTAGGCTACTCTTTGAAAACAATGCCAAAGCAATGTTTTTGGTTGTCGAAGTTATCAAAAGAAGATATGTGTCTGGACAAACGAAATTTAACTGCTGGATGTCCCTGCGGTGAAAAGTTGCCAGACGTTGGAGGCGCTGTTCGAAAATAGACACGATAAAATGGTGTATACACAAAAAGCTAGGAATACAAACTGTTGAGTTATATTCACACTTACCTGAGTAGAGGTGTGTCTTTATTAACATCATCTAATTTCTGCAGTGACATAGGTGTCTGCACCATCAGCTGTATTACCTAAAAGTGATGAAAATAAACTCATTACAGTTGGTTATTTTTTGGGCTACATCGAACTGTAAGCATTCTCTTCTTTATTATACTAATGTTGATAAAAGCACACCTTCAGAGGTAAACCCACCTCCCAAATATGGGGTAAGTCTGGGTCCTTGGCCTAGCTAGTATATTTCACCCAGTATTACATGCATTTCCTAGTTCTCAGGTACAAGTCCACCCTCAACAAACAATTTTTTATACTAATTATTTTAAGCTGTATAAATCTGACTTATTTTTATAATTATAAGAACATAGTTTATATAACTTACATTATCATTGTGATCGCCATCTTTCATGTCCACATTGTTAGAATCTTTAACGTCATCCAGCAACAGAAACTGTAGTATAAACAAAACAAACAGTAAAACATGTTAATAAACTTTGGTTGAGTAAGATCGTGAATATAACTTGAAGATGCTGTTACATGCCCTTAAATCAGGGGTAGGCATAATCATCGGTCGGAGGGCCAAAGTGAATTTTAGATTTCACACCGATGGCCGCACCCAAAATTTGATGCTGTCAGTGTGCTTCTAAAAATATTCATGCACTGCTTTCGTACCCCTTTATTCTCAGTTTTAACATTACCTTTTACAGATGATTGGCCATAAAAATAAGTGTTTTCTAGCTGAAAATGTTTGTGGGGCAGAACACATAGGGATTTAATTCATTTTTACAGCCGCAAAAATGTCGCTGTCAGGCCGCAATTTGCCCACCTGTGCCCTAAATTAACTTCTATTTACCTCTCGATCTATGTTTCCCTTAGCAACCGATACATCTTCATCATTGCCTTCATTGTCTAATGAACTTGGAAGCTGTTGTTTTCTGAGGAGAAAAAACAGACCACACAATAAATTGATAACTTAACTTCATTTGTTTCAAGTTACTCCAATTAACAATAATCTTTATTCTACTTTGTTTCATTAAACTTATTAACTTAAGTCTGTTTACTTAGGCTTATTAACCTAGTTTGTTATTATCTACACTTATTAATCAAGCTTATGAACTTAGTTAACCATAACCTATTTAAAAAACTATTATTTGTAAAAAAATAAATAAAAAAAAAAACCTTTAAAAAAAACTATACACATTACTTGTGATATGAAAATTTAAAAATTATGGAATTGAACTAGTAATAAAAAATTGAAGTAAAATACTTATTATTTTATTAACCAAAATATCACCTACCGTCTGTTGGCTAGTAAGTCAAGGGTTTGGTAGACAAGGGTGTAAAGATATTCAACTTTTTTACTGTAGATACATGCAGAGCCTTGAATCAACAGTGCAGCTTCGGCAAAGTTCATTGTTGTAGCACCGCCATCAAAAGATATCTTAATTGTCTCAATCTTCATAGAAGAATCACAACCAATAATCAATTATAAAAACCAAGCAATCAAACTGTTAATCGATCAATTACTGAAAAAATTAATTCAATCCATCAAGTAGTCAATTAACCAAACATTTGTTACAGTAACTAATATTAAATATTATTAGTTAATGAATGTTATGCTGACTGCAAATATTGATGATTTGGAATAAAAATAAAATTTTATTTTTGGCCAATTAGCGCACCCGCTGACACAAAAAAGTCAACAATTTCAGAAAAAAATAACATTTTTTCTTTATTTTTATTGCGCCCTCTGCTGACTTGGAATCGCCAAAGACGAGATATGTATATTTCTTCATAATTATATAAATTCGAAGCATTTATCCTATTTTACATTCACCAATAAAATTTTATTTTTATTTTCTCCTCCGTCTGGATGATTTTGGTAAAACTATTTGCTAAATAAAAAAACAAAATTCTATATTTATTCCGCCCGCCTCCGATAATCTTTAAAAAAATAAGTGCGCGAAACAAGGAATAAAAAAAGTCTCGCCTTTAGGCCCCTATATACCTAGATAATTGAAGGGATTGACAATCGGATCGTCGCGTGTGTGATCTGAGAATGCATGTTTGATGATGTGTGAACGAAGAACGAGCCTGGCTGCTGGGCCTAGGCCAATGATCAACTTATATATGCTTCGGTAAACCTACATTTCCCTAGTAAATAGTTGAAATAAATAGGAACTACTTAAAAGGAAAACATACACTAAGAAATATACCTTTAAAAAACCAAAATAACGTGAAAAACAACGTCCTATTACTGACAATTCGGAAGGTCCCGCGTAAACACAAGTGCAGCAATCTTCAACGCTATTATAGAGACTTTTTCATTGGATCAGAGCAGTGGATTAGATATGCATTAGCCAATCGCGCGTCGGAGATGAAGCTGTGTTTACACTGGTCTTCCTGCAGTCGCCCTAAGGTAATCAGACACATGGGCCTGGCGCATGCAGACTGCATTGCGACTTTCTTAATTAATCTTATTAAATTTTTAACCAAACTGCTGTAATGGAATTACATATACAGACGACCAAAGCCAATGATGAAAATGATACATTTCCTAAGCAATGGAGAGGTAAATACCATCCAAAGCCTTTTTAAATGTTATAGGTCTAGTCTAGGCCTAGGGCTAGGCCCTATGTATGATTATGAAGCTGCTAGGGCTCCCTCTCTCTCTGTTTTGTTCCAGCCATATCACCTACACTTAGGCTTATACCATCCTCCTATAAGTAGTTGTGTAGGCAAGGCGAAGTATTCCTGACATTAACATCGGAAAAAATCGTTGCGATGTTTAATTTGAGCTATTACCTGCACAGAGTGTCCTCCTAGAGTACACCAGATACCATCTAGGCAAAACATTTCTGGCCCCTAGGCGAGCCCTGGAGTTGGAGTTGGAGTTCCTTCTGTGGCAAAATCTCAAGCCAGCACTTCTCTCAATCTTGGCATGTATGAAAGTAGGCCTAGCCAGACTAATGATTTTTAAAGCTATTAAAAGTGATCCTGGACAAAATGTAAAATTATTGAGGTACAAAATAGATAAATAAAAAGAAATTAAAAAACATTGGATTAAGTTTTTCGCTGTGGCTGGGGGTCCAGTACCGGAATGCCAACAACGAATCCAGTGGATCTTTAAGACTTGAAAATAACGGATCCAGTACCGGGCCTCCAGCCACAGACAGCGTAAATTTTTTTATAATAAAAAATTACTGTTCATGCCTATAGGCTAGGGCCTCCTACTAGGCCCGTACCGTAATTATTGTAATAAATAATAAATTTGATTTATGTCAATGTCAACTTTAAACATGCACAATAAGGAAATCACCCATACAACCTTTTGAGCCTGAAGATAACACTAACAAAAACAGGAACGACAGAGGAAACCAGCGTCACCGCTAGTTTAAGAATTGCAATACAGGCAGTACAATTTAATACATCCTAATCTAACATATTATTATGCTTTACGATTTTTCATAGGCTTATATAAAGCTTTATCTTCCACTGAAGATGCTCTTCAACATGCAGAATCCTGGTTTGCAGAAAGCAAATGGCACGTAAAATTCTGGAAGATGGAACCGCTGTGGCCTGACCTCATGAAAGCACTGTGTCAGAAAGAACCATGCTGTATCGGCAACAGCTTAGAATTGTACGTTTGTTAATTATGAATTATGAAATTTAAATAAATAAAAAAATATAGGCAATCTATCTAGTGTCTACAGTGGCGGATTAAAGGGGAGGTGGTGCCCAGCCGGCCCAGGTCCCCTCTCCCCTCCCTAAGAAGAGAGGAAGAAAAAAGAAAATTATATTTAAATAAGTCTTGGAGTACCATTTCCGACCATCTAGAGGTGCCATAATCATAATTTTTTTTGCTCTATCTTCGATCGGTGAAAGTCCACTTCCAGGCCCCTCATCTTCAAATTCCTGGATCTGCCACTGGTCTAAAAGGTGAATATTCCAGATGGAGCCTTGATAGTGCTTGCACTTTTGGCAATCCTCAGGTAATTGAATAAATGAAAACGAAAGTTTCAAAATTGACATAAATTAATTATTGATTCATTTGTTTTTTTTTGTTTTTTTTTTAGTGTGCCAAGGATTCAGCTTCTTCCTTTGTCACTTCAAAGGAATCTTCTGGCTTTCATCGTTCATCACGCTATGGAAATATCAACCGATAGTTTGGTGTTGCTAAAGGACTGCTATGGAAATCCCAGTGTGGGTTTAACTGACCAGTGGAGTGCATTTCACCTCAAAGATCTCCAAAACAAACTATGCTGGAGGAAGGATAAAACTGTTGAGTATAAGGCTAATGATTTTGTGACAATAAAAACTAAACATAGAATTACTAAGATTTGCCAGAGATTGTTGGGAGATGACACTAAGGAAGCAGGAACTGGTGACTTTGAAAAGACTCTGCCATTACCATTACATTCTTCGTGTCAGAATAATCTAACCACTCAACTGGAGAGAGTTGAGTCAACAAGAAAAATAGCTGGTGACCATCCAGTGGATCCATTCACTTGTGGTGGACAAGATGGCATCACAGGACACAAGAGAACTGACATCACAAAGCCCACTACTACTGAGATCACAAGGACTAATAACACTGCAAACACATTACACAATAAGACTGAAAATACAAGTCTTGCTATCCCTGAGACCACAAATCTCATTAGCGCTAAGACAATCAGTCACAGATGCACTGATGTCTTTGACACTAATCTACAGTTGTCAGATGATGCGGTAACCACATCAACTACAGAGAGTCTTTCAGAAAAGAGATTATCTAAAGGTTGTAGTAATGCTATGAAAAGGCAGATGGTAAACAGTGGAAATGATTGTGCAGTTGATGTGGTAGAATCATTTGCTGAACATTCTGATATAGAATTTAAGAGGCAACGAGTAGAGATTTTAGGACAACCCTTATTGGCACAAGAAGAGGAAGTCCAACTAGGTGCTGATGTAAAGGTAATCTGTGTTTAACATTTGTTGGTGTTTATTTGTTTTGCGCTGGTTATCTTTGGATTTTACTACAGCTAGACAAGACCCAACAATACTGTGCAGTCTATGATACAGATGATAATGATGATCGTCATATTCATCATCATGGCAATGCTGACAAATACAATGAGGATAATTGTGATGATGATATTTATGATTATTAAAGAATAATAATTAAGGTTAAATGAATTATATTATGATAATATAATTTCTAAATGCGTATATAGTTTGTATAATAATAATAATCATGAATGCTCTTTATTTTTTGTGCTAGGTGAAACTGGAAAATATTTGTGCTTCTTGGCTTAATTCTAGAAAATCATCTGAAAACATTGGTGTTCTTGGTGACCTCAATGATACACAGGTAGAATAATAACCACCACCCTAAATGTTTCCAAAATAAAATCATAAGCAAATTCTGAGTCTGAGAGTGCCATTTCTGGCCCTCTAGAGGTGCTATAATCATATTGTTCTTGCCTCTAACCAACCATGGTGGGGGTGAGGTGAGTAGACCCTCTATCTGTGAAAGCCCCTCCTGGGGCCCCCTCTATTTCGAATTATTGGATCCGCCACTGGACTCATATTCTTCTGGTAATCAATTTTGTGTATTAAAAATATCTATGAATAAGTGGTAATAAAATGATGGTCCTTTTAATGAACAACTCTTTTTTTTTTTAATTTTTGAAAGAGTTTTTTTTAGACTTCATTATAGATGGTATATTTAATGATAATATTAATTATTATATTCTAGCAAAAATTACAATTGGTAGAGTTGTTATCTTAAATTAATTATTTTACAATTCTGTAGACTGATTAATGTGTTTTATTTTATTTTAGATGAGTGTAGCATGTAGAATTTTAAAGTTGGAGGAGGTTGATACAAAGCATTTGGTGACAGTGTGTCAACAGATTGTGAAGATCTCAGACAAGTTGTCAGTCACCGGTGTTAGCCTGCTAGGAAAGCATTGCTTCATGAACAAGGTATAAGTCAATCAATCAATCAGTCAATCAATCAATCAATCAATCAATCAATCAATCAATCAATCGATCAGTCAGTCACTTGGTGACAGTGTCCCAACAGATTGTGTAGATCTCAGACAAGTTGTCAGTCACTGGTGTTAGCTTGATAGGAAAGCATTGCTTCATGAACAAGGTATAAGTCCATCAATCAATCAATCAATCAATCAATCAATCAATCAATCAATCAATCAATTGATCAGTCAGTCACTTGGTGACAGTGTGCCAACAGATTGTGTAGATCTCAGACAAGTTGCCAGTCACTGGTGTTAGCTTGCTAGGAAAGCATTGCTTCATGAAGAAGGTATACAGTCAATTAATCAATCAAACAATCAATTAGTCAGTCAGTTGCTTGTCAGTATGGTGGAGAAGTAGCTTAGTGATCAGAAAGGTTTCTTTATGAATCCAGGTCCTGAGTCCAAACACCACTTCCATCCCATGATTTTTTTTTTCTAGGGTAAGCTAATGATTTTCTAAGCCTCAGTGAATTTTAACCAATGCAGACAAATCAAAATATTCTGGGTGAGGGGGAGGGGCGTGTTAAATGTTACTCAGACCAAGATAATCTTTTCACTGTCGTCTTCGTACAATGGAATTAAAACACTGTTATAAGTTTGTAAATTTGGTACCCAGTGAAGATGCAGTAGAGGCCACAGTCAAGGCTGAACTCCAGTGCACTCATAGGCGACGATCACACTACAGCCTCAAGACTGGCTTCAATCAGTACAATTGAGAAATGTGTAGTCTGAACCAACCTGGGATGACTTGTGCCTGGAATGAAATTCCTCTCAACCCAGACAGCTCAGCCCAGGCAAGGTATCCAGGTTGACCCTAGGTTGACCTAGAATTCAGAAATGTGACCAATCACATATAGGGCCTACCATGCTAAAAATTTCTAGGGAGGTTTTTGACCTCTGTGATATAATTATATAGCTTTACATACAAGAATGTCATATAATCAGTATCACATTAATGGACAAATTCCAACCAACTTTTTAAGATAAGGAGTATATGATAAAGCTATCATTTATTGGTCCAGTTAAACAATTATATTTGCTTTTGTGATATTTGTAGTAGTTTAATCTTACATACAACAAAAGGGAAAATACAAAGTATGCATAGAATGTTTTATATCATGATGTTATTGATAATAACATTTGATTTTTAATGTAAATATAGCTATCACATCAGCAGCATAAGTTATTGAACCCCAGAGGAAACAATGTAAAAGTTATTTATTGTAGACTATGTTTTGTTCTTCTCTTGTGACTCTATGTGTTCACCTACTAATACCAGTGTCCTAGGTTCAAATCGTGGCGTAAACGTTAGTATACAAATAATGAATGTTTATGAGTGCAATGGGAAGGATATTTTCATTAGTTGAAAGATTGACTGTTCTATTCAACATAAAAAACATTATGTGTTTTATAACACACCTAAAATAGATTCTTGTCATTTGATATTTTATGAAAAAAAAATCTACCTTTTTTCTGAATGGAGATTTTTGTCATTTGATATTTCCGTAAATGCTCGAATAAGTGCTGCTCTTGAATAAGCGCCGCACCGAATGTGATTTTTTTTAAATTAAGCACCGCTCTCGAATAAGCGCAGCGGTTCTTAATCGAGAGTATATAATATTACACTGTGTGTAATGAAACAGGGTTTTAAATGCAATGTCTACAGTGTTAAATTGAATAACTAAAACAGTGAAGACGCAATCATTCCATTATAAACGTTTGTTACGATGATAGGCTACTGAACTACAGGAATGTGTGAAATAGGTTACATGGGAACAGACATGGAAAGCATTTACGGTATTTAAAGTAATCTACCATTTTTCTAAATGGAACAGCTCGGCATCTTTTTAACCAATCAAAAGATTGTATTAAGTTGAAGTCATGTCGTATCCTAGACGCCATGCAATGGATATCATTTTATGTATATAACCTTCCGTAAAAAGTTTTCATTTCCAAGACACCGTACAATGGACAAAAATGGATGGAAGTAAAAATGCACGGTGGAACTAAATCTCTATGATGATGGGGTTAATAACCAATGTAACATTATACGAAATCCACCAGTTAAATGACAAGGATCTATTTAGGTGTGTTATAAAATTTCTTAACGAACAATTGCCACTTGTTGGGCATCATAATGATGAGATTGTGTAGGTGATGGAACACCTTTTCACCAATGGAATTTGATTACCAAGTTAAATACATGTGTTCGATGTTTTTGCATCAGGAAAATATCATAGGAGTGATGTTTGTCCTACCTGACGAGTTATGGTACCTAATACTTGATATGTTCCCAAATACAACTGATTCTGGTGGGAATTGGACCCACGACGTCAAGATAACCAGCCTGGTGTCATAACAACTAGACCACCAAGCTTGCGCTTGGTGATTTGTGTTGAATCTGATTCCCAAGCAGCAGCGGGTACTGCAATGCTATTTTGATGTGGTTTACATCAGGAAAATATCATATAGGAATGATGAGTGACTCCTAAAATATGTTGTTTATAATATAACATCTCATAGTTTATTCTTGGAAGGGATTTAACAAAAATACTAATGACATTGTAAAACTAAATATATAGTAATTATTATTTATTTACTGTTTATGTTTTTTATTTTATTAATGTGTTTTAAATCGTATAAATGTATTAAATTTAATGATTAATTAAATTTATAATGTCTGTACATTTACAAAAGTTAAAATGATATTATTTTCAGATTTTGGATTTAATTCATCCTCCATCAAGACATTTGATTAATGCTATAGTGGTGTTTGCTGAGGCTTTCCCACGGCCTACAGTGCTTAGCGTACTAGTACCAGTCATCCAAAGTAACACATTTGCCAGTGCCCAGTGCAGCCTTGTTACAAGTGTAGTGAAAGATGCTTTAAAAGTTGAACACAAACATGGACTTCTTAGGTGAGTAAAAAAAAAACACTAACGTTATCAGCTGGTTCCATTTATATGATATTTTCAGCACAAGCTTGTAAAATACCAATGGACAGATTCAGAACTTTGAGTACTGTTAGGTTTGTAGGTTCACATAAATAAAGGGAAAACTACGCCAGAATCAACTCAACCATGAACTAACTTTATTCAGCACCTTGAACAACAACACACCGAGAGGTTTTCTGCAACATGATCTCTCGATCCAGTCACTTTAGATCAATGCTTAAACATATTGCGCAGTAAGCAATAATAGTGTTATACATACAGCATGGCAGACATATTTTAGTCTCCATCTTGTCGTTTTCCTTCTTGTAGAACCATATGTATAAAGTAATAGGAAGGATATTGGGATATAGAGAGATGAGGATATTTTCAGCATTTTCGAGACAGGTGGTTCATCGTTTCCCCAACAGATGAGCCAACCTCAACCCTCAGTTGGGGTTGAGGGGAAAACATTTTAGGTTATATTACCTCTAAATGCACACAAATGACACTCTCAAGCCAGATGTCTCTGGCTTAGAAAATGATTCTAATTTGTTTTCCCTTGACAAATTTTAACGTCGCTCCCCGAGAACTGAAACATCTCTTTGTGCCACACCTGATAATGAAATAAGAATAATATCTGTCACACCATTACAAAGTGCAACCAATAAAAGTATGGAAGTGATATGATAACCTTTGACTAGTGGTATGTTTTGTGTGTGAAGTAAAATCATTTACGTTTGTTTTTTTCTCTACTTAGGAAAATATTTCAAAACAAGACGTTGTGGAATGTGCATCTGACTACCCTCATCCAGTTGCTGATCGATTCCAAAGTAAGTTATGGAAAATGTATGTACTGTTATGTAGATATATGTTTAAAATCATTGCTTATCCAGTAATTGAGTGTCTCAAAATAAATAGGATGCTTAAGAGCCATTATTTTATTTGCAATTCAAAGCTTCATTTTGTATACCGTTTTTGCCAAATATGAAATGAAATATCCGAGAACCTGGCAACTACCAATGGGGGAATTCCAGAGGCCTAGCATTTCGCTCCATGTAGTTACCATTATGGATTAATTAATGATAATTAACTAAATTACTATAAGGAGCACAAATTTGAAAAATGGAAAGAGAACGAAGTATTGATATTTAAAAAAATGTTGTGTGTAAATACAGTGTGTAAATTGTATTTAATTGAAGGCTAGTTGGGCTAAGCCTAGTTTGTCTGATCTACCAACCTATGCCTTGGTAGGTCAGCATGACTTTTGTAAGCCAGGACCCAGTAGTGTTTTGTTACATTTTTCACATGGATCCCCTGGATGTGCCACTGCCAGGAATGCACGCATGTTTAACAAGCACTTGTGTTGTCCCCACAAATATGCACGTGTTTGTGTATGTTTTAACACTGTGGTTTTGTGGAACCTTAACAACAGTATCCAAGGGGCGGGGCTTAGCTGAAATTTCCATTGACTTAAAATAATATTACATTTATTATTATTAACATTTTAAATATTTATTGACTCCTAGCTTTCGCTTCATGAGGGCGATTTTAACTTGATTACATCAGGGTTAGGGCATCAAGGAAATGATCAGAGCTCGTGTCCAAAGTTTGCCAAACTCCTTTTAGCTTTAGTAAAAAAATATGGCAACCAGGTAAGATATGATATATCTTTTTTCTTATATTAGTTGTTTTCCAGGGGTATTGTCAAAAGAGGTTGATTCAAGATTTAAGATCTATAAAACAATGTGACAAATTACATTAATGGATTCAATCATTTTGTAAACACATCTTCTAGTACTTTTTTTTCTGATTTTGAAAAATGCTTTGTAAATTTTTAACATTATAAATGCAGTATTATAAATAATAGATACATTTTTATTTCTCATATTGATACTTTGTTTTCATAATTTTCTTCATTTGCAGTTGAATGCCAATCATGTGACAACCCTGAAAAAATCTCTGGACTTAAATAAAACGTTCCTTAAAAAAGCAGTACTTTCAGCTATTGATCGGCTTCAACTATGACAAACATACTGAAGATTTGAATACACTGTTTGGCTATTTTATTACATAATAAAAATATAGAGACTGTTGATTTATAAGTGGTTGGTATCACAACATTTCTCAGCAAACCACAAAGAAAAGAAAGTACAGGTTTTACAAATACAACAAGAACACTAAGTGAGGAATAGAGAAAGTAGAACAGGTTAGGCTAACAAGTAAGTCTTAAGAAATTCCTTTCACTGCACATTCTTCTAGATCAATATGCACTCATAAATTATGCAATATTTAATCCCAAAAGATGTGATGCTTACAGTGTATTGTTGGTTGTTGTTCTCAAACAACATACCGGTAGACTTGAGCGAGTCGAGTGGTACAGCAAGGACAGTGCGATGATGACTAATAATTCTTTGCCTCTGCAATGACTGAGAATATAGCGATGACCCGTATAACAAGGCCATTGAATTGACGGTATATCCCGATGGACAGGTAGAAATGACGTCACCTCATTGGGTACATGCTTTGTAGAAGAGGTTGGCTCAACGGTTGTGGCTCAGAATTGCAACCTTGAGGTCGGGGGCTTGAAACACTTGCTCTGCGATTCGCTAGTGTCCTTTAGGCAAGACACCATATCTACGTTTGTTTCTTTCTACCCAGGAGGAGTATAAATGGGTGCCAGCATATATGCTGGGAAGGTAAAACAGACTGTAGTGCAGTGCAGTGGAGAAAACCCCACAGCCTTGCACAATCTGGCTCAAACCCCAAGGAAAGAGAGACTGGGACTGCAGCCTGTGAGCCCAGAGGTTCAGGTTTCGACCTTTACCAGCGAATAAAGAAGAAGACCCACTCTATCGATGAACCTGTCATTGTGGCTGAAGACGACTTAAATCCAGATACTTCCGATAGTGTTGAGTGATCAGACACTAGTTCTGTTGAAAACTAGGTGTACTGGTTATATCGTAATGTTGAATTGGAATCGTTAAATAAAATTTTAAAAATACAAAAAAAAGAATGAAAAAAAAAGATCGGCGTTCTATAGTTGTTTTATATTTATAAACAAAATCTGTGATTTACACATATATGGGCCATATATGGGCATGATAATGTTATATCACACCCATATAGGTAAATTCAACATGTTTGTCACATAATTACTGATAATGCTGTCAAAGCTTAGTTAATAAAAAAGAATAACTATTATATTTTACCTGCCTGATGTGTTATACTAAATGCTCCGTACGTTCCCGAATACTTGCGAAAAAATCTCACAAGCGATTCAGGTGGGAATTGAACCAATGACCTCCAGAAAACTGGCTTGGCGCCATAACTACTAGACCACTGACCTTGTGCTTAATGGCTAGTGTTGCATCTCCAAGTAGTAGTGGGTACTACAATGATATTTGATGGTGTTTTGCATCAGGAGAATTATAATCTGGTTCTTGCATGCATCAACCGTAGCATGAATGGGCTTTCCTACTAAGCACCGCCCTTAAATGATGTTAAAGTCTTACAAAACGAGTGTGTAAAAACATACGCAGGCACGTAAGTTTGTTGGTCAACGTGTGTGTTAACACTAACATTTTAGATCATAGAAAAACAGTGAGTACATCTTATTTGGATTAAACGAAATTTTATAAACAATATTTGATTTTTTGTAATAGTTGGCTCATTTAATATTCGTCACGTGAGAGGTACGGTATCAACAGTGAGAGTAATCTATTATTTATGCAGTAAACGTCTGTTTCCCGTTCATTCTTATTTCCGACATTAAATGTATTCGACATTCAATGTCTTCTTCATCTAGGTCTACAAATACTTCTATGTCTCAGGGACGTATCCGTGGGGGTGGGGGGAGCCGTGGAAGCCGTGGCTCCCTCCTTTGTACACAGTGTTAAAATTTTAAAGCTTATTCTTGAGCCAATACAAATTCTTTCCTGACTTAATCCTTTATTCCTCGTTAGTCCCCTCCTCATGTCAATACTCATACGCCACTAACAGTGAGCTCAACTAAACTCAGGAAAACCAGACTCGTGTTAACCTGTCTCTTATACTATAATGGTAATGTGATGATGATGAATTTTACTATATAAAAGTGTCATTTCCGGCCATCTCGAGAGGTACCATTTCCTCAAATTTTCTCACCTCAGCCCCAGCCATGGTGGGGCTGAGGTGGTTGTGAAATCACATTTTTGAAGTTGGCCTATGTAAAGTACGGTACATACTCAAAGACAATGTTTTTAAGCTTTGATTTCTATGGTATACACACATACATTAATAAGATCTCTATGGTTGTCAAAAATCCCTGATAAAAGATCATGAGAATTTTTTTTGGCACTTCATTTTGACTAATGGTGATGTGATGATGAATTTTACTAAAAGTGTCATTTCTGGCCATCTAGAGGTACTATTTTCTCACCTCAGCTTCAAACATTGTGGGGCTGAGGTGGGTCCCCCTCCACCTTTCAAAACAGGTCTGTGCCTTGGGTATGACATTAAACTCCATCGAATCGGCTCCTGATGTACCGGTATGTCTTAGTGACTGCTGTTTGTTTTTAGGATGTGATGTGGTTTTTCATGTCCATTTTTCGTGATTATGACCATTCTGGCAGTGGATAACGAATGTTTTGAGCAGAGGTGGATTTAAGGCCCGCCCCTCCCCCCTTTCATATTTTTAAGGGAAAAAAAAGAAGAAAATTATATTCAAATTGAAGTGCGAGAGTGTTATTTCGCGCCATATAGAGATGCCCTAGTCATAAATTCTCTTACCTCAGCCCCAACCATGGTGGGGCTGAAGTGGGTGGTTCCTCGGTCTGTGAAAGTCCCTCCCTGGTTCACCTATCTTTCGAATTCCTGGATCTGCCACTGTTGATTTATTATATAATTATTGTTGCGTTTATTTATAATGCGTCTATTGCAATTTTCAATTTATCTTCTCAAACAGTCCTAAGAACGTTCAGAGTGCGCTAATTCACAGAGGGATTCGCCTCCTTGACCCCGCCGGGGTCCTACGTAATTTGCATAACGGCTCCCCCCCTTTCAAAATCCTGACTACGTCCCTGCTATGTCTATCTGAGCTACCGTATTCAATATTATTTTATACGAATATATGGATAGTAGGCCCTAATGATAGGAAGACCTCATCTGGGAATTGCCGTAATTCCTAAATTTAGATGAAGCGATCATCACAGACTAGTTGAGAGCGTCTACGTCACTAGCGTGCACGAGACTCGTACTTCAGAAATGGGATATTATAACTCAATAAATATATTTAGTTTTAAAGTTTAAATTCTTCAACTTCTCCTTTTAGTCCATTCATTGTAAAGATATAAAAAGGCTTTAAAACCAAGTGTGATCGTTTTTCATTTCAAAAAAAGACACGCTCGAAAGAAGATTGCGGTAAAATATAAATTCTTTAATAAAGGAACAGCATAAGGATTTTATATTTTTTCAAGCTTTGGCTTACAGCCTGTCATTATTGGAGACAAACCACTACCATTTAGCTGTCATATAGATTCTAATCCTACCAACATATTTCGTGAAACCTCAACATCCGTGTAGATAAAACCGTGTGAAAACCAACAATCTTTTCTCATTTTGAATTATGTAATTATGTAAATCCATATGTCTAAATATATTAAGTGATTTATGAGAGATTCATGCGGTTTTAACCAATTAGGCAAACGCAACACAACTTCGTGTAATTGCTGTTTGGAATACTTTACAAAATGAGCAGCAAAAGGTTGTATGGTTGCAACACTTTATAATATTGCATAAAATTCTTCCGATTTGGCACGCAAAAGGATTTCATCATTTGATACAAATCTGGGCCTAAAACTTTAACGTAGACCTGTCACATTCGTTAATCTACTTAATTTCAGATGTACACTAATTACGGTACTTTATGGATACAATTATTAAATATGCCAATTTTAATGGCTTTTAAATAAGCGCTTAACAATGCATTTGTAGCCTCAATATCTTTGAACAGAACAATGGCCCTGTCAAATATACTATTGAGGCATAGCATCGTTAATCCTGCTTTTAAACTATATCCACGTCATTGGCAACGATACTATAGTACCGTAAAATTTCCTTAATGCACACAATATTTAAATTATTATACTATAATATAATAAATCTTGTATTACTTATTATAATTATACTTATGTAAACTATTAATTTCGTAATCACGCCTAATTAAGCTTCAGTTTTAATTATTCGTGGATCATTTCGAAAAAGCGTGCCTCAAGTTTAGGCCTACCGTAGCAGAGCTTAACAAGTCTGACCAATCCTAGTATCCGTGTCACTCCCAGGCCGTCAAGAGTTATTAATAATAAAAATCATCAATATTTAGCAATTTTATTAGGCCTTCGAACGGCTGACGTACCTCGGCTCCTAAAATTAAAACTTCGTAACTTGATGGCTGAACAAGTAGGCGTAGCCTGCATCTAATAGCATTATCCTAATTTCTCAAATATATGGCCGATAAAAATCAGTTCTCCAACCGACGTGAGACTGGTGGTTCGGTAGGTTACGGTTTTGTTTTCGTTTGTCTACGTCATCAATTAAATTATTCAAAAGTAAAGTATCTCGTCATCTTTCGCTTTGTTGTCAACCAGGCACGTAAACGTGACGTCACCGCCGAAAACCTTGTGTAGCTTTATGTGGATGTAGTTATTTTCTTCCGTTTTTACCTACAAATGGTAATAATATTAAAAATTAAAATGCTGCAAGGTATACAGGCGCATTGTATACAAAAGTACACCCCATCAATTGCAATCATTCGCCCACTGCATTAGTTTTATTCAGACCAACGAGGCATGGAGGTGTATAACATGTTATACCTCCATGAAAAAGTCAAAAGTAAAAATTGATGAGCATCAGGAATGCCCAGTTTAGGCCGGAGTCCATCCCATTTCCAAATGGGTACAGTACAAGATTGCACACTAAAAAATTACATTAAAAATAATTAATATTTAAAATTTAAAAATAGATATAAAAAATATGATATATAAATAAAGCCGACATCAAAAATACAGATATTGAATTGCACATAATTACAATTCTAAAAAGCTTTAAAAGTTCGATCAAGAACAATAAAACATTTACAAAATTTTAAAACAGGGGGCTATAAAGTTGAAAACTCAATAAAAAAAAAATTAAGTTAATGTTTAGAGAGCTGAAAACGTGACAATTAGTAAAAGCTGGAAATATACACGTACATATCATGATATTAGTCTCCCGTTGCGTAAATGCAAATTATATTCATGGCCACCTCGAAAACGCACCTGTGCGCAGGTGCAGTTTGAGTGATAATGACTCATAAATTACTTCCATCCATGCTCTGATCTCAGATAAAGATAGAGAAAATGTGACGCGTTTGAGTGAAGTTTTAATAGAGATTGTTATGGTCTACATTACGGTGATGAATTACCTTTACGAAATAGTTGACACCGTTTACCAGTTGAGTTGCGAATTGAGTCGCTTCATAGTGACTATAGTTTCTTCCTACAGCGAGTTCAGCCTTAGAACGAACCTTTTAACAAAAGTAAATAATTGTCATATATTATTAATAATGATGCAATATATAGGCTGTCTCTTATACACATCTAGATGTGTATAAGAGACAGGCAAAAGGTTGGACCAATAAAAAAATACTAAACTGCAGCTAATCACATCCAGAAAGTCAGGAGATCTAAGTGTGTTTTTAATCAAATATACACTGTTTCTACTTCACAAATAAATAGACTTATCAAATCAGTTACCAGTGAGAATGTAAAGTTTGTTAAACCCAGAATTTACGCTGATTTCTTCTATCAGGCCTAGGCTTCCCTGGTCGAATCGACTTAAAACATGTTTCTTGCCTTTCACATTCTTATGTACTTTAAAGTCAACGCGTATTTATTATTTATAATTGCTGTATCAGTATTTATAGTTTAGTAAATTCAATTCGAATTGACTAAAAACATGCAATCCCGGGCATGCAATGATACAAAGTGTGTTCCATACACATCGCTGCGGCCGAAACGGTCACCGTAGAGACAGATAGGCCTACTCTCATACATAACAGCATTCCACTGATAGGAGAAATACCGGAATTCTCATTGCCGCGATTTATAGTTGGACCATGGAGGTTGGACAAGGGAGCTCACCTTCTCAAGCAAGGAAAATACAGTAAACGTGTTCAAACCGCACTGACAAAAGACAATAGGTGGAATAATTCACAAAATATGTACAGAGAACTGTTATAGGCCTACTGACGTGTTTAGATATCCGACCAATAACAAAGCACTACCGCGTGTATCAAGTTTGATTTTATAATTCAAAACTATGTGCATTCCAGTATATGAGTAACCGATTTCATTGGTTTGGGCCTGCCTACCAGAGAGGTGCTACATGGCTATTCTTTAGCAGATTTATTAGATAAAGATGCAGTTCATGCCCTAGTTCATGTTTGTTTGAGTTGAGGCCTGTCATAAATTTGATTACAGTATTAATATTTTTGTATTGCCACGAAAACGTTTTTTCTTTTTTAATAAGGACACTGAATAGTCGGGTACAACAAAAGGCAGATCCGCCAGAAACCTTGGTGATTCACAATCCGAATCCATTATTGTTCGAATCAATTAATAAAAGGTATTGTACTACTACTACTGTTAGAATATACGTTCCCATGCTCTGTAGGCCTATATACCTGAATATTCACATACCTCGTTAATCATAGCTTGTATTTCACTATTTGATTCCTGTGTATTTGTCAACGTACACATCATCATCGAAGCCTCTGCCGTCTGTATGTCAGCCGCCATGGTGGAAATACCAACGGCCTCGAGAGGCCTAGGAAAACTTCCTACAAACTGACTTTACCCCGCGCAAAAGGCCTTGGGTCGATAACTTTTCGTGATCGGAACAATAAATCACCCAGCGAGCGGCTAAAAACCAAAAGTGAACAACAGTATAACAAAATAAAAACTTGTCCTCACTCCTAACTAATAACGCGTGGCAAAACCGGCTGTAAGAAATTAATCAATGTTGTTTTTAATTTCGAGCTAAATTCCGCGAGTCCTCTCGGATTAAGTACACAGTAGATGACTCATATGATAGTCTGCTTCGGAATCTTTTTAAAGTTGATCTCTTCAATGTATATTATGTTTAGGTGTTATGTACACAGATCGATTTGTGGTCGATTGAGTAGGCCAGCCAATTACGAATGATTTTATCACTTCGCTGCTCAGCGCTATTGTCTGTGTCTGACCCTATGTATATTTGTATTGTTCATTTTCGGTAGCTCTCTCGAAAACATCCCGTGTCCTGTTCATCCGCCGTGTTTATACAACAGATTGTGATGTTCGCGGATGGGTGAATCCGTGAAATTTTTTTTGACGAACTTTGAATTGTAGACACATTGTTTAAAATTTGTACTGTACTGTACACCGTACCGTACTAATCAATGAAACCACACATGGAGGCCTATCTTTTACTCTCTGTATGTGACATTTCTTATCCGACCCTGTCAACCTATGGAAACTGAGTGATGGACAGATTGATTGATTGGCTGATTGATTTTTGGAATATAATTAATTGATAAATAGTAAAATAAACCAAAGATGGCAGCCCTGGAACAAAGTATTGTATCATTAATGGATCTCTCCGATTTAGCCCAACCCTTACTGTTGTATAAGGTCCCATCACCAAAATGATAACGTAAATGTATGTAGACTGTATGGGACAACACGTGTGTTTGTTGGACACGCACGTATTCCCGCTGTCGCTGTTCTGATTGTTTTACATTCGACAATACCGTAAATGCTCGAATAAACGGCGCTCTCGAATAAGCGCCGCTAGTCGAGTTCCTATCCCCGCACCAATCGTGAATTTTTTTTTTCGTTAAGCGCCGCTCTCGAATAAGCGCCGCGGCGCTTAATCGAGAGTATAATTACATTACGCTGTGTGTGTAGAAATACTTTGAGAAACAGGGTTTTATACAATGACAGTGTTAAAATGAACAAATAATACAATGAAGACAAGCATTTCTTTATAAACGTGTATTTATGATGATGAGACCCCGGGAATAAGTGAAATATATAACATGGGAACGGGCATGGAAAAAGCGCCTCGCCAGTTTGTTTTTATAAGCGCCGCTCTCGAATAAAGCGCCGCTCTCATCAAATAAGCACACGGCACTCAAGCCCCCAAAAATTGTATAAGCGCCGCGGCGCTTATTCGAGCATTTACGGTACTTTTTATACTGAAATATGAAGTACGGTACTGAATACTGTTCTGATTGGTCAGATGAAAAACTTGCAATGGTTAATGATATGCAGATTTTTGAATATTTAAAAATATGGGAAAATGGTGGTTACGCGCACCCCAGTTTTTTTTAATATTCAAAATGTTTTCGTCAAATATGTTTCTTTTGTCTTAGAAAAATCAGTTGTATAACGTATCAAAATTGTTTTCCCTCCTGAGTCTGACTGGAAATATTACCGTACCACTTTGGAAAGGTCCATTGTACAGTACTACACGTGACTTACAGTTAGTAGTACAGTATTTCATTTCGATTTGGAACGAAGTTTTGAATTGAGTTATGCTGAATTGCGTATGGGCGCCGTACGGTGACTACGTATGTAGCCATGCAGAGGCGCTTTATGTAGGCCTACCGTACTCCTGCTCATACACAAACGGCAGGGGGTTGAAGGAATAAATTTACCCCCTACTCTTTCGAAAATAAAATGGTTCTTTAAAAGGGCATACGAATGAATTGTGAAGTAACCGGACCTCCTTTTTTATGGAGCACTTTTTTTAAAATTTTTATTTTGTTTTGTTTTATTTTGAAGCCATGTTTGACGAGCGATCGTGTGCATTTCATTTCATGCCTGGAGATTGAATAAGTTCTCCGTTATTACAGAAAGATGTAAAAACATTTAAATAAAATATTGTTACATCTCCCTAGTTATTAGCATTTTCTAATCCGTTGTCGTCTGGTAGCAGTGTAGCAAACACTCTCTCTCTCTCTCTCTTCCCACAGACAAAAAATAACATAAAAAGAATGTTCCATTAAGGGATTTTCTTTTCTTAAAAAAACAAAAAATAAATTGCACAGGCCTACGGTTTGTAATACGCAAATGACGCATTAAACGATAAATGGTTACACATTTTTAATTCACCATCTCTAATTATTGCTAGAGGCTATCTCCTGGGCCGTTTGAAAGTAAATACTTTTCCTTTCTATTTGGGCCGGGCCAACTCCTTATAAAAAATTACAGTAGGTCTATGTAAAAACAAATTTGCTATTTTAAAATGTCGATCGTGAACAATGCTAGCCAAGATTTTCAAACAGTGCGGGACAATATCAGGGTGGACCCACTTCACGCGTAAATTCATATCATGTGTTTTGTATACAGTACATAGCACTTCCCTAGTTTATTTGAAACCAAGGGGGCAGGTGAAGCTCCTTCGAAAGTCGATTTAATTGGACCAACGCAGACATTTAAATCGATCGAAAAGTCTTAACATATCCTTGCTCAAAAGAATTCAAAATTGCATTATAGCAATAAAAAGCATTATACCTTTAAATTTTAATTAGTAAATGTCATTTCTTAATTATTTACTACTATTATTATAGTTAAGGTTAACATGGAGGGACAGGTAGTCGAACGTGGAAATTTTCAACAGATGTAAAATATCAACGGAGTCTGTTAAAAGACTGAGATATTAAAGGAGACGACAAAAGAAATATCTTGGTCACACAATTAGAGCGAAACACAAGCTGACACTATGTGGAAAAATAGAAGGAAGATGAAGTCTCTAGTCTGCTATAACACACAGCTAACAGCAATTTCATTCAAGCAGCATATAGCCTAAACGGGAGAATACAGTCATCAACGTCTGTAACCAGACATGATACCAGAAGACGACTAGTCTACAGTACTTTATTTTTGTTGCATTTCAGTGGCGTAGAAAAGTATTTTTCATTGCGGGGATGATTGAAAATTCTTGGAATTGACATAAAATTACTGATGTCGTACACACCCTTCAGTGTGAAAATGTGGCTTGCTTTGCAAGTACATCTAACATCTAAGGAAAGAAGAGCTTAGATTGGTACCAGATAAAATAATTTTGTTATCAACATTAATACATTATGCTAATTTTCATCTTTGTAAGCGCATAAGACATTGCAAATTATTTCTGTGACAGTCTTTTAAAGTGTGTAAAGCTCCATTTTATCACATACATAGTCAAAGTATTGGGGGGATGATACAATGGACCATCCCCTTGTCAAATATTGGGTGGGGGGTATATCTCCATCCCCCAGGATCTACGCCTATGTTGCATTTTATTATTGAACTTATCGCGTCGTTGATGATTATATATTTTGTTTTTCAATTTTGTATATATAAATTAAATTGCCTAGGCTTATACCAGACACTTTTAGCCAGTGCCATCGCCAATACTCGTTGAATTTCACGTGTTCCCTGCTCTCACTGATGAGGTTAGCTGATATATTACAAATCTGTCTGCCGCCCTCTTTATTGGCGGTATAGATACAGTGAGACTCGATCCCAGAATTTTGTCCCAAGTGTAATAAACATGGCTTTAGTATTTAATATGCGAATTATTTAGTTTTCTTGTCATACGCAACATATCACAATCGTGTGTAGGTTCGCAATTTTTATTTAAGGAATAGTTACATAAATCAGTAATGTTCTGTCCAATTTGTAATGTGGACAATTCAAAACAAATAAAAACTAACAACATTTTAATTCATTAATATATTTTAATGTCACTTTAACTCCCAAACGAACGCTTATTTATTTTCTTATTTATATTTTGTTTTTATTTATTTATTCTTGTATATCAATTCGGAATGAGGCAATGCAAGTAGACGTCTAATAAACATCATAATTAAATTACCTGAAATAATTATCGATTTTTCAAAGTATGGAAATAACCCAGAATCCGAATACACACACACACACAAATCCATTATATTGTTTAAATGGTTTTTAGCATCAAGCATGATTCAATAGGAATGACATCAGTAAAAAAATAAATGACAAAAATTGGAAAAAAAAAAATCCAACAGAGAATTGATTACCGAGGTCACACGTAGTTTGGAAGCATAGTGCATGTAACACACGTTTCTAGGTGAAGATACTACCCGTGATCAACAATGCGTGTCGCACGTACTTCCAACAAACGTAGCTTGACGGCGCTAACCAATCAACAGCCTGATATGCAAATTACAACATTTCTAATAAACATGAACTACTAATTGATAACAAACTTTCATATTTGGCTCAGTCAATTTCAGATATATAACTACTATAATTCCGATCTCGTAATTAGAATTAGGCCCTAAGATTAAGTACAATTTTACAAGGCATACAAACGAACACATAATTAAGTACCATTTTCATAACCGTATTTTGTGGTACATACATCATGAATAGTTTATCAACACAATCGTATTGCCTTCAAGACGAGCATTACTTCTTAAACAAGTTCTCGTAATCTGAAAAGCTCTAATGAGGACAGTATAATAAAGGCAGTAGACTATAATGGCCCTAACGGCCGCCCATACAAAAAAAGATATATTAATCAATCAGCCAAGTGTTTCTCTAGGGATCCTTCCTTATCAAAGCTAAAAACCAAGACCAGCTCTCTTTAGTTAGTGGCTTGTTATTTACTGTAGATAGATAATCTACTAACATATTTGTAGTCCATTTTTGCAACATTAACAATGTTGGCAAAATAATTTTTTTTAAAAACACATCAACATAGCAACATTATTTTAAAGTAATACGTTAATGGTTAATGATAGGCCTAATGAAGATTACAAATAACAATATTAAATTATCTAGATAATAATGTAAATTTACTATAACAAAACTTAACCTGTAAAAAAGTAACTCGTATTCAGTTATAACATAAAAACAATTAGTATAATATTAAATAAGGGTGCAAGGTGGTTTACTTGGATCATATAGATATTTTAATCACATAAAATGTGGAAGTTTATTCCACAATTTACATTAATGAATGAATTATTACATTTATCAATTATTTGTGTCTAATTAATATTCAACCAAAAAATAACTCCAATAAATAAGTATCAATTTAAAAATTGTATAAACCAGTCAATTACTTAATCAGTCAATAATGATAATTCAATAAATATTGAATTCCCATATCCAGATACATCAATCAATCAATCAATCATTCAATCACATTTGTTTACATTGTATTGCCATGAAGGATTTACTAGCAATTTTAACATCAAATACCTGTGGCTTGAGATAACTGGTGGATGTTAGATGATTCATTATTCAAATAATTGTGGACTAAACAAAATTGGCAGCATTATGTAGATTGGAGGGTTTAAATGGAATGAAGTTATGGCAAGGGAGAAGATAATAATTAATACTACTGCAGACAGTAAAAATGTTGAGGGGGAGGGGGGTTATTCATTATATTGAACAATCAATAAAATGAAACACCCTCTTTGGTTCCTTTTGTTATCTGGATTTCAGTTGTTTAACATTTATGAATTATTTTTCGTTTTGGATTCATCAGATCCAATCAGTAAACATCAATCAGAAATTGATCTGAATAAAAAGAAATCAACAGCTTGAGCTTTGTAGCTCAACAAATTACAAGACTGACATGAGAAGGGTTCAGAGGGTAGGTCTTATTCATAGTCCAAGCAAAGAAGCCAGGATAGAGACATCAGTTAAACTACTCCCGCCATAAAGTCAAATGCAGTAAGTCATATTGAACATTTTATTTTGGAGTGGAGCTTTGTAGCTCGGTGGTTAAGAAGCTTGCCTGGCGCTAATGTGCTTTGGTACGCCACCCTGATGCCAGGCACTCACTGCTTCGCTCGACCGTCGCACGACAAATTCAACTCCGCTGCTCGCGAATGATAGACGATGCAACGTCGGTAGCAGTCTGAACAGATCGTCATTAAAAACGATCTGTTAATGCGTGCGCGTCGTCGGGCTGTGTTCTTCATAGAATCGCGTCGCCGGACGACCGTCCTTCGCAGTGAGTGGATGGCAAAAACAGCAGTTTAAGGATTTGGCATGGCGTACCAAAAGGTTATGGTGGCTACCAAACCTTAGTGCCGCTTGCCTTCCCAACCCCGGGCCCTGGGTTGAATTCACCAGAGTTACCCGACCAATATAGCTCCACTCCCTAAGTTTCATGAGACTTATTTTATGTAAAGCGTTGTTGCTATTCTGTATTATGAAAGTGATTGTTATTGTACCTATGAGTAGTAAAGTAATAGACTCACTACTAGCAATCTATATTCATAAATAAAAGTTAAGTACAGTAGAGAAATATACATACTGTATTATGTGACTGGCTCTGCCAAACCTGCTTTTTGTCATAATTTCGAATTTTCCACAAGCACCAAAAACATTTGAGAATCAGAATTTTGATCATTTTTATATTTTTTGCATTTTATATAATATGAAGATATATTGAAGGATTTTCTGCAAAATATCAATCACTAAATCTAAATGAATAGTCTATTAAAATTATTTTAAAAATAAAAAATCTTAATAATAAACTATTGATTTTGGAATCTTCGGAAGCAGTTTTCTCAAAACCTACATGGCTGATATCCAATGAACCAAAAATTTAATAACGTCACTACTACTCAATTTCCATCAAATAAACACTGTTTGCAGAATCTGAAAATGCCAAAAAGCAATTTTTGATTTTTCCGACAAATGGCTAGTTTTGCCAGAGCCAGTCACATATTCTCCGCCACCAAGAATCTGGCTAATTGGGATTCTCTGAGTCCCAATAATGACAATATGCTGTGCTACTCAGTCAACCAAACATCTTAAACTGAAGAATAATTAAAAATTCCTGACCAGATTTCCAGGTCTGTCTATGTAGTGAGGCACAATACTTCTTATCATGATGTGATAGTAGGAAGTGGTCAGCGCTTGAGAATCGCTAAAGGATGCTGCGAGAGCTAGATAAGCGTTGTCGCAAACCTCCGGCTTTGAAGTCTAAACTTCCTTTTAATATCTACCAATTGAAACCAATGAGCAAAACCACCATCCTATTTCTTTTAAAAGCATGTATAACGTTATCTGTATACGCACACTCCGAGCTGAACGTGTGTGCTGGTAACTCGCCGGAAGTCCAGAAATTTGTGCCCATGCCTAGACAGAAGTTTGTGCACACACCTAACCAAATTTTGTGCACATACCTTACTGAAGTTTGTTCAGATAAATAGCTAATAGTTTCTTCACATAACAAGTGTATAACTAGCCAGATTAACCTTAATTTGTCTAGCCAGAAAGTTGTCTACATACCTAGCCAGATATCTGTGCACCTACCTAGCCAATAGTATAAAAATGTATAAAAATACGACTAACTTCAATGTTAGTCGACAAACTTATCAAAAAAATTGTGTACATTTTTAACTGATATGTGAAGATATGTCTCATGCAACGATATGTGCTACGACTACCAATCTATGAAATTACAAATATAAAATATTAGTTAATGTTATTTTTAATTGTTGAAAAGTTTAAATGCTTTCAGATCAGCTGATATGTTTATATAAGAATTGTTTCATTGTTTTATTCTATGATTAAACATATTTCAGATATTATTTCGGAAACAATTTTTAAAAGAATACAATATATAATAAAGTAAAGATGATATTAGTAACCATGATGGATAGCACTGAATAAGAATTAGAAATAAACAAATACATGATCATAATTTCAAAAATATACTTTCATAAACGTGAAGTGCTTATGAACAGCCACAACATACACATGATGGTTTTAAATGAAATTGGTACAAATACTAAGAAAATTCAAATATTTTGATGGGTGTATGTCAGTTGCTTGGCACAGGTGTAAAGCTCTCTGTGCATAAATCATGATTAGAGGTGCATGCACGTGCCAAATTAATATAATATCCATGCCATTTGATAAAGAAATTTATCAAACACTTTTATTCTTTAAAATTATTATTATATATGGAATATATAAATGCAATTGTTTTTATTAACTACCGTATTTACTTTCTTACCTTTTTTTGAGAGCCTTACACAAGCCTTATTAAATTTTATTTTAAAATTAGTTTTCCTTTAGGTAATAAAATAAAAAAAAAAATTTAATTTAAATGTTAATGGGTCATTCTGGTGTTTCAATAGCCTTTTTATAAATTGATGATAATTTATCATATTGTTATATTAAATTATGTTTATTATTATTTTATAAGTTACCATATAATTCTTCCTACTAAAGCCAGGAATGAGTCACCATCCCTTACATTAAATAATTCATAGAGAAGTTCATGTTGCTTTTGAAGTGAATGGGAAGTTGTCATAATTATATTATCCTTCATATACTATATTTTTTATACATATACTTCGTAAAACTATTTCAGAGCCATTTATTTACTGAGAAATGATGTGTCGGTGATTAAGCATTTCTGCTTGGGTCAGAGGTCGAGCATCTTCTTCAACTCGTCTGATCTGTGGCATAGTGATGTGCGAGGCAATCTTCCGCACAGCAACGGCGGTTTTCTGTTCTGTTTTCATCGTTCTTTCGGACTCTTTGAGTTTGGTTTCAAGTTCGCTAATGGAGGCTTGCGTCTCTTCCTTGTCTAACTCTTCAATGTCATCAATATCAGGAACTACTTGGAGTGCATCTCCCTGTGATCTCATGCTGTTCCTAAAACAAAATAAAATAAATCTTTGGTGTCCAAACCTTAAAAAATTTTCTCACAAATTCCCCAGGGCTATAAATCCTTGAATATAAGCCCACCCACCCCCTCTCCACACACATTTTATGTCCATTTTTACATACCAGAGTCTGATTTGGCGAGTTGGATGGCCGAGCGTTTAAGGCACGGACGCCACAACCTACAGCGATAATACCATCGCTGTTCGAACGGTAAGCTTGCCTATGATTCTGGTGGTGAAAAAAGGTCTTCTCAGATAAGGCCTAGTGTACACAATGGCTCGTGTGCACTCTAAAGAACCCAGTACATCTTTAGAGATAAGCAGGGGGTTACCCCAGTGTACTGGTTCATATAGCCCATGCTGTGGACAGACAAGAGATAGCTGGTACCGGTTTACCAGTTAGCTCAGACACAAAGAGCCCCTTAAGGGGAGAATACAATTACTGGGCGAGCTAGTCATTTACAAATGCTTTCGGGAAGATCTCGAAAATTTGCTTAGGCATGCAGTGGTGAGAAATTGCCTTTTGATTGAAAGGACATGAGATAAATGAAGCATGTCTGTGCATTTCCCCTTAAGACTTAGTGTTAAAGCATAAAGTGTCCAAAATAATACTCTGCATGTATAGTATAATTGGTAATGGTATAATTTGAGGTTTATTACATTTTAGACATACAAAAAAAAATATTTTAATATGTGACAAATATTAAATATACAGTAAATACTACCGTGTGATATATTTTTTATATATCACATGGTGTGATATATTTTTTATATATCACATGGTAAAAAATATAATTACTGTAAATAAAATAAGAATATCTGTGATTGCATTATCTTACCATACTGATAGCGTGTTTGACAAAGCGTCAAGAACCTGTGATGCGGTGAGCCTCCTCGCTGGATCAAGAACCAACAGACCACGGATCAACGCACAATTACTCTCAGACACACGCCCGTCACTGTAAGTATAAATTATTCGTTATGATACTGTGCTCATGTGTTAACAAAAACATAATGATGATTTTTCACTTCAATGCATTCAAAGCATCCGGAAAGTTAACCAAAAATATGGTGACAATAGATGCATAATTAATTAGGTCAAATATGGGTCACTAGACCATCCTCTACCTGAGCCAGACACCTATCGTCTTTGTTGTAAAGATTAAATTATTAATGACTGTCTTTCTTAATTGTATAAATTATGTGTTAAGTGGACATGTACATATGCAGACAGATTTTTCGCAATTTGAAACCAACAGGTGGAGTAACAACATTTGATGGAATAATGAGTGCTTGAGGATGGCTGTATGTGAGTCATCTAATCAGATGAAATTTTCTATTTGTTTTCTGATAATAACAAAGGATGGTTGGTCATCAATTCCCTATTGATGAATTACAGCTTATGGTTACGTGATTCAATAAATTTGGTTACTTAGCCGGAACTATCATATTTTAAGATCAACAGACAGTGACTAGAAACGGTAATAACCTGGGGAGAATTAATGTAGGCATACAGATCATCAGGTCCTATAATACATGACTTAATTTCAGCTAAAATTAGCTTTAATTTAATTTCACTTTTAATAATAAATTTAATTATATCCTAATTGATCTAATTTAGCAATTAAGTGCCACATCGAACATTTTTTTTTTCTCTTGGGTACTTCTCTTGAATTTAAAGCACTTTAAAATGTACTATAGATATATTCTATCGTACAGTATTTTGAATAAAATTGGCACAGCTAATAATACTGTAAGAGTACCAGGGTCCCAAGTTGAAAGAAGTCTTTTCTGGGAGATCTGGTTAAATGAGAATTTGTGAGACAATAGATAATAAAGTATTAAAAACATGCAAATATTATGAAGTTTTGCTTGCTTGCAGGAGTGCGGGAGGAGGCCGTCCCAATTTCCAGGAGATTCCCGCGACTTCCAGGACACTTGGGACCCCTGAAATACATACCCAACTTCCTTTGATGGTATGTATTTAACTGGCACCATTTCATTTAAGTGCTGCTCTTGAATACAAGATGCAAGATGGTAATAAGAAGACTATTGTTTTTGGTACTTGTGTGAATATGCTAATTGCTCATTTGCATAATTAATATTTAACTAATCAGGTAATTTAGGCTACTATTTATCAATTCTCTGAGAAAAACCAAACTGCGGGAAGGTTACACTTTTACTGCGCAGCATAAAACAGCTTTTCCAGTTTTTTTTAGAGGAAACTAAATTTCAAATCTCTGATTAAATGTACTTTCTATTGCGTCCTTCACATTTCCCAATAAGAGATATCTCAAGTAGCGAGTCAAGAAAATTAATTATTAATTATTATAATATACTGTACTTATACACTAGTTGCAAAGAAATAGTTGAAGGTCATTAAGGCTTTCCTTATGGTAATGGCTAAATTCTTTAAAATGTTAATAGAGTACTTAAGACCTCCTGTTTTACTTAACTTTGAGCTTTATTTTCATGGGAAATAATATAGACTATGAATTCTCAACTTGAAAGCATTTAGAAAGGGAAGACACAAATTAAGATACTTTTAAATTTGAAAAGAGAAAGAGAGATAGAAGATAAGCCTATTCACATATCCTGAAGCGAATGTAGTACTACAGTATACACACATATTGAGGGCGATTTAGGTGTCTCCCTGTGTTTCAGGTGTAGGGATGAAGTGCAAATTTTTAAGCTGCTGGTCCTATCATGGAGGTATAAAATATACCTCCAGGGTCCTATGTGGAAATGACATTGTTAAAACATACTCAATCACATGCATTAGTGGGACAACATGTGTGTCTGTATGTTACAGATGTGCATATTCCTGGCCCTGGTCTGACATGTCAGTTAAGTAAAATTTACACTCTGGTACAGAACTGCCCAAGTCACCAAAAATACCATATTGGAAATTGTAGAGGTCGGAACTGATACTATCAACAGTTCATTGCCTGATGAAGTGTAACTGAAAGCACTCGAAACATCGCAAGTATGTATAATATTGTTATGGTTTAGTAAAAAACTAATTTTGATTTACAATATATTCAAACCAGATAAACTTTTCCAACCTATTGCAAATAGTCTTTAGACTCTCATAAGTTATCTTTAATCGTACAAAAAATTATTGGTCTTACTTTGGGATTGTGAACTCGGCTGCCTTGATTTTGCGGAATAACTCATCTGGAACAATATCGTAGAATGGAAACTGACCAAATAGCATCGTGAATAGAACGACACCCAGGGCCCACATGTCACTTGGCTTACCCAGGTATGGTTTACCTGTACACAAAAAAAAAAAATTTAAATCATTTATACAGTTTAAAACAGGTAGAGTGTAGTAAGAGAAGAGAGCACAGTACGCTCGTTGTTAGTGTAATGAATGTTACGCCCACTGCTGAGATGAGAGCTCTCATCTGTCCAAGATAAATATTCTCATTTTGATATTGACTAAAGGAGAATGTGATTCCACTCCACACCTCAAATCATGCCAACATCCACAGTCCAGAATTGATTGAATTATTGAGGGGGCGTTTATTCAAATTAGATGGGGCGCTTATTCAAACCGGGCGCTTAAGGAAATTTTCACGTTATTTTCGTAATACATGTTTATATTATGCTTATTCGAGAGGGGCGTTTATTCAAACGGGGCGCTTATTCGCACAAGTATGGTACCCAGTACTACCTGTACACCTGCCACTCACAGTTTAAGTTTATCCGTTTTCCATAATACTTTTTTTTATATACTGTCGTTGAAGCGGATGCACTTCCTGTAAACTAGAGCACATCGGGCGCACTTGTATGCCAACGATGTAACAAGGGAGTGATGCATTTACAAAATGGATTATTTTATGCCCTTCTCTTTCTATACTCTTTTCCACAGTAACTTATATCCAGTTTATCCACACTAATCCTAGTACGAACATTGGTTGAGGATCTCATTAAAGTGTATAGCCTGGAGCTAACTGTTAGCGCTAACCGTTAGCACCCGTGTGAGTACGCCTGATCAGTTACCGCTAACAGTTAGCAAGCACTATCGGTTAGCAAGTTGAGCGTGTTTCTATCATCAACCAATCACACGTACGGGTTTACAATTTCTAGTTTCTTATTGGCCAGTGATTTGATCATCATATTCCTGGTATCTGGATCGGAATCTTCTCGTATGGACGCACGGCAGCTAACGGTTAGCAGGATCTGGATCCTGCTAACTGTTAGCTGCTGTGTGAGAACATGGCCTTTGAGAAACTCGCACTCCACAGCAACTGTGTTTTAATGTGTGTATTGTCATTAAGATGGTTGCCTGTTGAAAGTAAACTCAGATCGAAAATTAGATAATAAAAACTTAGGTTCAGTAGGCTACAAGGCATTTATATGCAATAGAAACCATCCAGATTTGTAACTACTACAGAATTGCGTCAATTACTGAGAGATTTTTTTTGTTTTCCATGCAAAAACAAAACCATTGCTTCATGCTTCTGATCAATGTTCTATTAATGAACAATTGATTAAAAAGTGCAGCTTTCAACAACGTTGCATCATTTGTGACTTCTTCTATGAGTGGTACGGACAATAAGATAACACAAAAGTTTAATTTATGATTCATTATCTCACATATTGTTATTGTTCGTTTTTGTTAATTACATAAATATTATTACGCCTATAACATTCATCATTGAAATAACATAATTCTCTTATGATATTATTATAACCTCAAAGAAGTTTATTCTCATAACATAATTATTAACTATAATAGTTTTTTAGTGCATTCGATAAAATTAACATTTCTATTATTTATAACTTTATTATTATCTTTTTAATAACAATTACATAGTAAATATATTTGCCAATTCCCAATTGCAGAAATATATGGCACCAATCAAAAATGTGAATTTGCACCATATGAATGTTTTTTGTTTTTTCTTTGTTTGTAGGTATTTTGCCCATGTTGGTTGTTCATTGAATTGTTGGTTGTTAGTTTAGACTTTAATAATATAAACTGAAACCATTATTTTTAAAATTATTTAACCACATTTTATATTTATAATATTACTTTTGAATTAATTTGTGTTTTTTACAAGCATCTGTAGTGCATTTGAAGTTCTAAATGTATACAGATCTGTATGCAACAACTGGAAAAGGTTTTGATGGGTGCATCATTTTACAATTGTTGTGTTAATACAGATATTGTATCCTGTTATACTCTAAATCAATTTTTTTAAAATTTATTCAAAAACCCAACAATATGTAAAATAGCTAATACAAAGCTGTGCAATATGCCCTATCCACACTATAACATTCTATGTGACAAATGTGTGTGATGTCCCCATATGGCCATGATGATATGCATACCATTGCATATCACATTTATTTGTCACATTTGGGCCTAGTTCAAACTAGGTGGATAAAACCGGCTTAACTCACCGGATTTATCCACCTACTAGTCTGAACTAGGTGGCTTAACCTCAAGCCGGGCTGTGTTCCTATAGTAACTAGGCCTGTCGAGCCACCGGGCTTTAATCTCCGTGGGGTCTTGCGTTGACCTTGGGTAACAAACTGACCAATCAGCATGCAATCACGTTTCCTAGTTACGGTTCATTAATATGCAAATTCTCGCGCCTGGCTAATCCCGCTAGTCTGAACGCCCGGCAAAGTTAAGCCGGGCTTTACGTTGAGCCAGGCTTAACTCAAGTCCGCGCCTATCTCCAAGTGTGAACATAGCCTTGATAGTGCGGATATACAGTAGCTTTACACCATAAACACATGTGAATGAAAAATACATACTGGAATATTATTAATTATCATTATTTATAGGGACTCACCACTAAGGACATCTGGGCTGATGTAAGCTGGACTTCCACGCTGATCCTTTAACAGGTCTTTCTCAGATACAAGGTGTTTTCCGAGACAAAAGTTTGTTAACGTAATTCGGTGGGTTTTCTTGTTTAGAACCATATTGCCAAGCTTGAGGTCACGATGCACAATGTTCTTCTGCATATGATGCGGGAAAAAAATATTCAATAATTGATTCACCAATTTACTAACTTCAACCACCACTTTTCGTTACTACCATATTAACCCATTACACCAATCTCCATCTTCAGCATTTTAACATTACTGTTATTTTTTACTGAAGTATCATCAACACTACAGCACAAACTTCTACAATAAATTCCAAATGTATTGAGGTCACGATGCACAATGTTCTTCTGCATATGATATGAAAAAAAAATATTCAATAATTGATTCACCAATTTACTAACTTCAACAACTTTAATTACCACTTTCCATTACTACCATATTAACCCATTACACCAATCTCCATCTTCAGCATTTTAATATTATTGTTATATTTTTACCGACGCATCAACACTACAGCACAAGCATCCACGATAAAACCACCATAAAACCATATGCATTGCATAACAACGGGTACAGGAGCCCTGCGATGTACTGTACTCCTGTAGCTCTACTAGACTAGGAGACACGTAGGCCCCTAGTGGGTTACAAGAGCAACACTGCTATTCGTTCTAATGTTTTTTAAGTTTTAAGGGCTTATTTTCTTGTATTTTATTTTATACATTGTGCCAGCTCATTCAATTTTGGAACCTATGGTTTCAAAGTGTTATGAGTGCCTGTAGTCGAGCCAAACATATGCGGATTACTGTAAAATCCCCGGGCTACTGCCTAGTGAGAGTTCATAGGTGTAGGCTCATAGGTTGCCCCTGACCATAATTATGATCCCAGTCATCACCATTTATTTCTTCTAAATTATTACAATCTACAAATCTTTTGGGTTATTTTTTTTTATACATTAATGAACAATTCATCAAAAAGTTGGAATTAAAATCTAAAGTCTGCTCTAGAAAGCAAACAAATTATTCTATGTAGAGTGAGTATTATAATAGTAATATATCTCTTATTACTGTAGATAAAAAAAAAAAAAAAAAAAAAAAAAAAAAAAACGGGAAAAATCATGCTTAAAATAAATATGCACTTCCAGTGTACACATACAAATTGTATTCACATGTGTAAAAGTCATGACTAAGGGACCATGAGGAAGCTGCGAATTCTCAATTCAAGGAACTTCAATCTTTTCTCATTTAGACATCTCTACATGGGCTGTTAAATTGAGTGACATACGATGAACTCACATCAGAACATGTTTGGTTTATGTTGTAAACACCTTCAAATGTTTATGCGAAAGGAAGTGTGTATGTCGGGCATGGAAATATTCTCGCATACCACTTTACTGGATTGAAATTATATACAAACTTTCCAGCTTAACTTTCATTTCATTTGGATTGTATTTTAAGACATAAGATAGCAATTCAGCATCAAATATGATGTATGATGTGAACAAAATACAAAATATAAATTTGTATTCATTATAAAATATTCATCTCATAAAAAAACAAGCACAGCTCTACATTCCCATAGTCTAATAAGCATTCATATATAATTTATACTAAGAAAGGGATTATATGTGCTTAAATAAATGTATGAAAAATTAAATAAACATATCTGCATAAAATGTGGACTGTGGTTTGTTAAATAAATCAGGAAATTAACTTTTTTGCTTGGTAGTTCAGTAACACCGCCACAATTTTATGGCACTTCCTACAAAGTATTTGGTAGTATGGCCAAATGTCCATCCCATGGATTATAATGTTGCACATATTTCCCAATCTTTCTCGCATCCCTAAAGATAAACATGCTGCCATACTTTATTTGCATTTCCTCCGCATCCCAACATTGGCCAACATGTCCATGCCATGGATTATAATGTAAGAAAGAAGAAATGAAGAGAAATCAGAAAAGAAGAAAGAAAACAAAGGAAAAGGTAGAAAGGAAAATGAAAAGAAACTAAAAGGCATTATGAAACAAGGAGGAAATGAAATGAAACAGATATTAAAAAGAAAATAGATATTCAAGGGATAATAAAGAGATAGAAAGTACAAGAAAGGTAAAAAAGTCAACTTATCTGGAAAGGAAAAGTAAAGGAATAATGGTAAGTATATTTCAAGGAAAGGATGACCATCAGAATGAAACAAATATTAAAAATGAAAATAGACATTCAAGGGATAATATATGGATAATAGTTACAAGAAAGGTAAAAAACTCAACCTAACTGGAAGGAAATGGAAAGGAATGGTAAGTATATTTCAAAGCAAAGGATGACCATCAGAGTATTATTTTAATTATTATTATTATTAATATCCCACTGTTATAAACTTTGACATTGTAGATTAGCTTTTTTCTATTGATTATAGTTGCTGTATATTCAAGTTTCATTATTTGATCTTGAAAATGACACCATGAAGGAGTCAAAACGTCGATCTTTTCTTTTTAGCGTCATTTTTATATTAAATAATAATTATTTTTATTGTCACTATTATTATTATTATTATATTATTATTATTATTATTATTATTATTATTATTTGATAAAAGTGGTTGCTGTAATGTTGTGAGTTTATTAAAGTTATTTTTTGAACTCAATAATTCTGAAAATATCTCGGCTAAACAGTGTACAAAGAATTTCTACTTGAAACATACAAATTAAGAACAAAGTTTACATGTGTGCGACCAGATTGGATTATAACTCTGAAAATATATCACGCAGAAATGCAACAAGGAAACAAACATCATATTATAGGTGTACTTTTGGAATATTGTTTGATGGCGTGCATTTCCTGAAACGTGAATGAAGTGTTTAGATATGCAAATTCATCATTCTGTACACGTTCATTAATTTAGACAAAGCCGTTAAGATATGCGCAAGGTGTGTCTCCGTGATAAACAGGCTGGAACAAAAAGGAAAGTTGCTGTACTAAAAAGTAAATTAACGCTTGCCAAACGCGCCTGAGTCATGTTGTTATGTAATATTGGGTTCCGACTCTGCGTTTAATCGTAAAGATGAATGAGCTACTGTAGGTTCCTGCCGCTGCGGCTGCAAACTTCTATACAGGTTTCTTTTTCGTTTTAAAACGACTTCTCATATTAAAATTACATAGGCATTAATTTGAGATTACATTACCAATTGCCATGTTTATAGATAAAAAAAAGTTGTACTGTATTTTACATTTAGTATTATTTTATTTTATTTTTTATTAGTTCAATTCAGTACTAATCATTTGTTTTTAACCTCTGGACTCTGGACAAAAAACATGAAGCTATAAGTATGATATCACAGTACTTTGTGCAAAAAGATATTCTAGAGTTGTTTTTAAAGAAATCGCCCTCCTTCATGCTCTCTCACAACGATGTATCACTCCAGATTGGATTAACATTTTTTATCATATAATTGTAAAATTAACAAAAACTGTTTTTTCCCATACCTTATGAAGACTTTCAACGATACGCACAATATCATAAAATATGGCAATTGTTTCTCTCTCGCAGAGTTTCTTTTCCCGTATAACATAGTGCTGAAGGTTGATGTACTGAGAAGTTGTTGTGCTAAAATCGTGAGCTACTAAGCAATCGAGAACGAGACATAAGCGTTGTTTGTAACTTCCTACTAACTTCTTACTCCTAGTTGAATCCGCATGCTTTGGTACAAAGGCTTTGTCCTAAAAAAAAAAAAAAAAAAATTTAGATAAGTGCGGCTCACATTAAAAATATACTACAGTATATGAGGCTTGACATTCCATCACCAACGTACCGTCGCTAATTACTAAACTGAGTAATTAGAGTAATTAGCATAAAAATGTGACAGTATTGTATACTTCAGTACAAATAAGCCGTAGCACTATTTTTACTCATAAATTCTGCATTTGTTGCATTTCCAAGAATATGGGAAGAAATTCCTGTGGATATTCAACAATCAACATCAATTGGAAGTTTCAGATCAGCCCTTACAAAACACTTCCTTTCAATGTATTAGTTGATTGTTTATGGATCAATAATATCCTTTTTTTTGTTGCTTTTTGTTTTTCCCCTCTTTACATTTTCTTTGTTAATTTCTGTTGTTTGTTACTGTTTTTGCAGTTGATTGGTTGAAGGTAATTTTTTAAATTTTTTTTTAATTTTTTTAATTTTTTAATTTTTTTTTTTTTTGTTAATTTGATGTTTTTAATTTGAGCTGTTAATTTGTAGTTAAGATGCTGGATAAGAGTGCAAGTTTTTCTTGTTCGGGTTTATGCCCATTCTCTTTCCTGGCAATACTGTAACATGTCTTTTTGATGCCAAATAAATATTATTATTATTAACACAACTTTAGCAATAGTAAGTAGATTTCAGTAAGTGACCCATCATTTTAAAGCTTGCAATGTGGAGAATAACATACTGATGTTGGTTTGGTTTTCTTCAACAAAATTGTTATTAAATTTTACTATGTTAAGTATCACTTTATACAGTATATGATTGCTGTTAGATAAAGAATTGAAAAAAAAAACCCCATATTAATCACTTGATATATAATATATAAATATACCTATATATACTTATATACATATGCAAGTGAGTACAGTACAAATTTTTGTTTCACAGTATAGAAAGGAAATACAGTACCTATTGTAATATTGTATACATAAAATAGACACAAAGGGGTCAAGAGAAAGGTCACCTCTGGTTCCGAGCCCACAGGGAAGATGAATCAGCCTGGAAATAGACGGATACTCACTTGGAAAAGGCCGTGGTGATGCACTACTCCTTCCTGATTGTGCAACAGAGACAATAGGGAATATTCCGTATGGAGTAGCATCTTGCCTTGTCTCTCATCGTCACTTGTTTCTTTGGTGTTAGATATTGTCAAAATCTGTGAATCATTATCAATGACATAAATTATTCTTACCATCCTGAATATTTTGTATTTATTTATTCAAATTGCCATCTCAAATCATTTTTATTTTTTTTTGGTGCGTGTACTGTACAGTATATATGTAAGAGTGCAGTATCCGTTTTATGCATATTATTGTAGTCTTTTGAAGTGTCAATAAATTGAATTGAACAATTAAAATCTGCAATTATTCTTTAGAATGGTAAATTAATAAATTATTGTAGCAATATGGGACAGTAAGTACACTGTAAAAATATAAATTAAAATAATAACATCATGTAATTACATTAAATGTTCACATTTACTGTACTTTAATCAACATCATTTTACATTAAAATCTTCAATCAGATTTAGCTTTAATATAATAATAATATTAATAACAATTATTAAATAATAATATTAATAATAATAATAATTATAAATCACAAGTCCACTGCACTGCATTATGTACAGAATTATTTATGGTATCTAATAACATAACATTAATGATACAATGAGTATAATAATAATAGTAATAATAATAATAATAATAATAATAATAATGAAAATAATGATAATAATAATAATAATAATAATAATAATAATAACATTTATAAATCACAAGTCCACTGCATTGCATTATGTACAAAATTATTTACGATGGTATCTAATAACATAACAAACATGAATGAGTGTACATACAGTACTGTACAATAATAATTTTATAAATGTTATAAACTTTATAATCTTATCTATAGAATGGTGAAAAAAAAAACTGGACGTATGAAAAGTATTCAGAATTCTTCTTACCTTAATGCAATAAAAATCCCTGGATCCTTGCTTTCGGGCCAGGCACTGAACAATACTTTTAACTGGTGATGACCCCAATCTCGGGCCTAACAAATAGGGCCCAGCTTTGCGAACAGTTTTGAAAGGATTCGATGTGTCATCCTCTAATTGTTCTAGAGGGCATTGTGTTGTTGAGGCACTTTCAGAAGGTGGACAAACACTTGAGGAAGACTTTGGCGTTTTGCTAAATGATACTTGTAACGCCGAAGCTCCTTGTGACATGGTTAAATTATGTGTATCTTCCTCAGATAGGTTGGTTTGATTGTAGAGCATAGCTAACGAAAGGGAATGCGACCTGGTTCTGCGTGTTGCCCTGGAACTTGATGGATGATGTAGATGATTGACATCAGGAACTGTTGCACCAGTGGGTCTTGCAGCTGAATGAGCTTCGTGGCTACTGGAACTTTGCTCCCTCAACTGGTGAGGTAATCTGGACCTACTGGTTGATGGTACTTCATTGTGGTTCAACGATGCATCGTTCATAGATCGGAATTTGTTCTGACAGTGCACTGGAAGTGTGGATCTATGTACCACCGGTAAACCTCTTGCAATATGGTAGAAAGGGTTTTCATCAGTCATTGCACTTGGCTTGCTAGAGAGGTCAGAGAAAGATGCTCTACGCGTTGGTGTCATACTTCTTACAGGAATGGTCTTGTTTACTGCAATCGCAGGGTTTGTACTTCCGAAGAAGATACCGTTCTGAGGAATCGCTGGGCTCATTGTAGGACTCGGGGCAGGAATAGGGGAATATAAAGGTGATTGCGGTCTACCCGAGTGAGACAGTCGACGAGGTATATGCAAATTAGCTAAGTGAGAATTACTCCTGCATGCAGCGGATGAATGTGACCCTCCAGCTGGGCCCGACACTGGGATTAGCATGGTTCCTGCGGTTGGTGAAGGGTTTAAATTAGGCACGGATAGAGGTGGTTGTCTCTGAACTGGAATAAAGCTAGTCGAATTGTGATGGTGTCCTGTTGTCTGGTTGTAGTGTATACCACCTGGGAAAAAGTGTGTGTGTAGTGGCGATGATGGGGAATGACATGGGCTCATCAGAAAATGCTGGTGCAGGTGATTGGATGGTGCGATCATCGGTGAGTTGGTCTCTGAAGAATCTGTAGGGTTTGACAAGGCACGAATCAACGCTGGTCTGAATGGCGGTAAATGGTCGTGATCATGATGGTAGGATACTGCGCTGTTGTTAGTCACAGATTGTTGAGAACGCCGCCTGCGAGAGAGCGGTTCTTGATGACTCCCTCCGGCTGATCTCTTCATGTTTCTGGGATGTTGCAAAGTAGATAAGGACAGGTCACCTTAGCATCATACTTTAATAAAAATTTTAGAAAGAATTAAATGTTACAGCATTTACTAGGCCTATGTACATGTAGATTATTAATATGGTATACAAATATATGGGCCTAGGCTGTTGGGCATTAGGTATTACGCCGAAATGCCTAGGCGGCTTGCCTCAGTTACAAGTTAGTTACACTCCCTTCTCCCACCAAACACCATGCCAACGGTCGTGGTGTGAACAATTGTTGTGGTACCTTTCTGATTTTGCTTTACGATCAATACGGATTTTGAACGTTTTTCAAAAAATAAAATAAATGAAATATCAACTTACATTTCAAATGAACATCATCGAAGTAAACACTAATGCTGTCAACAACGACAACACAACTAACTACTGAATAAGTGGTGATGAACTGAAAGAATAATGTAAATTAACGAAATGTCATTACACGGCAAGAGCGTTTTATTTAATATGTTTTTCCTGATTCAACCCCAACCCTTCGCTATCTCACAGTTGTGATAGGAAATTGTTCATTTAAGAATTATAATTAGGTTAAGATAGCTGGTACATAAAGCTTACAAAATGCGAATAGAAATTTTAAATATCAATTAGAATGTTTTATTAATCTAGATATGTATAAATTTGTTTTAAAAAAAAAACCACAAAATTAAAATATTATGACATTTCCCCTTTTATAAAATGAAATCGTCCAAAAGCAGGTCAAACGGGTTCATGATTGTAAGAAGAAAAAAAAATGGCGATGCCCATGCAGCGCATTGTACGTGCTTTATATCCATCTTTAAGGCGACATAAAGCAGGTATGCCTTATATGACACACACACATTTAATTGTAAAGAAAACGCCTTTCTTCTTTTTCTTTTTTCCAAGGCAATTGTTCTTAAGTTCCTTAACAATAGCAGTTGTAGCAGCAGCTAAGCCCAGGCTGGCTCTGTCATCAGACTCAGTGCTTTCACGATGCGAGGTACACATCGTGGTAGATAGATGATCGTACTCGTGAGGACGGAGAACCGGACCCATTAATTGAGAACAACAGAGAAGTGCCTGAACGACAAGTATGACCACAGATTAACAACCCCCCCCCCCTATATTTCATCTTGCTAAACACATTGAGATGGACTATTGCACTCCTTATTACTATAGGCCTACTTGAGTTTTTAAAATATCAATTATAATTTTCTAGAATTTATTGAATGAATGTATCTTTCTTTGAATGAGTATAAACTTGAACAAATGTTACGTAGTAGGCTATAGGCCTAGTAGTACTATTTAGTACTGCTTACTTGCTGTATTTAGTGGCATCTAGGAGGAGTCTTGAAATGGGGGATAGAATTAGTATGGTGGGTGGGGGTGGCCAAGGTGAAGTTGGAGGGCTTGATTATTAAATACGGGGTGGGGTGCTATCTGCCAAACAAATAGTGGTATATAAGGTCATTTTTAAGTATGTGAGAATAATTTGTTTGCCTCAAAGATTTCCAGTAGGGGGAGGGGCAACTTTTTTTGGGGAGGCCACCATGCACCACTAGATCATGGCACTGTATTTATGTACCGCAAGATATTTCAATTAAAAATCAGAATGAGGAAGAACAAATCCTTGCAAGTTAAGAAACGTATGAATAATACAGGTTCTTTTGCATATGCCTTACACAGTGGTACTTTACATTGACATAACGGTTAATAAATTATGTTTTGCTGTGAAGGATATGGTATTTGTGGTGTATTACTCAGTAGTTCTTCTTCCATTCTTGTACAGACCACCTGTTTGCCCAGCCGGGTGTATTTTCGTACTGTTGTGGATGAGCACAGTGGCTGTGAGACTGTCTCTTATACACATCTCTGTCAACAACGACAACACAACTAACTACTGAATAAGTGGTGATGAACTGAAAGAATAATGTAAATTAACGAAATGTCATTACACGGCAAGAGCGTTTTATTTAATATGTTTTTCCTGATTCAACCCCAACCCTTCGCTATCTCACAGTTGTGATAGGAAATTGTTCATTTAAGAATTATAATTAGGTTAAGATAGCTGGTACATAAAGCTTACAAAATGCGAATAGAAATTTTAAATATCAATTAGAATGTTTTATTAATCTAGATATGTATAAATTTGTTTTAAAAAAAAAACCACAAAATTAAAATATTATGACATTTCCCCTTTTATAAAATGAAATCGTCCAAAAGCAGGTCAAACGGGTTCATGATTGTAAGAAGAAAAAAAAATGGCGATGCCCATGCAGCGCATTGTACGTGCTTTATATCCATCTTTAAGGCGACATAAAGCAGGTATGCCTTATATGACACACACACATTTAATTGTAAAGAAAACGCCTTTCTTCTTTTTCTTTTTTCCAAGGCAATTGTTCTTAAGTTCCTTAACAATAGCAGTTGTAGCAGCAGCTAAGCCCAGGCTGGCTCTGTCATCAGACTCAGTGCTTTCACGATGCGAGGTACACATCGTGGTAGATAGATGATCGTACTCGTGAGGACGGAGAACCGGACCCATTAATTGAGAACAACAGAGAAGTGCCTGAACGACAAGTATGACCACAGATTAACAACCAGCCCCCCCCCCCCCTATATTTCATCTTGCCAAACACATTGAGATGGACTTTTGCACTCCTTATTACTATACTTAGGCCTAGACTATAGTATATAGGCCTATAGGCCTAGGCCTAGTCCTACAGTCTATAGGCCTACTTGGGTTTTTAAAATATCAATTATAATTTTCTATAATTTATTGAATGAATGTATCTTTCTTTGAATGAGTATAAACTTGAACAAATGTTACTTACTTAGGCTATATAGGCCTAGTAGTAGAATTTAGTACTGCTTATTTGATGTATTTGATGCATCTAGGAGAAGTCTTGAGATGGGAGATAGAATTAGTATGGTGGGTGGGGGTGGCCAAGGTGAAGTGGGAGGGCTTGATTATTAAATAGGGGGTGGGGTGCTATCAGCCAAACAAAATAATAGTGGTATATAAGGTCATCTTTAAGTATGTGAGAATAATTTGTTTGCCTCAAAGATTTCCAGTAGGGGGAGGGGCAACTTTTTTTGGGGAGGCCACCATGCACCACTAGATCATGCCACTGTCTGTATTTATGTACCGCAGATATTTCAATTAAAAATCAGAATGAGGAAGAACAAATCCTTGCAAATTAAGAAATGTATGAATAATACAGGTTCTTTTGCATATGCCTTACACAGTGGTACTTAACATTGACATAACTGTTAATATTATGTTTTGCTGTGAAGGATATGGTATTTGTGGTGTATTACTCAGTAGTTCTTCTTCCATTCTTGTACAGACCACCTGTTTGCCCAGCCGGGTGTATTTTCGTACTGTTGTGGATGAGCACAGTGGCTGTGAGATGGACCAGTACACCAGGGCAGTGGCAGCGCCAGCGGGGTGGCAGGGGGTGAACATAGCTCGTCATGCAGTCAGACCATAAAACATATAAAAATAGGCCCACACCAAGCCAACACATGTCTGTCACAGTCTGAGAGTGCCATTTTCGGCCATCTAGAGGTTGATATTCTTTAAAAAAAAATCTCATTTGGGAGGGGGACCCCCTCTCAACCCCTTCTCCCAGCTCGAGCCTACAAGCTCAAGTCCCCCCTGTCGGACATCTTAGCTTCCCCCACCAGAAAATATATCCTAGAGCCGCCACCGCACCAGGGTAACCCCCTACGCGTCTCGAAAGATGTACTGGGTTCTTTATAGTGCACATAAGCCTATTATGTACACTGGGCCTACAGTAAATAGTCCTTATCCGAGAAGACTTGCTTCACCTCCAGAGCCATAGGACGAGCGTGCTGTTGGAACCAGCTCCGATATTATGGCTGTAGGTCGTGGGCCGTCATTCGTCTCAGGAGTGTATTACTGGGGCTTAAAACTGAATAAAGATAAACGTTTTATTACAGTACTTTTTTTTTTCTTTTCGTTTTAGGTGTTTCTCTAGTAAGATGCATGAGTTCACTTGAAAGTAAAATTGTTGAAGTCGTGGGAGACGAAGAGGCTTCAAAACTCCGTAAATCGGACGAGTACGGAGCGAGGGAGACGTTTATCAGTCCCGAGTTTTTACCGCCAATTGGAAAACGATCCAAGCTTCAGGATTTCTTAGAAAGAAAAGATTGTTTCAGGAGGCGATTAGTCCTTGATATTCCAGAATTCTACGTGGGTAAGATCTTCGATATATTTTTAGTTCCATCCTGTTTGATTGTTATTTTATCACTTAATCAGAGGTGGCACCACAGGTGGGCCGTCTGGGCCTCTGCCCAGTACATGTGGAGGCCTGCGAAGCTGTCAAGGACCCACAGTAAATTTTGTTGGCAAAAAATAAAACATGGTGGGGCTGAGGTGGGTGTGGACTCTGGCCCATCTATCGGCGAAATATGGACCACCTGTCGGGGAAATGCTGTTGCTAAGGCACCCATGTACTTAATAGCACATAATCATAATTTAATAACACTGGTACTTGATTTAGAACTTTGTAATATAATAGTAATCATTAATTTGTTAATATTGCTGCTCAGATTTTTAAATTACAATTTCAAAATATGTCATGTGTTAATAAAGTCACATAAAAAGGTTATTAAAATTCCACAAAACAAGTAGCACATTCCAAGTTGGTGGTAATGGTGCAAATAATTATTATAATACTATAAATTATTTTTACTAAGTGATGTTTTTTTCTTTTTTTGTATTGTACCGGTATCTCTTAATCTATTCCAACTGTACATTGCAACCTAACCCTTGAAGGTGACAAAATAATCTTTGTGCCTTAATTTGAAAACCAATCATATAAGAAATATTATGCTATCATTATATTAAAATTTTCAAATCATTAAAGTTCTTTTAACAACAGCCTTATCGATATTAATCTTTTTTTTCTTTTTTTTTTGTGAGACACCAAATATTGCGGATAGGACCATGAAAATAGGAAGTAAATATTCAAAGAAAATAAATAATTGGGTTTTTTTTCAGGAAGTATTTTAGCAGTCACCACAGCTGATCCATATGCACAGGGGAAAGAAAAGAGGTTTGTTGGCATCTGCCTAGAGAGGAAAGGCTTTGGGCTAGGACATACATTTATGCTAAGGAACGTGGTTGATGGTTTAGGTAAGAACATTAAAGCACATACTGTACAGTAGGCTGAACAGGTTTTCAAATTTATACATAAACTAATACCTGAGTTCATCGGGAGCCCATGGGTGGGCATAAAAATTGTTTGGAGGGCCAAAATGAATTTTTTATTTAACACAGAGAGCCACACCCAAACTTTTATATTTCCAGTGTGCATCCAACAACCTTATGCACTGCTTTTATACCTCTTTATGCTCAGTTTTTATATTAATTTTTACATATGATCGGTGTCAGCAACATCGTCTCTAGCCAAAGATAGTTGGCGGGCCACAAAAAGGTTTTTTTATTTGTTTTCACGGGCCACAAAATAATCACTTGTCGAGCCACATGCGGCCTGCAGGCCACACTCTGCCCACCTGCTTATTAGCCCATCATTGGTATAAACACATCCATCCCTACTTTTAATCTGATTTTACATACCCCCCCCCCCCCCAGGCAATAATTTGAATAATTAGCTCATCTGACTTTTACAGGAGCAGCTCTCCCTCTAATTAAAGACCGCTTTTCTGTGGGACTCCATGTTAACATTTTTTTTACTTCATTATTCTAGTTAGGGACCAAAGCTAAAGACCACTGAAACACCGTTCCAAAAGGTGGTCTTTAATTGGAGGGAAACCTGTATTTTCAGAAGTAACAAAGATTAGCTTTGAATTAGACATAACATTGAAAATTTGTCTTTTGATTCTATAAAGTTGGACAATTTTTGATGTAGAGGGATTTCCCATGTATAAGCCCACGTCAACCATAATATTAACCAATATTGTGGGCTGTTTGCCTGAGAAACTACAGGAATAGAATGCACAATTTACAAAACAAAACACCTTTTACTTTTATGGTAATAAAACATTTCTTTTTTTAATCTCCTGTTTGCAATGTTTTTTTTGTTTGTTTGTTTTTGTTTATTTATTTTTTTTTTAGGAGTTGAAATCATGTATGATTTGTACAGTCCACTCATACGAAGGATTGAAGTTCTCAAGCTAGAGAAACGTCCTGACGTTAACCTGCGATATTTACGAGATTCACTACCCGAATACAGCACTGTAGACCCTGACATGATATCTATAAAGCACGTACCAGGCCATCCAATTCCAGTCAATGATATAAAGGTAAATGAGATAAAGATTGAATGTAACAACCCTCACAGAGGTGTAGGTAGACACCAAGGTGTGGAGTAACATTTATTTTTAGGTAGTAACTAAGGTAAAAGGTTTTGTAAACTAGGAGAATATGTAGGCAGTTACATAGCTGTAGACAGAGGTCCATTATTCGACAGGCACCTTGGTAATGACAACACCCAGACATGAAAAGTGTTCAATTGTAGGCAGATATTTCAGCTGAGGTATTGGCTGACGCCCAGGGTAAGTAAATTCAGTTCAATTCAAACAAGCCCTGGCTGAGCAGCCATCACTGGGCCCAGTTCTGCTTCTAGTGACCCAGCCCAGACATCTAGGTTTAGATAGTTATCCTGATTTAGGCAGACTCAGATTTTTATAGCCTGACACACAAGTATAGATAGGCATCCAGGTGTAGCCAAAAACCCTTGTTTAATAGTTACCCTCTAAAGTAGGTAGATATTGAGACAGACATGTAGCTAATCACTACAGTATGTGTAGCTAGAAATCAAGGTTTAGATAGGTATTCTGATATAGAGAGATAACCAGAGGCGTAGCATACGATATACTAAAATTGGTTTCTCTTGAAAAAAAGATTTCTGGTTATTTCTTTTGTCTTTATGGCTGGAATCACATTGACCCTAACTCTCTTATTAAAATTGATACTTGCCATACTGACAAGTTGAAACACTAATTTGCAAGAGCTAACTGTGTTAAATATACAGTTTTTTAATTTATTTCCTGGACTTTGGGATTCTTAACCTTTCAGGATTAACAAATGTTTCTCAACAACCGTGAATTTTTTTCTTTCCCACTTAACGAAACACTTCAGACAAATGAATGACAGACAATGTCTTATCTGTGAATTTGTATTGATTATGTTTTCTTTTTATTGGTCTGTTAATACACTTTTGATATAAATTAATGTATGTATTAAATAGTAATTGTAAGAGTAACTATATCCATTTTTTTTTATGTTTTATCTTTATGCTTTTTGATTTTTGTTTTTTGATTTTTTTTTTGCTTTATGTTTGGAGAGCCACAGGAAAGTATTTCAGTATAGACCATTTTATTGGATTTATTTTGATACAGCGCCGCCAACGTCTCGCAACTCACTGGGGGACTTCAGCAGCCTAGCCTGAGCAGCTGGCTGGTACAAGTAGAGCACCGCGCAGCATATAGCGCCGCTAGACTTTTGCTATAGCAGCAGCAGATACGGTCTTGCTAATTAATGCAATTACTGTATATATAACCATTGAAATAGCTTTTTAAGACTTGTTGTTAATACAAACATTTCATGTTTTTGCCGTTTTAAAATATTTGTGCTCGTTAGTAATTTAGTTTTATCGTTGATTTAATTCAATGGTAAATACGTAGAGTGATATACTAGGCCTCTGAAAGTCCCCCCAGTTGTAGTTGCCAGGTTATCGGAAATTTCATTTCAAATTTTGGGAAAATGGTCTATATTTCTGGTAATCATGTCTGGCCGCTTTAAGAAACCTATATTGTCTGTGTGTGTGTGTGTGTGTGTGTGTGTGTATTATCAGGACAAAATAAATGAAATGAAATTATTATTATTGTTTTCCAGGTGAAATTAAAGCCAAGACCCTGGACGAAACGATGGGAACGAATGGAGATGCAAGGAATTGATTACAGCGATGTGCCGCAGGAGAGAATGGAGGAAGGGGAAAAATGGCATATGCCGGATCACACTCGATATGACCTGCTACAATTATGGGAACTTCCGGAAGATTATAGGAACCAGATTGAACGAGAGGTAGAACAACATGAACGAGAAAAAAGGGAACGGAACTTAAATACCGGAGCATGAAAGACTCAAAATATTATATAATAATAACATTGTTCATATAAAGATTTGAAACTGAAATGTTACATTGAGCTGAAAACTCATTGCGTTGTACAACGGTCGTTCATTCCCAGATGACGCTGCGCTGATTGTCTGACTGTAGGCAGTGGCGGACCATAGGGTAAATTTCAGGGTGTACTAGTGCCTGCTAGTGGGAAATGTTACTACAATCAATGACTGTGTTTAATGAAGTAATAATACAAATATATGTTCTTTATACCGGCTTGGTTGTTTCTTCTCTTCAAAAGTTTTGCAATTCCTGTACGTTTAACAAATTACAATTTATATAATAACAGCAAAAGTTTCTTCTATACCGTGGTCCACAGCCTGCCCGTCCTGTGGCGTAGTGTCCCTATTGTGGATAAAGAGCACCAAAGACACGAAGGAGTGACCAGCATCCGACTTAAACTTTTGACCTTTAAAGAAAGCAGTGTGCATTACTGCCGCGCCAAATTCTTTCAGAGAAATTATCGCAACACAATATCGCATTTCCTGCATTTATCTTTTGGATTTCATTGGACTCTATTCGCTGAAATAGTGAATTATTATAACAGGAAATTTACATTTTTTAAGTGCTGGTTTTATTATTTAAAATAAAGCTATGATTTGACTTAGTTTTATGAATACCTGAAGATGAGGTTGACGCTTATTAGCATTTGGCATTAAATGTTGACATATGCTGTTATTAAAGATAGAATTGAAAGAGTGTCCAGTTAATAATATTTGATAAGGTTGATAATAAATACAAAGATGATAATATTTCAATTATGAATTACTGTATATAATTGTGGATTGTTTTTTGGGTTTTTTTTTTTTTTTTTCATGGCATTTTATTGGACCATGACCTTATGCAATTGTTTATTGTGATGGTGGTGATGTATTGTATGGATTTAGATACTGATTGCATTTACTTGGAACACACCATATAATAATATGGAAGTCAGAAGACTTATATTAAATGCGGTGCTTCTGGTGGTAAGTTGAATTGGCCATATCGCACGCACGACGATAAACAACGTAAACGTCCCTTTGCGCTATTTTCACTGAAAGAGCAGCGATGGAATTATTTATCATTAATGTTATGGATCACCACAGGGGTCGGTGTAGTGGCTACCACCTGGTAAATCAGACGACTGAGCGAAGCTGCTCTTGTTAATTCACCAGTTTTGTGTTAGTACCCATGAATCCTATGTCGTTGACAAAACCTCAAAAATATTAACAGGGGCAGATCGAGGATTTAAAAGAGGGGGTTCAAAATGCCTGCAAAAGAAACCCCCCAAAATGAAAGGGGGGTCCGGGAAAATTTTGATTCCTAGATCGCCGGAAATGAGCTTTCCCGACTTCTGAGGAGTCTTTTAATGACCTTTAAGTTCTTCAAAATTCAAAGTTTTTCCCCCTTGTGAAAAAAGGTTAGGTAATTTTATCTCATTCTTTATGCCTATCATACAGGAAAAAAAAATCAAAGACAGGTAATATTATATTATTATATTCCAACAACATTGAGTAGATAGATATGTAGTCTTTCTTCCATGGATCGATGAACCGATAAGCCTTAAGAACGCATTTTTGTACATAAATTATTACGACGGCGAACCAAAAACAGTGTACAGTATATAATTTATAATTTATTTATTTTATTCGTCTGATCTAGGTAGGTAACCATGCCTTTTGTAAGCCAGGACCAAGTTGTATTTTGTTACGTTTCTTCACAGAGGGGGTTCGTCCCAACCCCTTGAACCCCCCTGAATCCGCCACTGATTGATATCAGTTATACCCTGATATATTGATATAATTCATTTTTATATATAAAGTTCATATTCTACAAAAAGTTGACATTTTCTGGTTGCATTACTTCCTTTTCTGTACAGTCGAGTGACATACATAAAAGGCTACTTGCTGTACAGTAAATCCTCATGCAGTGCTTGCGTTGATTTCTGTTACTACTATACCAACCCCTCCCGCTATACATTTACACAAAAATTATTATATAATATTGTTTGGGAAATATGTTAATTTAGGAATGAGAATAACTATATATTTTTTCTCACCTCCACTGAATAATAATTAATAGACACGAATGCGTTTGTGCTTTCACGTTCTGATGACTTCAGGTCCCTGTAAGCTGGGGAGGGTCCGGGAGTTTCCACCTAAATAGGAAATTCATTCGAATGTATAGCTTTACTGATTCCAAATCAAATTACAGGTATAAAAGTACTGAGAATATTTGCATTTAAAACACCTGCTCACAGCTTTTTAAATTCATATTCATAATTTTATTTTCCTCCCACGAGATGGTAAATGTCATTGAAACAGCGTTAATAATGTCTGGAGCGTCAGCTCCCCAGCTGGATCCACCGGGGCTCCTAGGCGTCGCCCCCCCCCCCTAGCCAAGTTTGGTACGTTTTTCTGGAAAAAGACCTCCCCCATTCACAACGCAGCATACGGGCCTGGTTATATTTATAAATTCAAAATAAGAGACCCAGAAAGAGACTTTCCATTCTTATGGACTTATTTATAGTTGAATATAATTTTCCTTTTTTTTTTTTTTTCCATTTTTTTTTTTTTTCAAAACAGATTTTAGCACCAACAATGTTAAAATGAGCTTTGGCATATAGGCCTATAGAAATAAAAGAAAACAAAACCGCAACGAGCTTCCGTTCTTAACAATGTCCTTCTCATGACGAATGCGTGGTGAGGGCGCGATGCATACAAAGACCATATTCAGTGCTTTTTCTCCCACTCACTGTTGATGAAAAACTAGTCCTGTTTTTTTACACTACAGAGGTACCGCACAGTTACGAAGACCTTGCCTCATGACAATTATTAAGGTCGTCTGAATACGCGCGTGGGATTGTCTCATTGTCATTCGGCGCCCCCGAAATATGAATTAACTAATAATTCGTCCGACTCGGCGATTTCGTTGTGTAAAGATGTACAGTATGTAAAGATGTGCAAAAAACGAAATATTTACAAGTTATCTAACGTGTGTATATTTTTGAGGATATGCAGTAAACATGGGGGTGTAGTAAAATTTGGAAAACTCCTAGAAATTGTGTTACAATATTGAATATAGGCATCTACTACATTATATTCAGGAATCGAACCCAGGACCCTCTGCTGTCTACAGTATTAGTATGTATGCCTATAACATACATATTTATGTATACTGTAGGTCTATTGTAAGTATATTTTATGTACCATATACCGGAATCCGAAAGGTCCACTGATTAATATCAGATAAGATAGTATAATAAATACTTCAAGTATCGAAATGCACGCGCCATCGTATACCAGTATAGCTTTCTGAATCAGCCACAAAAAGCCCAGCCTGTCTCAATGACGTGTCCATCGATATTTTTCATTTATTACTTCATTCTTTTAGTTTTTCAGTGTGTTAACCAGGCGTATGCCTATTGGTTTAGAGCTCATATTTTTCACTATTTCCTTCCGTGCTTGTAATAATGCAACTTGGTCTGGCAATGTTGTTAAGTGTCCGAATTAACCACATTTTAATTAAAGGTCAAATTTCCTTTATTTCGTATGCTTCTATTAGTCTTAATATACTTAAATGAGCTGTTTGCCTTCTGGGCAGGGATAACCATGTCCTACTACCTGCTACCGGGGGCCATTCAAATCCCAGGTTAGAACATGAATCATTTTAAGTTCTGCCCTCAGCTTTGAAAAGAAAATCAAACTAGACAATTCCAATGAGTTTCCATGGAAACGAAGTCACGTCCCAATTTTTAGCATTTCCTAGTCTGGGCTGCTTCCCTTGCTCACCGTTGCTCTGGATTATAATTTTGACAACAGTTTTTAAAAAAGGCCTACTTTATATAGGCCTAGGTCTAAGATTTCAGAAAATTATTTGACAGGTTTTTTTTTTTTTTATGTTTGTATATTATTTTTGGCTAAATGTTGATGTATTAGCTTTGCTTATTATAGGTTTAATATAGGCCCTTTATAAATTATTTATATCATTGTACTGCAATAGGTTTAAAAGAAGACCACAGCTATATGCAAAGCATTATTCATTGGAAAATGAACCAGACGAACAAACAAGCACTGGAAATCACTCCAGTATAATAGAACCAGGTAATGTCTCTTATACACATCTAGATGTGTATAAGAGACAGTATATATATATTGAATAGCCCATGCCTATATTAAAATCAGTATTGTCATTATTATGCTGTTTTTATTATCTTGTAAATAAAAAAGGAATAGCAAAGGCCACGCTTTAAAACGCTTTAATTTTGGCTTTGCATTAAAATTTCTTTTGGTAATTCGTAAATATACAGCAAATCGGGGCCGAGTTGACTACTTGGAGCCGAGCAGTGACTTGGGGCCCCGAGTTGACATGGGGCCGAGTTGGCTTGGGGCCGAGTTGGCTTGGGGCCGAGTTGACTTGTGGCCGAGTTGACTTGGTGCCCAGTTGACTGTGGCCGAGTTGACTTGGGGCCGAGTTGACCTGCTTCCCTACTAACTTTGTTGTTACTGTATTAATTAAGCATCTGAGTTTATACCATGATCAATATTATCACATAATTGTCATTGAAACCGTGAAGTAAGCAATGCCAGGTTCTTTTATAGTGTTTTATTTTTAATTCTCATCCAACATGAAGATAAATACAGGATGTAACTGGATTACGAATGAATCCTATCTTGTTACAAGGTTTAGTAAAGGGAAGTTGTTTTGTTGTGGTTTAAAGTCCGATAGGATTTCAACCCATGAACCTTAAAGATAGCACCTTTCCTTTGAGGGTCGAGTTAGCGCAGTGGCAAGGGATTTGACTTGGTGTGGGATAGACAGTGTAGCGATTTTTATGAAAACCACGATTTAAATGAGGCCACTCGTAGGTCAGACGGAATTACGCAGGAAGTCTTTCGCCCAGCTACTCCACTAAGTGTGATAACAATGAAATAACAATTAACACATATTTACTTTCTTTCAGTCGATTTATTTAACTTATGTTTATTTTATCATTGTTATTTCGTTAATTAATAACTTTAAAATTTATCAAAAAATTATAAGAACATATTCAGATTAAAAACCTGCGTTATAGATAAAAATCTATATGGAAGTAATATGAATTGCAGATAACAAACTAAATACTTGTTATTGAAACCATACAATTCCTTGCGTGTTAGCAACCAAGTGGATTATTACTGGACAAGACATCTGGTCCTCTATCACTACATTTCGAACGTAATTCTTTCTCCCATATATGTGATGTAAATAGCTAAATGTTTACTTCTTTAATGTATCAGTCTCTGTTTTGTTGTCCTCTACGCTGTTTAAAGTCAGCTCTCCGCTAATTGCTTTGTACAATTCAAGATGAATGAATTTATTGTCACCAACATCAACCTAAAAATAGGTAAAAGATAGCAAATGAGATGTACATTTTGACGTCGCAGTCACAGTTTGTATGAACTGCATTTATTATACCGTCATAGTTGGTAACAAATGGCGTAGGCCTATTGCGCACTACGCGTAAAATTCATGCATCAGTGACCAAAAAGCGCGTAACATCTGCTACAATTAAATCACAAGTTAAACATGTCAGGACGTTTACACTTTCAGGCATAATAGGATGAATTTTGATTCATTCATTCTGGTTTGTAAAAAAATCCAATTTATCATTTATATAGGATACGGTACTACAGGCCTATTGTTACCGTGGTCTCATCCTTAGTTAAACTATATCCAAAATAGTGTGTGGGAACTAAGTAGTGTATTATTATTCAAATAATCTTAAGCATTGTGGATTACAAAGACACGGTATGTGATTCATAGACAATATGAAAACAGACAGCGGACTACTGAACATGGATTTATTCCTTCATGGTATTAATAGAGAGCGATCGGCCCTGTTTTTGACTAGTGATTTTTTTCAATTTTGTATAACTTAAAAGGCCCCTTAAACAGTAGTGCTTAATTAAAAGGGATTTTATGCCCACGAACCTTCACAAAAAACTTATATCCGTTCACCGTTTGTGAACAAAACTGTGTGGCTTTGTAAACTGGTAATTTTCGATCGACCTTCTTCTCAACACTGTCCTTAACCTGTGGAATTAAAAACAGGCAAAGAACGCTGGCAAATTAATTCACAATGTCATATAACTCTTTGTTGATAAATGGGATGAGTCGGTACGTATGAACTAAAAGGGCATATAATGCATTGAGTATATACTGTAACATGCAGTGATTACGTGCCTGTCTGCTCAGGGGGTGCTCAGGAGGATCGGAAGGATTCGCTCAACGGACAGACAAGCATCCCTGACGTCTGTCCTCACTTGATATTGCCGGACGAAAAAAATGAATTTGCAAATCCACCTACAGTATGTTAAAATAGTTCTGGTCTGAAAAGCATAGGCCTATCTTTTACAATCCAGACATTACAATCTCCGCTTGACCCCATCAGAGACACAGACTGGCGGATTGGCGGTCCCTTGAAAGTGGTCCCCTGTCAGAATTGCCGGGTCTATGCAAAACTTTTAAAGCCACCTGTGTTAATGTTTAGATTTAAATAACTAATGTATATTTGTCTTCCTCAAAGATACTATTACTGTATACGTTTTTAGCCGCTATTCTTTTCTTTATAATCAATTATCTATTTAAGCGACCGGCGGGCACGGAAATCCCTTCATAAATTTAAGTAAGTTATATTAATTCCTTGATAAACAAATAACATACTTGAGTTTCATATTCCTGTTAACTCTGCGGAGGTAGGTATATAAAATATCAATTGTTAATTATAGGCTTACCTTTTCAATCATAGCCTGGATTTCAGCGTTTGCTGGTGCTGGGTCCGAGACCGCTCCTAACATGGGACGAGAAGTCGCCTGCATTTGTGGTTCAGCCATTTTTTAAAATATATATTTAATTGAGTTTCTGCTGAGTCCGTGAGTAACGCGATGTGATCGTAAGAAATAAACTCACTGAATGAGTGCGTAACAGCTTGGTCATAAACAGCTCAGCGGTTATGACGTTAAAATCAAGTTATCAGTGACGTAGCAACCCTGGATTTTGCCAACAATAGAGCACCCACTACGCGAATTACCTATCTACAATACAATAAATTGAAGAAGATTAGGAAAATAAATTCGAGGTCACGACTACGACTTAGTCATAATTTTTCGAATTTTATTTTGTACAACCGCACCTACAGCTATAATTATTCTATGGATTGTAAAGGTTTAACCGACCGTGAGCTAGATGCAGGTTATTATGAATTTCTGGTTCTTGTAGGCCTCTCATGAATATTCCATGAGTCTGCCGCTCCATTGTCCGTTATGGATGTTGTTACCAGGGAAGAATGGAATGAATAAGATCAATAATTGGTTTACTCCAGTAGAATACCTGATAATAATTGCAAATTATCGTTTTGAATATTATTGATTATATTTCTCAAAAATAGAATTATTAGGCCTATTAATAATAACAATAACAATAATAATAATAGCATTTATATTTGAAAGGCAAATGGGAAAAACCCATAAAACAGCAAACGGCCATATAATGCAAAACAATTTAAAATTAAAATTAAAACGGAACAGTAGAGAAAATCCGATCAGAATGACAAAATAAACTAAGCAT